GTTAAAAGGGAACACTTTTACGCTGCTGGCGGGAGTGTAAACTAATAAAACCACTATGGAAAACAACATGGAGATTCCTTAAAATCTAAAAGTAGGTCTTTTGACTCCTTGGTTCAGTATATTCCTAGGGTTTTTTTTTTTTTTTTTTTTTTTTTTTTTTTTTTTGCAGCTATTGTAAAAGGGGTTGAGTTCTTGATTTGATTCTCCACTTGGTCACTGTTGGTGTATAGAAGAACTACTGATTTGTGTGCGGTAATCTTGTGTCTGGATGCTTTGCTGAATTATTTTATCAGTTCTAGGAGCCTTCAGGAGGAGTCCTTAGGGTTTTCGAGGTAAATAATCATATCATCTGCAAATAGTGACAGTTTGACTTCCTCTTTACCAGTTTGGATGCCTTTCTTTCTCTTGTCTTATTACTCTGGCTAGGACTTCCAGTACTATGTTGAAGAGGAGTGGTGAGAGTGGGCATCCTTGTCTTGTTCCAGTTCTCAGAGGGAATGCTTTCAACTTTTTGCCATTCAGTATTATGTTGGCTGTGGGTTTGTCATAGACGGCTTTTATTACAATAAGGTATGTCCCTCATATGCCTATTTTGCTGAGGGTTTTAATCATAAAGAGATGCTAGATTTGTCAAATGCTTTTTCTGCATGGTCATGTTATTTTTGTTTTTAATTCTGTTTATGTGGTGTATCACATTTATTGACTTGTGTATGTTAAACTATCCCTGCATCCGTGGTATGAAACCCACTTAATCATGGTGGATTATCTTTTTGATATGTTGTTGGATTCTGTTAGCTAGTATTTTGTTAAGGATTTTAGCATCTATGTTGATCGAGGATATCAGTTTATAGTTTTCTTTTTCAGTTATGTCCTGTCTTGGTTTTGGTATTAGAGTGATACTGGCTTCATAGAATGAATTAGGGAGGGTTCCTTCTTTCTCTGTCTTGTGGAATAGTGTCAAAAGGATTGGTATCAATTCTTCTTTGAATGTCTACTGCTGTGAATCCCTCTGGTCCTGGACTTTTTTTTGTTGATAATTTTTAATTACCATTTCAATCTTGCTGCTCGTTATTGGTCTGTTCAGGATACCTAATTATTCCTGATTTAAGCTAGGAGACTTGTATTTTTCCAGGAATTTATCCATGTCTTCTAGGTTTTCTGATTTATGTGCACAAGGGTGTTCATAGTAGCCTTGAATGATCTTTTGTATTTCAGTGGTGTCAGTTGTAATATCTCCTGTTTTGTTTCTTAGTGGTGTTATTTGGATTTTCTCTCTTCTTGTTTTGGTTAATCTCACCAGTGGTTTATCAATTTTATTTCTCTTTTTAAAGAATCAGCTTTTTGTTTCATTTATCTTTTATATTTTTTTTGTTTCCATTTCATTTAGCTCTGGTCTGATCTTGGTTATGTCCTTTCTTCTGCTGGGTTTGGGTTTGGTTTGTTCTTGCTTCTCTAGTTCCTTGAGGTGTGACCTTAGAGTGTCAGTTTGTGCTCTTTCAGTCTTTTTGATGTAGGCATTTAAGGCTATGAACTTTCCTCTTAGCACTGCCTTTGCTGTATCCCAGTGGTTTTGATAAGTTGTGTCATTATGGTCATTCAGTTCAAAGAATTTTAAAATTTCCATCTTGATTTCATTTCTGACCCAAGGTTCATTCAGGAGCAGGTTATTTAAATTTTCATGTATTTGCATGGTTTTGAAGGTCCCTTTTGGAGTTGATTTCCAGTTTTATTCCATTGTGGTGAGAGAGAGTGCTTGATTTAATTTCAATTTTCTTAAATTTATTGAAGCTCGCTTTATGGCCTATCATATTGTCTATCTTGGAGAAAGTTCCATGCGCTGTGAATAGAACATGTCTTCTGCAGTTGTTGGATGAAATGTTCTGCATACGTCTGTTAAATCCATTTGTTCCAAGGTATAGTTTAAGTCCATTGTTTCTTTGTTGACTTTTTGTCTTGATGAACTGTCTAGTGTTGTCAGTGGAGTATTGAAGTCTCCCACTGTTATTGTGTTGCTCTCTACCTTATTTCTTAGGTCGATTAGTAATTGTTTTGTAAACTACATATATGTGTAGAATTGTGATATTTTCCTGTTGGACAAGACCTTTACCATTATGTAATGTCCTTCTTTGTCTCTTTTAACTGCTGTTGCTTTAAAGTTTGCTTTGTCTGATATAAGAATAGCTACCTCTGCTCACTTTTGGTGTCCATTTGCATGAAATGCCTTTTTCCACCCCTTTACTTTAAGTTTATTTGAGTCCTTATGTGCTAGGTGAGTCTTCTGAAGGCAGCAGATGGTTCATTGGTGAGTTCTTACCCATTCTGCGGTTCTGTATCTTTTAAGTGGAGCATTTAGGCCTTTGACATTCAATGTTAGTATTGAAATGTGAGGAACGGTTGCATTCATCATGTTCTTTGTTGTCTGTATACTTTGGTTTTTTTGTTTTTTGTTTTTGCTTTTCTCATATTTTTGTTTCATAGGTCCTGTGTAATTTGTGCTCAAAGACATTCTGTTTTGATGTGTTTCCAGGATTCGTTTCAAGATTTAGAGCTCCTTTTAGCAGTTTTTGTAGTGGTAATGGCAAATTCTCTTAGCATTCATTTGTCTGAAAAAGACTGTATCTTTCCTTCATATATGATGCTTGGTTTTACTGGATATAAAATTCTTGGCTGATAATTGTTTTGTTTGAGGAGGCTGAAGATAGAGCCCTAATCCCTTCTACCTTGTAGGGTTTCTGCTGAGAAATCTGCTGTTAATTTGATAGGTTTTCATTTACAGGTTACCTGGTGCTTCTGTCTCACAGCTCTTGAGAGTCTTTCCTTCGTCTTAACTTTGGATAACCTGATGACAATGTGCCTAGGTGAAGATTGTTTTGCTATGAATTTCCCAGGTGTTCTTTGTGCTTCTTGTATTTGGATATCTAGGCCTCTAGCAAGGCCAGGGAAGTTTTCCTCGATTATTCCCCCAAATATGTTTTCCAGGCTTTTAGAATTCTCTTCTTCCTCAGGTACACTGATTATTCTTAGATTTGGTTGTTTAACATAATCACAGACTTCTTGGAGGCTTTCGTCATATTTTCTTTTTTTTTTTTTGTCTTTGTTGGATTGAGTTCATTAGAAGACCTTATCTTCGAACTCTGAATTTCTTTCTTCTACTTGTTCAGTTCTATTACTGAGACTTTCCAGAACATTTTGCATTTCTAAAAGGGTGTCCAAAATTTCCTGAATTTTTGATGTTTTTTTTCTTTAAGCTATTTCGTTGACTATTTCTCCCTTCACTTCTTGTATCATATTTTGGATTTCCTTGCATTGGGCTTTGCCTTTCTCTGGTCCCTCCCTGATTAGCTTAATAACTAACTTCCTGAACTCTTTTTCAGGTAAATCAGGGATTTCTTCTTGGTTTGGATCCATTACTGGTGAACTAGTGCGATTTTTGTACCAAGCTTTATGAAATACTATTCACTTTCAGAATCTGTCCTGTACCCAGGTTCTAACACTAATTTTCTGCTTCCCTCATATACCATCTCAAGACTGCTATCTTTGGCCTCCTGTATTTCCAAGCTTCTTTTTTTTATCTCCCCAGAGGTTAAGGCTTTCATCCATCAGCTCTCTGACTTGTTCTCAGTATTTCCCTACTCAGCAAGGGGACTCTCTTCTTAGGGGTGAACTCTCATTGATATTATCCATGTTCTGTATTACAAAGACATTTCTTTATTCTTTCTTCTATGAAATTGTCACTTGAGTTTCCTCTTTTTTTTTTTTTTTTTTTAGATAGATTCTTGCTCTGTCACCCAGGCTGGAGTGCAGTGGCACATTCTCGGCTCACTGCAACCTCCACCTTGAAGGTGCAAGCAATTCTTCTGCCTCAGCCTCCCGAGTAGCTGGGATTACAGGTTCCTGCCACCACACCTGGCTAATTTTTGTATTTTCAGTAGAGATGAGGTTTCACCATGTTGGCCTGGCTGGTTTGGAACTCCTGACCTTAAGTGATCTGCCCGCCTCAGCCTCCCAAAGTGCTGGGATTACAGGCATGAGCCACCATGTCTGGCCTGAGTTTCCTCTTCGGCTTAGGCTCTGAAGCTGACTGCGCTGGTCCTGGATTTTTATTTCCTGACTTATATGCAAATACAAATGTTTAATATTCTGCCTCTTAGTTACACTGTAGGCATGGACTATAGGTTATTTTACTTGCCTTACTTGTTAATTTGCATGGATTTTTGGAGACTATGTGGATAGATTAAATTTAGGTGTCTATTGTCATACTAAAGCAGTGTTTCTAACTTTTATTTCCTCGCTCCCCTAAGAAGCCTTTATAGACATTTTAGTTCCTAATTATCCCCCACCACCCATGAAAATTTAACACCACAGATATGTCATATATCTGTTTAAGTACTATGGCCACAAACTATTGTAATATCTGATATATTTTTCTCCTAAGAACCAGTTTTACCCCCTTGAGAGCAGTATCACTGTCAATGAGAATGTATGTTCTGAAAGTATCTTGAATTTTATTTTCACTGTTGTACTGCCAAATCCTGCAAGTAGTATTTTACTTATACTTTAACACATGTATGAGTAATATTGGTCTATAATTTCCCTCCCTCACCTCCTCAGTATTATATTTATTCTATAGTTTTGTAGGCAAGTAGGAGCTACTGAAGGGTTTTATGCATAGGAATAATCAATTTTTTTTAAAGAGGAATACTTCCCTTTACATACTATGGAAAATAAATAGAAGATGAGACTGGTGGCATAGGTTTTTAAATATGCTGTTGTAATAACATAGGTATTAGTTAATGCAGCAGGAAATTCAAGAAGTATTTGGAAATAGAATGAGCAGAAATTGATAATCATATGCATGCAATAGGTAAGGGAGAAGAAATAGCCCAGCCTTACTCTCAAGCTTTTAACTTTTGTTATAATTTGACTATTAGCTTCAGCTATATTATTTAATTCTGAAACAGTAATTCTTTCATTTAATTAAATTATGCTTTGCCTTACAGAAAGTGGCAAGGTTACCATTCAAGAATTTATGACTAAATTCTCCGATATATTGACAATTCCTAAACCTGCAGGTAAGTTTTATTTAATATGTAATTATTGCCCAGATCTAGAAAGGCAAGCAGTGGTTTACATGTTAAAAACAATACAGGATTCAATAGTTAAAGCACAGGTAAGTAAGAAGGAATACAATATGAATATGAAACAACACAAGATTAGATTACATAACTTCTGTTTGAATTCTAAGGCAAATATTGCTAAACTTAACCCAAACTCAAAATTTTAGGTAGTCTTACTTGGTAGTGCTAGAAAATTACTAGATTATATATTATTATTTGAGGTTATTCAGTATGCATATTTGACTTCTGAAATTACTAGAAAATAATTTTTAAAACTTTTGACAAATCCAGTAGAATTTTTATCACTATCTGTTATGTTCTTACATATCTTCAGCAACTCTCTTGATCTCATTTTTTAAACATCCATGCTTTTTGAGGTTTAATGTACATATAGCAAAATTCACCCTTTTTAGGCATACAGTTCTTTGGATTCTTAAAAATAATATAATGTAACCCTTACTATATACAACATACAGACTATTTTACCCCCTAGAAGTCTCTTATGCCCTTTTGGTAATCTATTTCTTCCTCTACCCTGAGCCCCTGGCAACTACTGATTAATTCTTTGTCCCTATAGTTTTGCCTTTTGTGGAATATCATGTAAATGATTAAATATGAAGTGGTTTGAGTTGGGCAGTCATTGCATATATATACCTTGAATGTATATGTATGTATACATTCATATGAGAGTATAAACAAAGTATATACTCTCATTTGTACTCTCATTTATACTACCAACTCTTCCTAGAAAAAATGGATTCTGATTGGTTCTGGTTGCACTATTACAAATTTCAAATAAAGCTTTATTTGAGTACCCCCAAAGCTGAAGTACTGATCCCTTTGGCTGTTTGTTTCCCACTAAGTTGTGTGTGTGTGTGTGTGTGTGTGTGTGTAAACCAACATTTTGTTGAACCAACAATGTACCATTAGTAAAGCTGCTATGCAAAATTATCCCTTAGGTCTGTTCTAAACTTACAGTTTAACTGATTTTATTGTCCTCACCTAAGGTTATTCAATGCATATATGGGAAGAAAATACTAAGACATTAAATCAAGATGGTTACTTTTGCTATTTTGCTGAAGATTCATCATAAATATAAATCAAGAAGTTAATCTACATGTTAGAAGTGTTTTTTAAAAATTTTTAAATTGACATATAATTGTACATATTTATGGGGTACAATGTACTATTTCATTTATACATTGTATAATAATCAAATCAGTGTAATTAGCAACCCATTGTGAACCCCAAATATCAGAAACAGGATTCAATTAATTTAGAAAGTTTATTTTTGCTAAGGTTAAGGGCATGCCCATGACACAGACTCAAGAGGTCCTGACATATGTGCCCAAGGTGGTTGGGGCACAGCTTGGTTTTATACATTTTAGGGAGACATGAAATATCAATCAATACATGTAAGATGTACATTGGTTCGGTCCAGAAGGGCAGGGGGAAGACAACTTGAAGTGGAGAATTTCCTTATGGGCAAATTGTGAGGGAGTTATGTAGCTGCTGCTGCTTCTTTTTTTTAATCTCTGTTGCTATCTCCTTTAGGAATAGAATGGGAGGCAGGTTTGCCTGACAGTTCCCAGCTTGACTTTTCCCTTTGGCTTAGTGATTTTGGGATACCGAGATTTATTTTCCTTTCACACCATCAGCTCAAATGTTTATCATTTCTTTGTAATGAGAACATTGAATACATTATTAACTATAGTTTAATTTTTAAGTGGACAAATACAAATTGTATGTACTGTGTATTGCATTATTCAAAATATGTACATAAATTGTGGAATGGCTAAATTGAACTAATTAACATGTTTTACCTCATATACCTATTTTTGTGATGAGAACACTTAAAATCTTTTAGCAATCTTCAAAAATATTTTACGTTATTATTAACTGTAGTCACCATGTTATATGACAGAGCTCTTAACCTTATTGATTTTCTAATATTTTGTTAAAGATTTTTGAGTATATGTTTATGAGGGATATTGGTCTATAATTTTTTTTTAGTGTCTTTTCCAGATTTTTTTGTTAGTGTTATACTGGCTTCATAAAATGAGTTAGGAAGTCTTCCCTCCCTCTTTTATTTCTGGTAGAGTTTGTGTATTAGTCTGCTCTAATGCTGCTAATAAAGAAATACCTGAGATTGGGTAACTTATAAAAGAAAGAGGTTTAACTGAGTCACAGTTCCACGTGGCTGGGGAGGCCTCACAATCATGGTGGAAGGCGAATGAGGAGCAAAGTTGCCTCTTACATGGCAGCAGGCAAGAGAGCTTGTGCAGGGGAACTCCCGTTTATAAAGCCATCAGATCTCATGAGACTTATTCACTTATGGGGACACTGCCCCCATGATTTGATTATCTCCACCGGGCCCTGCCTTTGACACGTGAGGATTATTACAATTCAAAGTGAGATTTGGGTGGGGACACAGCCAAACCATATCAGTTTATGATTATGATTATGATTATTGTTTTCATTAAATGTTTGGTAGAATTCACCGTCTATTCCTGAAAATTTAAAATATTGAGCTCTATTTATTCAATGGATATAAAGCTGTTTAGAGCCTCCCTGTTCTAAATCTTTCTGTAGTTGTCAATATATCTTTCTGTAAGTATCATAAAGAAGAAATGTACTTTCTATAAGTGGAACTGTGTCTTGTCAAAATTTGTTTATTTTATGTAATTTGTCAGGTTTATTGTCATAAAGTTGTTCATAATATCCCCTTATTATCCTTTTAATGTCTATAGTGTGATGTCTTATTTTTCATTCCTGATGTTTGTAATTTCTGTTTTCTCTTTTTTGTTTGTAACCAGTATTGCTAGGGGGTTATTAAATTTATTAATAATGTTACACAAATGGTGATTTTGTTAATTTTTGTTAATTTTTCTCTTTTGTTTTTCTTTTTCATTGGTTTATATTTTTATTTTTACTATCATATGGTCTTTGCTTACTTTGGGCTTCGTTTACCCTTCTTTGCTAGCTTGCTAAGATAGACGCTTAGATAACTGATTTTTATTCTTTTCTAACATTTAAAACTGCAGATTTTCCCCTAATATGTCTTTCATTGCATCTCAAAAACATTGTTATGTTGTGCTTTGTCATTTACTAAAATATTTTCTAATTTACCTAATAATTTTTTCTTTGAAGTATAGGTTATTTAGAAATGTAGTCTTTAATTTCCAAATATTGGGACATTTTCTAGATATCTTAATTATTATTGATTTCTCCTTTATTTATTTGTTTTAGGGAAAGGGTCTTGCTTGTTGCTCAGGCTGGAGTGCAGGTGGCATGATCATGGCTTACTGCAGCCTCCAACTCTTGGGCTCAAGCAACCTCTTGCCTCAGCCTGGCAAGTAACTGGGACTACAGGCATACACCACTATGCTTGGCTAATTTTAAACATTTTTTCTCTAGAGATGGGGTCTCATTTTGTGTTCCAGGCTGGTCTTGAGCTCCTGGGCTCAAGCATTTCTCCTGCCTTGGCTTCCCCAAGTGTTGGGATTATAGGTGTGAGCCACTGTGCCAAGACTGATTTCCAATTTAATACATTTGGCCAGAGAATACATTTTGCATTATTTAAATTCTTAAATTAATTAAGATTTATTTATAGCCCTGGTTATGGTCTATCTACGTGAATGTTCCGTGTGTACCTGAAAGAATGTGCATTCTGCACTTGTTAGGTCGCATTCTGTAAATATCAGTTAGGTTACAATGTTTGCTAAATTGGTCTGGTCTTCTAATTCTTGCTGTTTTTTTATTCTACTTGCTCAATTAGTTACTGATAGCAAGGTGTTAAAATCCCCAGTTCGCACTGTAGAATCATTTATTCCTCCCTTTAATTTTGTCAGTTTTTGCTTTATTTACTTTGAAGGCTTTGTTCAGTGTATACAAATGTGGTATTGTTACAAAATTTGTGTATATGACCTTATGAAATATATTTTGTCTATTGCTCTTTTTTATCTTATTTTTATGGCTGTCTTCCTTTCCCCAAATTTTTTCACTTACATTTGTATTTTTTTGATATCTATTTCTTGTCAGTTAACTTATTTTGGCAACAGAGAAGGATATAAATAAATGCAAATAAATAATACTGTCATTTTTCTTAAGTGTAATTTCATATGTTGGGAAATTTTAACCACCTATCTTTAAAATAAAAAGGAGAAACATGAAACTTTCTTTCTAACTGAAAGTGATTATCTCTCCCCAGAAGATAAATTTTACAACAACAACATTCACAAAAATGATGTTACAACCATTTCTGGTCTCCAGAAAAATTTAAATGCCATGGGAATCTATCTGACAGATGATAAAATACAGAAAACTTTGGATAATACTAATCCTAATGGTGAGTAATTATTTCACTTTAAATTAACAAAGTTGGAGTATGTCAGAAGAAACTTTAAATGCCCAAGGAAATTATCTATCTTTTAATTGATGAGTTTGTATTGAAGGAACTTATTTTCAAAGGTATATGTCTGGCCACTTTTATTTTGAATCTGATGTGCATATTGGATACAACACAAGATAATTCATTCCTCCACTTTATTTTCATGTTTTATAGCTCTGGTTTTATAACATCAAATCCATTTTAACAGCAGTATCTAAATTGTTACTTCTTTTCTTTTTAAAGATGAAGTGGTGCATTTTAAGGATTTTATCAGAGAATTGGCCAACACTGATGAATTTATTGAATGCCAAAGTAAGTATGAAATTTGACGGAATGTGAACAGAAACTTCATGTCTCTAGATTGGTATGTGTAGTTGTGTGTGTATACGTGTGTGTGTGTGTGTTTGTGTTTAACTTTTTTTTTTTTTGAGACAGAGTTTTTCACCCAGGCTGGAGTGCAGTGGCATGACCTTGGCTCACTGCAACCTCCACCTCCCGGGTTCAAGCAGTTTTCCTGCCTCAGCCTCCCGAGTAGCCAGGATTACAGGTATGTACCTGGCTAGTTTTTTATGTTTTTTAGTAGAGATGGGATTTCACCACATTGGTCAGGCTGGTCTCAAACTCCTGGCCTCAAGTGATCTGCCTGCCTCTGCCTCCCAAAGTGCTGGGATTACAGGCATTAGCCACCATGCTTGGCCATGTATTTAACTTTTAATAAAACTCTGCCAAGGCCCTTTTGTATTTTGTCATTTAAACAGTATAGAAATATATATATTTAAAACCCTAGGTTTTCAATTTGTGGATACATATTTTTCATAATATCATTAATTACTTAAAAAATTATCTGTGTTTCTTTCTCACTTTTCATGGATTCTGTTAAGTTGCATTTTTTTCTTTATCAGTTTTGTCCGAGGTTTATCTATCTTATGAAAGTAATCTAGTTTTGGTTTCTTTAATCACCTCTGGTGTCATTTGCTTTTATCTTTCTTCTTTATTTCTTCTTATATATTTGGGCTTACTCCTTTGCTCTTTGTCAAAAACTTTAGCTAAGGGCTTAACTCAGCTTTTTAAAGTCTATTTTGAAATTTCAGCACAATGAGACATTAAAACAACCTTGGAACACAAACATTGAAATTGTGAATTGAAATATTAAGACTGGCGTTTTGAATGGGTCTTAAGTGTATTATCTCTAAATTAGACTTTAATTTGAATGCAGTTTCAATCAATATTCCGGGAAAATTTTGGTGGGAACCAAATTTTAGATACATTGTAGATGTATTTACTTTGAGAAAATAATTCTGATATTTATTTGAAAGACGGACTCTTTGAAAAGCAATAATGATGGGGAAGTTGCCTTACCACACCAGATAGAAGGACATATTATAATACTTTCGTAGCAGTGTTACTAATAGACCAATGCATCACAATATAGTATCTGCAGAGACTCATGTATGTGAGAACTTGGCATACGATAGAGATATCATCAATTGATAGGGGAATAGATGTGTTATTTAATACCTTATTTGGGAAATTGCCACACTTTGTGGAGGAAAATAAAATTGAATTCATACTTTATGCCATACACAAAAATAATCTTCAAATAAGTTAAATAGATGTTAACGTGAATCTGAAAGTAAAACTACAAAACTGGTGGAGGAAATTATTGGAGAAAATATTGTGCCTTGTGGTTGCAAAGGATTTCTTAAATGGGACTTCTAAAATCACAATCATAGGGTAGAAAAAGATGTGATTATATTAAAATTAAAGATTTCTGTTTAATGAAGCACTCTAAAGAAATGACCGGATATGTAACAGACTGGAAGAAGATAATTGCAACTTTTAGAGCTAACAAAAGATTAATATTTAAAATATATATAAAGAAATTCTACAAATAAGCAATAGATAAATAAAAACCCATTGGAAAAATGAGTTAAGGATATAAGAAGGCAGTATACAAAAGGAGAAACACAAATGGCTCGTATGTATGTGAAGAGAGCATTAGGAATACTCCTGAATAGCTGGTGGGTAGGTAAAACAGTGTTGCTACTCAGAATAGCAGTCTAGCAGTACTTAGCGAAATTAAAAACATGCGTTCCCATCACCCAGTAATTCAGTTCATAAGTAATTAGCCCAGAGAAAGTTTCTTGTTAGTGACATGTATAAGGATGCTCATTGCAACATTATTTGAGAGAGGGAAAGATGAATATAACTTAGTTGTCCATTACTAAGGGAATGGTTCAATAAAATGTGGTCTCTACGTACAGTAAATCAGAAACAATAAACTGGTTGTACCATAGATATATTTCAGTAATATATGGTTCAGTGAAGAAAGAGAAGAAATAGAATAAACTTATAGTTCAAAATGCTTTATGTAAACTGATTTATATGAGTGCACATTAGACAAACAACATTGTATTTTTTCAGCTAAACACATAAATCTAAGTAATTACATGAGATAGATTGAATAGAAATATATTAAATACACTGCAGTTGCTACTTATGAAGGAATAAAATTGGAGATAGTAGTTAAAGGAGAAAAATAGTAAAACAAGCAGAGGCCCTTTGAAGATGAGTGATGACAAAACACCATGAATCCAAGAGTATGATCAACTCAATTATGTATACTAGAACTCTTTACTAATATGAAAAAATTAAATTGACAAGTTAGATAAGATTAAACAATGTATATATTTATACACAGAGATAAAGATAGAAAGAATTTGAGATTTAAATGACAATAAGCCTGATTTAAGAAACATATAGCAGTTCATATTCCAAAAACATTGAATACACATTTTCTAATGCCTATTTTGTATTCACACAAATATATGATATATTTAAGTTACAAAGAAAAATGTCAATGAATTCTGAAAATCAGAAGTTATTCAGATCACGTATTCTGACCACCATGTAGTAATATATTAAAATCATTTATGAAGGAATGTGGAAAACATTTTGATCTGAAGATTAAAAGCAGTTTTTTAAAAAGCAAGAAAAGCAGATGCTCCACTAAATAATTATTTGGTTAAAGAATAAAGTCTGAAATTAAACATTATTTAGAAATGGATGAGAATGAAAGCACTATATGTCAAAACATGTAAAGTATGACCAAAACAGTCTTACAGGAAATCTTATAGCTTTAAATGCTTTTATTAGAAAATGAGAAATACTGAAAATTATCTCAGTTGTTCAACTCACGAAGCTAAACAGCAACGTAAACTACAACAGCAAAACAGTCCCTGCAAAAAGCAGTAGTTAGAAACTAATCAATTTGAAAGCAGGAGTAACTGAAATAGAACATATGCACAAAAACAAATTATTCATTTAACCAAAAACCGGGTCTTGAAAAAGACTAATAAAATAAAGAACTCTTTAGGAATTATGACGAAGGAAAATAAATAGAGATGGCATAAATAAGAAGATAGTGAAAAGTGTGGATACAGAGATTTAAAAGTATTTGAATAACACTTAAAATTAAGTTAATAAAACATCAGTTTATGGACATCTCATCAACAGCACTGTCATTCTTTCCAAACATGTAGATAAGAAGAGCAAGGGCTACTTTTTAAATTAAAAAATAATTTATGGCACCATCTTAATTGTGATCATTTTTCTGTTTTGTTGTTGTTTAGTTTTTTGAGTTGAACACTTTAAAAATATTTGTTTATTGTTTTCTCATATAAACATTTAACCTAAAAATTTTGTAGAGCTTTCCATTTAGAAGATATTTCAGAGTCAAAAAGGATTGGATATCCTACAAAGCGAATATACTTCACACAAATCAGGTTGCTATGTGCTTATATGGATAGAGTAAGTACTGTGACACTTTCTCATTAATATGTATATATACACACATAGAAATAGAAGATGCATGGAATATTATTAATAGTGTCTGCGATGGGAAAGTTGACATTGAAGACCTTTTATCCACTTTGAAGAGCCTGGAGAAACCTTTAGATGAAGAACAATTTAAGGTCTTATCAAACAGTGCAACAGATGGTGAGTACTTCCTTTACTTCTCAGCTCTCCTGTTTAGAGTACACATGTTCGCACAGGCTAAATTTTTAAAAAGTGGTAGTAATACTGTATACTTAAAAAGGTTATATGGAACTAGTATATACATATATTGCTCATTGTGAATTGTCACAACCCTTTTGGAAAGTGTATGGAAGTTCTTTATTTGGTTAAGACAGACATAATTTTGTTATTCATGTTTTAAAACCAGATGTTCATATATTGGAGTATAAAGGCCAAATAATACCTACGGTAGAGCCCTACTCTTCCTTTTCCTCAACCTGGTATTCTAGAGAGAAGATACTTCTTATATACACAGTTCCACGGACTTTTGGGTTCTCTGGTTAGGCTAAGAATATAAAATTAGACACCCTACTATTTATTGTTGGATTAGCATAAATTTTAGACTAGATGGAGTGTAAAGACAGCAGTAGATTCAGCAAATGATTTCTGGGATGTCTAGAAGGCATCCATTGCATGGTTCTAACCATGTCCTTGCTTTTTTTTCTATAGTTTACTATGTTCATATCCCTAAAAGATATATAGTGGAGTTTTGATTTTTATACTTTATATAAATGGAATAATATAGCATATATTTTTTATAGTTTGCTTTTAGCTCAGTATTGTGAAATTTATCCAGACAGGTGCATTGTAGCTGTGGTTCATTCCCTTTTTTTTATTACCATGACTAGCTAATTTTTGTATTTTTGCTAGAGACGGGGTTTCACTATGTTGGCCAGGCTGGTCTCGAACTCCTGACCGCAAGTGATCTGCCCACATCGGCCTACCAAATTGATGGGATTACAGCAGTGAGCCACTGCGCCCAGCTAACTGATTTGAAGAGACAAAGAGAATAACTAAATGCAATGTGAACTTTTGACAGAAACAGCTGTAATAGATGTTTGGGGGACAATTAACAAAAATATTTTTAAATATGAACTGGATGTAACATGACACTAAGGGATTGTCGTTAATTCTCTTAGGTGTGAGCGTGCTGTGTATTTATCAACAATGTCGCATAAGAGAATATCCTTATTCTTAGAAGATTCATTGCATGCTGCAGTGTTTAGGGATAATAAGTTACGATGTCCACCATTTACAGTCAAAATACGTTGAGGAAAGGAAAACATATTTATGTATACACTCACACATACATATGGAAAGACAGTATGAGAGAGAAAAAGTAAACTATGGCGAAATGTTAACTCTTATTTCATGTAAGTGGTGATGGTTCGTTGTGCTATTCTTTCAATGTTTCTGCATGTTTGGCACATTTTATTGTAAAATGTTGGGGAAAAAACATAGTGCTGAGTAGTATGAAATACCTTAAATGTGAGGGAAAGTAATAAGGAGATAGATGAATATAAGGCACTCATTTGGCCTTCCCATTATTCACTACTAATTTCGTTGTGAATCCTGCAACCTCTCTAATACATAGATTCCATCTGATTTTTGGAAAACAGATTTATCGTTATTTAACCAGATAATCAACCATATTGTTGAGAAATGTATCCCATACTCTCTTAGAGTTTATAAACTTAGTGGGGAAGATGTAATTACATGCCAAAAAAGTCAAGGAAAAGATGAGCTATCTATATAAGGAATTTAGTCAACTGTTGTCTGATATCTGTCTGAGATTAAATGACAACATATAAATGAAATGTTTTGTATGATGCCTGGTACCAAAATAAAAGCTCTCATAAACGTTAGCTATCATTATCTTATTAGGAATAATATTGAGAGATTACTTTTTAATCCTATGTATTGGTCAAAATATGTCAATGATTGACCCAAGTTTGCATCCACTGATCAGTTAATTCGTTTAAAGGAAAGGATCCTAATTTTAATTCCATGGTCAATTTCATTTATATATTGATTCAACGAATTTTTTCTCTTTATGTAGAAAAATATAATCATGAATGGGCTTTAGCACATCCTCCTAAATCCTAATGCACAGTTTATGAAATGCGTGCGTTACTTGTGGAAATAAAAGATCCATAGCTTTTCTCAACTTCCCAATGTGTATGCGTCTGAAAAAAAAAAATTAGAGATTTTGTTTTAGAGTCTCTACATTTTCCTCACAGCCTGTGTCTTTCTGATTAGGGAAGGTTGATATAAAAAACCTGAAGACCGTTCTAGACAACATGGGAATCAAGCTCACAGATAAAGAACTTGAAGATCTGACACAAAGCCTGCCAGTCGGTGGTGAGCATGCTAGATATCACTGGTTTTTGGTTTTGTGTTCTGTGTGCTTTTAGCATTAGAAGGAAAGGGAAAAAAGAACTTTTCATAATGCAAATGGCAAGATTAAATAAGACAGTCAGATAACAAAGTAGGGAAGGTAGTATTCTGAATACTAGCGGCATGGTCAATACAAGAGCCTTCCAAATTCTGAGGACAAGAAAGCTGACCCCTAGGAAAAAGCCACTTTTGAATTCCATCTTTCCATTATCAAATATAAGATTTGCTGTTTTATGGGTTATAAAGTCAAATTTACATTTTCTAAATAAGTTTATTTTCAATATTTATAATTGTTTCTTCATCTTCGTAACATATTCTGAGTAAATATTTATCAAATGACTAAAGTGCTTAACAAAATGCCCAGTATACTTCCTAAGTGCTGCTACTAGGTGTTATAATCATAGGAGGGAGGAGAGTGTTCTTGTGATATAACATGTTATGAGCTTCAAATTATGCCTTTGTGTTATAGCTGATAATAAAGTGGCTCTGAAAGCATTGGAGGATGAAGTGAAAGCTTTTACTGGTAAGAATTTGTTACACATGATTTGCAATAAATGATGATTTACACTAAAATTTTTAATAGTATTTTTCTAATATTCTATTTGTGGCTTATCAATTCACATATTTTCAATATTTTGATAAAATATCTGCCTTTACTAACAGATTAACATTATCTGCGTTTTATCAGTCAAAACGAAAGAACTATTTCTTGATAACATCTTACATTCATTAGTACTGTTTTCCAATAAAATGGTTTCACCAGTATCTATAGACCCAAATAACTAGATGGACACAGTGAAAACAGGGTGAAGCATTAAAAGGATCAAAGTAATGAGTTCATTGCAAGCATCTAACCACCTAGTTTTACAAAAATGAAATATGTCATACTTGTTTTTTGACTTTTGTTTTTAATTATACTTTAAGTTCTAGGGTACATGTGCACAACGTGCAGGTTTGTTACATATGTATACATGTGCCGTGTTGGTTTGCTGCACCCATTAACTCGTCATTTCCATTAGGTATTTCTCCTAATGCTATCCCTCCCCCATTCCCCCACATCACGACTGGCCCCGGGGTGTGATGGGCCCCGGGGTGTGATGTTCCCCGCCCTGTGTCCAAGTGTTCTCATTGTTCAGTTCCCACCGATGAGTGAGAACACGCGGTGTTTGGTTTTCTGTCCTTGCCATAGTTTGCTCAGAATGATGGATTCCAGCTTCATCCGTGTTGCTACAAAGGACACCAACTCATCCTTTTTTTATGGCTGCATAGTATTCCATGGTGTACATGTGCCACATTTTCTTAATCCAGTCTATCACTGATGGACATTGGGGTTGGTTCCAAGTCTTTGCTATTGTGAATAGTGCCGCCATAAACATACGTGTGCGTGTGTCTTTATAGTAGCATGATATATAATCCTTTGGGTATATACCCAGTAATAGGATTGCTGGGTCAAATGGTATTTCTCGTTCTGGATCCTTGAGGAATCGCCACACTGCCTTCCACAATGGTGGAACTAGTTTACACTCCCGCCAACAGTGTAAAAGCCTTCCTATTTCTCCACATCCTCGCCAGCACCCGCCGTTTCCTGACTTTTTAATGATCGCCATTCTAACTGGTGTGAGATGCTATCTCATTGTGCTTTTGCTTTGCATTTCTCTGATGACCAGTGGTGATGAGCATTTTTTCACGTGTCTGTTGGCTGCATTAATTAACTTTTCTTTTGAAAAGTATCTGTTCATATCCTTTGCCCACTTTTTGATGGGGTTGTTTGATTTTTTCTTGTAAATTTGTTTAAGTTCTTTGTAGATTCTGGATATTAGCCCTCTGTCAGATGGGTAGATTGCAAAAATTGTCTCCCATTCTGTAGGTTGCCTGTTCACTCTGATGGTAGTTTCCTTTGCTGTGCAGAAACTCTTTAGTGTAATTAGACCCCGTTTGTCTATTTTGGCTTTTGTTGCCATTGCTTTTGGTGTTTTAGTCATGAAGTCCTTGCCCATGCCTATGTCCTGACTGGTATTGGCTAGGTTTTCTTCTAGGGTTTTTATGCTTTTAGCTCTAACATTTAAGTCTTTAATCCACCTTGAATTAATTTTTGTATAAGGCATAAGGAAGGGATCCCGTTTCAGCTTTCTACATATGGCTAGCCAGTTTTCCCGGCACCATTTATTAAATAGGGAATCCTTTCCCCGTTTCTTGTTTTTGTCAGGTCTGTCAAAGATGAGATGGTTGTAGATGTGTGGTGTTTTTCCTGAGGCCTCTGTTCTGTTCCATTGGTCTATATCTCTGTTTTGGTACCAGTACCATGCTGTTTTGGTTACTGTAGCCTTGTGGTGTAGTTTGAAGTCAGGTAGCATGATGCCTCCCGCTTTGTTCTTTTTGCTTAGGATTGTCTTGGCAATGCGGGCTCTTTTTTGGTTCCATATGAACTTTAAGGTAGCTTTTCCCAATTCCGTGAAGAACGTCATCGGCAGCTTGCTGGGATGCCATTGAATCTATAAATTACCTTGGGCAGTATGGCCATTTTCACGATATTGATTCTTCCTATCCGTGAGCATGGAGTGTTCTTCCATTTGGTTGTGTCCTCTTTTATTTTGCTGAGCAGTGCTTTGTAGTTCTCCTTGAAGAGGTCCTTCACATCCCTGGTAAGTTGGATGCCTAGGTATTTTATTCTCTTTGAAGCAGTTGTGAATGGGAGTTCACTCATGATTTGGCTCTCTGTTTGTCTCTTATTGGCGTATAAGAATGCTTGTGATTTTTGCACATTGATTTTGTATCCTGAGACTTTGCTGAAGTTGCTTGTCAGCTTAAGGAGATTTCGGGCCGAGACGATGGGGCTTTCTAAATATACAGTCATGTCATCTGCAAACAGGGACAATTTGACATCCTTTTTTCCTAACTGATACCCTTTATTTCTTTCTCCTGCCTGATTGCCCTGGCCAGAACTTCCAACAATATGTTCAATAGGAGACACTGTGTTGAATAGGAGTGGTGAGAGAGGGCAGCCCTGTCTTGTGCCAGTTTTCATAGGGAATGCTTCCAGTTTTTGCCCATTCAGTATGATACTGGCTGTGGGTTTGTCATAAATAGCTCGTATTATTTTGAGATACGTTCTATCAATACCTAGTTTACTGAGAGTTTTTAGCATGAATGACTGTTGAATTTTGTTGAAGGCCTTTTCTCCGTCTGTTGAGATAATCATGTGTTTTTTGTGTTTGGTTCTGTTTATGTGATGGATTACGTCTACTGATTTGCATACGTTGAACCAGCCTTGCATCCCAGGGATGAAGCCAACTTGATCTTGGTGGTTAAGCTTTTTGATGTGCTGCTGGATTCGGTTTGCCAGCATTTTATGGAGGATTTTTGCATCGATGTTCATCAGGGCTATTGTTCTAAATTCTCTTTTCTTGTTGTGTCTCTGGCAGGCTTTGGTATCAGGATGATACTGGCCTCATAAAATGAGTTAGGGGGATTCCCTCTTTTTCTATTGATTGGAGTAGTTTCAGAAGGAATGGTACCAGCTCCTCCTCGTACCTCTGGTAGAATTTGGCTGTGAATCCGTCTGGTCCTGGACTCTTTTTGGTTGGTAGCCTATTAAAGATTGCCTCAATTTCAGAGCCTGTTATTGGTCTATTCAATGATTCAGCTTCTTCCTGGTTTAGTCTTGGGAGGGTGTATGTGTCCAGGAATTGATCCATTTCTTGTAGATTTTCTAGTTTATTTGCATAGAGGTGTTTATAGTATTCTCTGATGGTAGTTTGTATTTCTGTGGGATGGGTGGTGATATCCCCTTTATCATGTGTTACTGCGTCTAGTTGGTTCTTCTCTCTTTTCTTCTTTATTAGTCTTGCTAGCGTTCTATCAATTTTGTTGATCTCTTCAGAAAACCAGCTCCTGGATTCATCGATTTTTTTGAAGGGTTTTTTGTGTCTCTGTCTCCTTCGGTTCTGCTCTGATCTTAGTTATTTCTTGCCTTCTGCTAGCTTTTGAATGTGTTTGCTGTTGCTTCTCTAGTTCTTTTCATTGTGATGGTAGGGTGTCGAGTTCAGATCTTTCCTGCTTTCTGTGGTGGGCATTTAGTGCTATAAATTTCCCTCTACACACTGCTTTAAATGTGTCCCAGAGATTCTGGTACGTTGCGTCTTTGTTCTCATTGGTTTCGAAGAACATCTTTATTTCTGCCTTCATTTCGTTATTTACCCAGTAGTCATCCAGGAGCAGGTTGTTCAGTTTCCATGTAGTTGTGTGGTGTTGAGTGAGTTTCTTAATCCAGAGTTCTAATTTGATGGCACTGTGGTCTGAGAGACAGTTTGTTGTGATTTCTGTTCTTTTACATTTGCTGAGGAGTGCTTGACTTCCAACGATGTGGTCAATTTTGGAATAAGTGCGATGAATGCTGCTGAGAAGAATGTAAGTTCTGTTGATTTGGTTTGGAGAGTTCTGTAGACGTCTATGAGGTCTGCTTGGTGCAGAGATGAGTTCAAGTCCCGGATATCCTTGTTACCCTTGTGTCTCCATATACTGGGATATATTACATAATATACCATTTAACAGGGGTGATTGTAGATGAAATTTTTCTGTTTTAAACATGTCTGGACGCTGGGCGTGGTGACTCCTGTCTGTAATCCCAGCACTTTGGAAGTCCGAGGTAAGTGGATCACTTGAGGTCAGGAGTTTGAGACCAGCCTGGTCAACAAGATGAAACCCCATCTCTTCTAAAAATACAAAAATTAGCCGGGTGTGGTGATGGGCACGTGTAATCCCAGCTATTCAAGAGGCTGAGGCAGGAGAATTGCTTGAACCCAGAAGATGGAGGTTGCAGTGGGCCGAGATCACGTCACTGCTCTCCACCCTGGGCAACAGAGCGAGACTCCGTCTGGAAAAACAAAAAGACATGTCAGGAGGCTGGATGCCGTGGCTCACGCCTGTAATCCCGGCACTTTGGGAGGCCAGGAGTTGAAGACCACTTTGGGCAACATAGCAAGACCCCATCTTTACAAAAAGGAAAAGTAAAAAATAAACAGGTTGGTATCCTGGGCCCTGGAGTGGCAGTGGGCATCTTTTGCCTGTGATCAGTCACGTGATCCCAGCAGCACTCACGTCCTGTTCCCAGTACCCTCCTGTCATTGGTCCAAGGATGAGCATGTGACTCCTCACTGCCAGTCAGAGCCTCCCTGGGAGGGTAAGGGGGCCCTCTGGTGGTGTTTTCCAGCACAGCCGGCAGATCCTCCTTTGGGACTTAGGCGAGGGCATAGGACTCCTCCCCGCTTGTGCTTGCGGGCGAGGATCGGCCTCCGAGATTCTGCGGAGAGACTCTCAAGGGGCACCAGCTGGAGCTGGTTCTGTGTCTGCAGGGAACCATCTGGTGCTCTCTGCATTCATAGCCCCCTACCGCGAGTTTTCTCCTCTGTGTCTTTGTGGCTTAGCCCAGTGTTCACAGAAGGGGCGGGGGTGGAGGGCTCAAACGCTGTCATCCACGTTTGCTTTTCGAAAAACAGCAGGACACAAAATTCTATAAACACGAAATGACGGTACCTGGTACGTGACCCGAATGCAACTCAGAAGGGTGCCAGTAAGTTAGGGGATTGGCCTTTGGAAGGCGTCCTTCTTTTGAGAAAGTGTAATATTTCAGGCCGGGCGCGGTGCCTCACGCCTGTAATCCCACCACTTTGGGAGGCCGAGGCGGGCGGATCAGGAGGTCAGGAGATGGAGACCATCCTGGCTAAGTCGGTGAAACCCCGTCTCTACTAAAAATACAAAAAAAATTAGCCGGGCACGGTGGTGGGTGCCTGTAGTCCCAGCTTCTTGGGAGGCTGAGGCAGGAGAATCATTTGAACCCAGGAGGCAGAGGTTGCAGTGAGCCGAGATCACAGAAGTGCACTCCAACCTGGGTGACGGAGTGAGACTCCCTCTCTGGAGAAGAAAGGAAAGAAGGACGGAGGGAGGGAGAGAGAGAGAGAGAGAAATAAATGCCTGCAAGTTACTATAAATCGTTGGAAAAAATTTCACAACTCCATAATGATTGTAGTTTACTTGAAATATGAGGAATAAAAACAGGTTAAATAATACCGCAAAGAAAAAAATCACACAAATTCAGAATGAGGGATTCTACAGGAAAACCGGCCTACTCTTTTAAAAAAGTTGGTGTTCAATGTTAAAACAAAAAAAAAAAAGTGGGGAGACTTTTTTCTCCCTCTCTCTCTCTCTCTCTCTCTCTCGACAGAGTCTCGCTCTGTTGCCCTGGCTGGAGTGCGGTGGTGCAATCTCGGCTCACTGCAACCTCCGCCTCCCGGGTTCAGGTGCTTCTTCTGCCTCAGCCTCCCAAGTAGCTGAGACTACAGGTGTGCACCACCATGACTAGCTAATTTTTGTATTTTTACTAGAGACGGGGGTTTCACTACGTTGGCCAGGCTGGTCTCGAACTCCTGACCTCAAGTGATCCGCCCACATCGGCCTACCAATTTGATGGGATTACAGCAGTGAGCCACTGCACCCAGCTAACTTTTAGATTTAAAGAGACAAAGAGAATAACTAAATGCAATGTGAACTTTTGACAGAAACAGCTGTAATAGATGTTTGGGGGACAATTAACAAAAATATTTTTAAATATGAACTGGATGTAACATGACACTAAGGGATTATTGTTAATTCTCTTAGGTGTGACCATGCTATGTATTTATCAACAATGTCGCATAAGAGAATATCCTTATTCTTAGAAGATTCATGGCATGCTGCAGTGTTTAGGGATAATAAGTTACGATGTCCACCATTTACAGTCAAAATACGTTGAGGAAAGAAAAACATATTTATGTATACACTCACACATACATGTGGAAAGACAGTATGAGAGAGAAAAAGTAAACTAGGGCGAAATGTTAACTATTATTTCATGTAAGTGGTGATGGTTCGTTGTGCTGTTCTTTCAATGTTTCGGCATGTTTGGCACTTTCTATTATAAAGTGTTGGGGAAAAAAACATAGTGCTGAGTAGTATGAAATACCTTAAATGTCAGGGAAAGTAATAAGGAGATAGATGAATATAAGGTACTCATTTGGCCTTCCCATTATTCACTACTAATTTCGTTGTGAATCCTGCAACCTCTCTAATACATAGATTCCATCTGATTTTTGGAAAACAGATGTATCGTTATTTAACCAGATAATCAACCATATTGTTGAGAAATGTATCCCATACTCTCTTAGAGTTTATAAACTTAGTGGGGAAGATGTAATTACATGCCAAAAAAGTCAAGGAAAAGATGAGCTATCTATATGAGGAATTTAGTCAACTGTTGTCTGATATCTGTCTGAGATTAAATGACAACATATAAATGAAATGTTTTGTATGATGCCTGGTACCAAAATAAAAGCTCTCAATAAACGTTAGCTATCATTATCGTTATTAGGAATAATATTGAGAGATTACTTTTTAATCCTATGTATTGGTCAAAATATGTCAATGATTGACCCAAGTTTGCATCCACTGATCAGTTAATTGGTTTAAAGGAAAGGATCCTAATTTTAATTCCATGGTCAATTTCATTTATATATTGATTCAACGAATTTTTTCTCTTTATGTAGAAAAATATAATCATGAATGGGCTTTAGCACATCCTCCTAAATCCTAATGCACAGTTTATGAAAATGCGTGCGTGTACTTTGTGGAAATAAAAGATCCATAGCTTTTCTCAACTTCCCAATGTGTATGCGTCTGAAAAAAAAAAAAACAATAGAGATTTTGTTTTAGAGTCTCTACATTTTCCTCACAGCCTGTGTCTTTCTGATTAGGGAAGGTTGATATAAAAAACCTGAAGACCGTTCTAGACAACATGGGAATCAAGCTCACAGATAAAGAACTTGAAGATCTGACACAAAGCCTGCCAGTCGGTGGTGAGCATGCTAGATATCACTGGTTTTTGGGTTTTGTGTTCTGTGTGCTTTTAGCATTAGAAGGAAAGGGAAAAAAGAACTTTTCATAATGCAAATGGCAAGATTAAATAAGACAGTCAGAGTAACAAAGTAGGGAAGGTAGTATTCTGAATACTAGCGGCATGGTCAATACAAGAGCCTTCCAAATTCTGAGGACAAGAAAGCTGACCCGTAGGAAAAAGCCACTTTTGAATTCCATCTTTCCATTATCAAATATAAGATTTGCTGTTTTATGGGTTATAAAGTCAAATTTACATTTTCTAAATAAGTTTATTTTCAATATTTATAATTGTTTCTTCATCTTCGTAACATATTCTGAGTAAATATTTATCAAATGACTAAAGTGCTTAACAAAATGCCCAGTATACTTCCTAAGTGCTGCTACTAGGTGTTATAATCATAGGAGGGAGGAAGAGTGTTCTTGTGATATAACATGTTATGAGCTTCAAATTATGCCTTTGTGTTATAGCTGATAATAAAGTGGCTCTGAAAGCATTGGAGGATGAAGTGAAAGCTTTTACTGGTAAGAATTTGTTACACATGATTTGCAATAAATGATGATTTACACTAAAATTTTTAATAGTATTTTTCTAATATTCTATTTGTGGCTTATCAATTCACATATTTTCAATATTTTGATAAAATATCTGCCTTTACTAACAGATTAACATTATCTGCGTTTTATCAGTCAAAACGAAAGAACTATTTCTTGATAACATCTTACATTCATTAGTACTGTTTTCCAATAAAATGGTTTCACCAGTATCTATAGACCCAAATAACTAGATGGACACAGTGAAAACAGGGTGAAGCATTAAAAGGATCAAAGTAATGAGTTCATTGCAAGCATCTAACCACCTAGTTTTACAAAAATGAAATATGTCATACTTGTTTTTTGACTTTTGCTTTTTATTATACTTTAAGTTCTAGGGTACGTGTGTACAACGTGCAGGTTTGTTACATATGTATACATGTGCTGTGTTGGTTTGTTGCACCCATTAACTCGTCATTTACATTATTTCTCCTAATGGTATCCCTCCCCCATTCCCCCACATCACAACTGGCCCCGGGGTGTGATGTTCCCCTCGCTGTGTCCAACTGTTCTGTTTGTTCAGTTCCCCCGTATGAGAACATGCAGTGTTTGGTTTTCTGTCCTTGCCATAGTTTGCTCAGAATGATGGATTCCAGCTTCATCCGTGTTGTTACAAAGGACACCAACTCATCCTTTTTTATGGCTGCATAGTATTCCATGGTGTACATGTGCCACATTTTCTTAATCCAGTCTATCACTGATGGACATTGGTGTTGGTTCCAAGTCTTTGCTATTGTGAATAGTGCCACAATAAACATACGTGTGTGTGTGTCTTTATAGTAGGATGATATATAATCCTTTGGGTATATACCCAGTAATGGGATTGCTAGGTCAAGTGATATTTCTAGTTCTAGATCCTTGAGGAATAGCTACAGTGTCTTCCACAATGGTGGAACTAGTTTACACTCCCGCCAACAGTGTAAAATCCTTCCTATTTCTCCACATCCTCTCCAGCACCTGTTGTTTCCTGACTTTTTAATGATCACCATTCTAACTGGTGTGACATGGTATCTCATTGTGGTTTTGATTTGCATTTTCTGATGGTGAGTGATGATGAGCATTTTTTCATGTGTCTGTTGGCTTTGTAAATGTCTTCTTTTGAGAAGTGTCTGTCCATATCCTTTGCTCACTTTTTGATGGGGTTGTTTCTTCTTGTATATTTGTTTGAGTTCTTGTAGGTTCTGGATATTAGCCCTTTGTCAGATGGGTAGATTGCAAAAATGTTCTCCCATTCTGCAGGTTGCCTGTTCACTCTGATGGTGGTTTCTTTTGCTGTCAGAAGCTCTTTAGTTAATTAGATGCATTTGTCAATTTTGGCTTTTGTGCCTTTGCTTTTGGTGTTTTAGACTTGAAGTCCTTGCCCATACCTATGTCCTGAATACTATTGGCTAGGTTTTCTTCTAGGGTTTTTATGCTTTTAGGTCTAACATTTAAGTCTCTCACTCATCTTAAATTAATTTTTGTATGAGGTATAATGAAGGGATCATTTCAGCTTTCTACATATGGCTAGCCGGTTTTCCCAGCACTATTTCTTAAATAGGGAATCCTTTTCCCATTTCTTGTTTTTGTCAGGTTTTTCAAAGATCAGATGGTTGTAGATGTGTGGTATTATTTCTGAGGTCTCTGCTCTGTTCCATTGGTCTATATCTCTTTTTTGGTGCCTGTACCATGCTGTTTTGGTTACTGTAGCCTTGTAGTGTAGTTTGAAGTCAGGTAGCATCATGCCTCCAGCTTTGTTCTTTTTGCTTAGGATTGTCTTGGCAATGAGGGCTCTTTTTTTGGTTCCATATGAACTTTAAAGTAGTTTTTTCCAATTCTGTGAAGAAAGTCATTGGTAGCTTAATGGGGATGGCATTGAATCTATAAATTACCTTGGGCAGTATGACCATTTTCATGATATTGATTCTTCCTATCCATGAACATGGAAAGTTCTTCCTTTTGTTTGTGTCTTCTTTTATTTCACTGAGCAGTGATTTGTAGTTCTACTTGAAGAGGTCCTTCACATCCCTTGTAAGTTGGATTCCTAGGTATATTATTTTCTTTGAAGTACTTGTGAATGGGAGTTCACTCATGATTTGGCTCTCTGTTTTTCTCTTATTGGTGTATAAGAATGCTTGTGATTTTTGCACTTTGATTTTTTATCCTGAGACTTCACTGAAGTTGCTTGTCAGCTTAAGGAGATTTCGGGCTGAGACGATGGGGTTTTTTAAATATATAATCATGTCATCTGCAAGCAGGGACAATTTGACATCCTCTTTTCCTAATTCAATGCCCTTTATTTCTTTCTCTTGCCTGATTACCTGGCCAGAATGTCCAACAATATGTTGAATAGGAGACACTATGTTGAATAGGAGTGGTGAGAGAGGGCATCCCTGTCTTGTGCCAGTTTTCAAAGGGAGTGCTTCCAATTTTTGCCCATTCAGTATGATATTGGCTGTTGGTTTGTCATAAATAGTTCTTATTATTTTGAGATACATTCCATTAATACCAAATTCATTGAGAATTTTTAGCATGAAGCACTGTTGAATTTTGTCAAAGGCCTTTTCTGCATCTATTTAGATAATCATGTGGTTTTTGTCTTTGGTTTTGTTTATATGCTGGATTACATTTATTGATTTGTATATATTGAACCAGCCTTGCATCCCAGAGATGAAGCCAACTTGATCATGGTGGATAAGCTTTTTGATGTGCGGCTGGATTCAGTTTGCCAGTATTTTATTGAGGATTTTTGCATCGATGTTTATCAGGCATATTGGTCTAAAATTCTCTTTTTTTGTTGTGTCTCTACCAGGCTTTTGTATCTGGATGATGTTAGGCTCATAAAATGAGTTAGGAAGGATTCCCCTTTTTCTATTGATTGGAATGCTTTCAGAAGGAATGATACCAGCTCCTCTTTGTACCTCTGGTAGAATTTGGCTGTGAATCCGTCTGGTCCTCGATCTTTTTTGGTTGGTAGGCTATTAATGATTGCCTCAATTTCAGAGCCTGTTATTGGTCTACTCAGGGATTCAACTTCTTCCTGGTTTAGTCTTAGGAGAGTGTAAGTGTCCAGGAAATTATCCATTTCTTCTAGGTTTTCTAGTTTATTTGTGTAGCAGTGTTTATAGTATTCTCTGATGGTAGTTTGTATTTCTGTGGGGTCGGTGGTGATATCCCCTTTATCATTTTTTGTTGCATCTATTTGGTTCTTCTCTCTTTTCTTCTTTATTAGTCTTGCTAGTGGCCTATCTGTTTTGTTGATCTTTCCAAAAAAACCAGCTCCTGGATTCATTGATTGTTTGAAGGGCTTTTTGTGTCTCTATCTCCTTCAGTTCTGCTCTGATCTTAGTTATTTCTTGCTTCTGCTAGGTTTTGAATGTGTTTGCTCTTGCTTCTCTAGTTCTTTTAATTGTGATGTTAGGGTGTCAATTTTAGATCTTTCCTGCATTCTCTTGTGAACATTTAGTGCTATAAATTTCCCTCTACATACTGCTTTAAATGTGTCCCAGAGATTCTGGTATGTTGTATCTTTGTTGTCATTGGCTTCAAGGAACATCTTTATTTCTGCCTTCATTTCGTTATGTACCCAGTAGTCATTCAGGAGCAGGTTGTTTAGTTTCCATGTAGTTGAGCAGTTTTGAGTGAGTTTCTTAATCCTGAGTTCTAATTTGATTGCCCTGTGATCTGAGAGACAGTTTGTTATAAGTTCTGTTCTTTTTCATTTGCTGAGGAGTGCTTTACTTCCCCCTATGCGTTCAATTTTGGAATGAGTGTGATGTGGTGCTGAGAAGAATGTATATTCTGTTGATTTGGGGTGGAGAGTTCTGCAGATGTCTATCAGGTCCACTTGGTGCAGAACTGAGTTCAATTCCTGGATATCCTTGTTAACATTCTGTCTCATTGATCTGTCTAATATTGACAGTGGGCTGTTAAAGTCTCCCATTATTATTCTGTGGGAGTCTAAGTCTCCTTGTAAGTCTCTAAGGACTTGCTTTATGAATCTGAGTGCTCCTGTGTTGGGTGCATATATATTTAGCATAGTTAGTTCTACTTGTTGAATTGATCCCTTTACCATTATATAATGGCCTTCTTTGTCTCTTTTGATCTTTGTTGGTTTAAAGTCTGTTTTATCAGAGACTAGGATTGCAACCCCTGCCTTTTTTGTGTTCTCCATATGCTTGGTAGATCTTCCTCCATCCCTTTATTTTGAGCCTATGTGTGTCTCTGTATGGGAGATGGGTCTCCTGAATATAGCAAACTGATGGATCTTGACTCTTTATCCAAGTTGCCAGTGTGTTTCTTTTAATTGGAGCATTAGGCCATTTACATTTAAGGTTAATATTGTTATGTGTGAAGTTGATCCTGTCATTATGATGTTAGCTGGTTATTTTGCTCGTTAGTTGATGCAGTTTCTTCCTAGCATCAAGGTCTCTACATTTTGGCATGTTTTTGCAGTGGCTGGTACTGGTTGTTCCTTTCCATGTTTAGTGCTTCCTTCAGGAGCTCTTGTAGGGCAGGCCTGGTGATGACAACATCTCTCAGCATTTGCTTGTTTGGAAAGGATTTAATTTCTCCTTCACTTATGAAACTTAGTTTCGCTGGAGATGAAATTCTGGGTTGAAATTCTTTTCTTTAAGAATGTTGAATGTTGGCCCCCACTCTCTTCTGGCTTGTAGAGTTTCTGCCGAGAGATCCGCTGTTAGTCTGATGGGCCTCCCTTTGTGAGTAACCCAACCTTTCTCTCTGGCTGCCCTTAACATTTTTTCCTTCATTTCAACTTTGGTGAATCTGACAATTATGTGTCTTGGAGTTGCTCTTCTCGAAGAGTATCTTTGTGGTGTTCTCTGTATTTCCTGAATTTGAATGTTGGCCTATCTTGCTAGGTTGGGGAAGTTTTCCTGGATAATATCCTGCAGAGTGTTTTCTGACTTGGTTCTATTCTCCCCGTCACTTTCAGGTACACCAATCAGACGTAGATTTGGCCTTTTCACATAATCCTATATTTCTTGGAGGCTTTGTTCGTTTCTTTTTCCTCTAAACTTCTTGCTTTATTTCATTCATTTGATCTTCAATCACTGATACCCTTTCTTCCAGTTTATCAAATCGGTTACTGAAGCTTGTGCATTTGTCACATAGTTCTCATGCCATGGTTTTCAGCTCTATCAGGTCATTTAAGGACTTCTCTACATTGGTTATTTTAGTTACCCATTCATCAAATATTTTGTCAAGGTTTTTAGCTTCTTTGCAATGGGTTCGACTTCCTTCTTTAACTTGGAGAAGTTTGATCATCTGAAGCCTTCTTCTCTCAACTCATCAAAGTCATTCTCCATTCAGCTTTGTTCCATTGCTGGTGAGGAGCTGCGTTCCTTTGGAGGGGGAGAGGCTCTCTGATTATTAGAGTTTTCAGCTTTTCTGCTCTGTTTTTTCCCCATCTTTGTGGTTTTATTTACCTTTGGCCTTTAATGATGGTGACGTACAGATGGGGTTTTGGTGTGGATATCCTGTTTGTTAGTTTTCCTTCTAACAGTCAGGACCCTCAGCTGCAGGTCTGTTGGAGTTTGCTGTAGGTCCACTCCAGACCCTGTTTGCCTGGGTATCAGCAGCAGAGGCTGCAGAAGAGTGAATTTGCTGAACAGCAAATGTTGCTGCCTGATTGTTCCTCTGGAAGCTTCGTCTCAGAGGGTTACCCGGCCATGTGAGGTGTAAGGTGACAGTCTGCCCCTGGTGGGGGGTTGTCTCCCAGTTAGGCTACTCAGGGGTCAGGGACCCACTTGGGCAGGCAGTCTGTCCATTCACAGATCTCAAACTCCATGCTTGGGAACCACTACTCTCTTCAAAGCTGTCGGACAGGGACATTTAAATCTGCAGAGGTTTCTGCTGCCTTTTGTTTGGCTATGTCCTGTCCCCAGAGGTGGAGTCTACAGAGGCAGACAGGCCTCCTTGAGCTGTGGTGGGCTCCACCCAGTTCGAGCTTCCCAGCCACTTTGTTTACCTACTCAAGCCTCAGTAATGGTGGGTGCCCCTCCCCCAGCCTTGCTGCCGCCTTGCAGTTATATCTCAGACTGCTGTGCTAGCAATGAGGGAGGCCCCGTGGGCATGGGACACTCTGAGCCAGGCACGGGATATAATCTCCTGGTGTGCCGTTTGCTAAGACCCTTGGAAAAGCGAAGTATTAGGGTGGGAGTGACCCAATTTTCCAGGTGCTGTGTGTCACGATTTCCCTTGGCTAGGAAAGGGAATTCCCTTACCCCTTGAGCTTCCCGGGTGAGGCAATGCGTTGCCCTGCTTCAGTTCTCTCTCAGTGGGCTGTACCCACTGTCCTGCACCCACTGTCTGACATGCCCTGGTGAGATGAACCCAGTACCTCAGTTGGAAATGCAGAAATCACCCATCTTCTGTGTCACTCATGTTGGGAGCTGGAGGCTGGAGCTGTTCCTATTCAGCCATCTTGGAACTGCCCCTCTGTTTCAAAGATTAAAAGGATGCTGGCCAGGCATGGTGGCTCATGCCTGTAATCCCAGCACTTTAGGAGACTGAGGCAGGTGGATCACTTGAGGTCAGGAGTTCGAGACCAGCCTGGCCAACATGGAGAAACCCTGTCTCTACTGAAAATACAAAAATTAGCCGGGTATGGTGGCATGTGCCTGTAATCCCAGCTACTAGGGAGACTGAGGCAGGAGAATCTCTTGAACCAGGGAGGCAGAGGTTGCAGTGAGCCAAGATTATGCCACTGCACTCCAGCCTGGGCAACAGAGGGCAACAGAGCAAGACTCTGTCTCAAAAAAAAAAAAAAGATACTGTAGTAGGTAGTGATGTAATTTTGCCAGAAAATCATACCAGAACACACTTTTAGAAGTTAGCATTTATTCATTGCTTATCCTAAAAATTATGGAATAGTTATAACTTGAATTTCCTTAAATATAAGATCGTATAAACTTATTTGATCATTTGCATTTTTATTCTCCAATCAAACCTTTTAGATCATTTTTATTTATTATTTACTATTAAATCATGGTCCTCATTTTAACTGGATTTATTTTCATTGGTGATCTATCCAGCAATAAATCTTCAATGAAAAGGACCTCCTGTACAATATGTCTTTTTTTTCAGAGTTCACGTTATTGCTTCTCTCTGATTAAACTTTGTATTACAGCCTACGAGAAAGTTGATCTGGAAAAACTGATGAATAAAGTAGAAGCTGTTGCAAGTGAGAAAGAAGTGACCAAATATATATTATTCTGATGTCAACTGATTTTACTTTTCTTAAATTAAAGATTTTAAAAGAATGATATTTTGTTTTAAAAGGCTGCTCAAAGCAAATGAAAACACACTTCATTTAAGGACAAAAAAGAATTATATATTTATGTCTAAGAATATCAGACAGTTTCTTTAACTTGTTTTGTTAGGCCTTTTGATTAAACTAGAGGTCCAAGCTCATTCTTATTCAGCTTTATGATTATCTTCAGACATGAATGCCGAGAAAATTAGCAATAGAAACCTTAACACTTGAGAGTATACTTTTCATACATTTAACCAACTGTTTGCTGATCACATAAATAATAAATGTTATTTATAAAGTAAATATAAATACTAAATGCATATGATTCCAATTCTTTACGCATATTTTATATGTGTTCCAGTTAATTTTAATGTCTTTTAAAATTAGATTGTTTTTTAAAATAATTTAAACTTTTATTTTAGATTCAAGGGATATATGTGCAGGTTTGTTACATGGGCACATTCTGTGATGCTGAGGTTTGGGGCACAAATGATCCCATCACCCGTTGTGAGCATAGTACCCAATAGGTAGATTTTCAACCCACATTCCCCTCCCCACTACCCTCTCTAGTAGTCCCTAGTTCTATTTTTGCCATTTTTATGTCCATGTGTACCCAGTGTTTACCTCACTTATAAGTGAGAACACACAGTATTTAGTTTTCTGTTCCTGTATTAATTTTCTTAGGATAATGGCCTCCGGCTCTATTGTTGCTTCAAAGGGAAAAATCTCATTCTTTTTATGGCTGCATAGTATTCTGTGGTGTGTATGTAACACATTTTCTTTATCAGCCCACTATTGATGGGCACCTAGGTTGATTCCATGTATTTTCTGTGGTGGACATATGAGTGTCTGTATCTTCTTAGTAGAACAATTTATTTTCTTCAGGATGTATACCCAGTAATGGGATTGCTGGGTTGAATAGTAATTCTGTTTTAAGTTTTTGAGAAATCTCCAAACTGCTTTCCACAGTGGCCAAACTAATTTACATTCTGATCAACAGTGTATAAGTATTCCCCTTTCTCTGCAACCTTGCCAGCATCTGTTGTTTTTGACTTTTTAATAAAGGCCATTCTGCCTGGTGTGAGATATCTCATTGTGGCTTTTATTTGCATTTATCTGATGACTAGTGATGTTAAGCATTTTTTTCCTATGCTTGTTGGCTGTATGTATGTCTTCTTTTGAAAAAGTGTCTGTTCATGTCTTTTGCCCACTTTTGAATAGAATTATTTGTTTTTGCCTGTTGATTTAAGTTACTTATAGATTCTGGATATTAGACCTTTGCCATATGCATAGTTTGTGAATATTTTCTCCCATTCTATAGGTTGTCTGTTTACTCTGTTGATGGTTTTTCTCACAGTGCAGAAGCTCTTTAGCTTAATAAGATCCCATTTGTCCATTTTTGTTTTTGTCACAATTGCTTTTTGCATCATAAATTATATTCCAAGACCAATGTCTGGAATGGCATTTCCTAGGTCTTCTTCCAGAATGCTTACAGGGTTTTTTTGTTGCTGCTTGGGATTTTTTCTTCAAACAGTCTCACTCTGTTGCCCAGGCTGGAGTGCAGCTGGAGTGCAGTGGCACTGTCACAGCCCACCACAGCCTCAACCTCCTAGGCTCAAGCAGTCCTCCCCCTTTAGCCTCCCGAGGAGCTGGGACTACAAACACACACCACCACAGGGTTTCACTATGTTGCCCAGGATGGTCTTGAACTCCTGAGCTCAAAGGATCCTCCTGCCTTGGCCTCCCAAAGTAGCATTCTTATAGTCTGATGTCTTGCATTTAAATCTTTCATTCATTTCTAATTAGTTTTTATATATGGTGAAAGGCAAATGTGCAGTTTCATTCTTCTGCATGTGGCTAGCCTGTTCTGAGAACTACCATTCTGATAAATGGCTAGCCAATTATCCAAGCACCATTTATTGACTAGGGCCTTCTTTCCCCATTGCTTCTTTTTGTCAGCTTTGTTGAAGATCAGATGGCTGTTGATCTGTGGCTTTATTTCTGGGTTCTCTATTCTGTTCCATTGGTCTATGTGCCTGTTCTCGTATGTGTACCATGCTGTTTTGGTTACTGTAGTCTTATAGCATAGTTTGAAGTCAGGTAATGTGACACCTCCAGTTTTGCTTTTTTTAATTAATTACGCTATTTTTGAATTAAATGATTGTGTCCAGTCATAAGGTCTAGATTGTGTCTAGACCTTAACTTTGGCTTATCAATGTTTTAGCAACAAAACATGATGCCACATTTTATTAATAAGCCTGTAATCTCACTTTTTCCAGATTAATCAAAGATATTTATTTAGCATTAATAGAAATATAATTATTATTTAGAATAATTAGGTAGTTCTTTAAAATCTCATGTGTTACCATTTCTATCTGTTTGAAGGAGAGGAAGTTGATGTCAATGACATGAAAACAATTCTAGGAAACATGGGGATAGAGCTTACGGATAAAGAACTCACAGAACTGGTAAATAATCTGCCAGTTGATGGTGAGTATTTCAAATAAAAATGTAATCTTCCAGGGAGGCTTACTGTTAAACTTTGAAAACTTCTAAAACTATCTAACTTTAAAAATAATCTATGACCCATGTTGTGTAATTTTAAAATGACCCCATTATATTTTAAAAGATTATTTGTGCCATTCAACTTTTATTTTGAGAATCAACAATTGTGTCATGTTTTCTGTCATCAGGGTTCAGTTATATCTTTTATTACTTTTGATTCTACTGAAAGATCTAAAATTTAAGCCAGGATAAATGAGAAAAAGAAAGAAAAGGGAGTGACCTAATAGGGGAAAATGGAAAATCACAAAATAATAAGAAGAAAGGATATGTTTCAACATGGTAGAGTGTCAGTATTAACTGCCTATATTAATAAAGTTACAACTTTCTCCACACTCTATATAATTTCATTGGTTTTCAGTAAGTCAGAAAATTTATAAGGCAGTTCATAAAGTATGTCTTTCTGAAATTATTGGTTTTATATTTTCTGTAAAGCCCCACATTGCTCTTGTGTGATCTGAACAGTGCTTCTTCTTACAGATGGAAAGGTCTATCAGAAAAGATTGCTGGACGGTATAAAGTTTCTTAGAGGTGAGGGAGATGCTTAATAAAATGCTGATTAATCTGAGATTATAATGTATGGCATTTACATAATTTCCTTGTTATTAAATTGTGAATCCTGCCACATAACATGTATATTATTACATACTTTTGTTTCTTTTATACATTAGCCTCTACTTTAAGAGATCACTTCTTATAGTGTAACTTGGAAAGAATTCCCATGCTCTCTTGGGATTTTCCAAATTTTGATAGAAGAAATTATTACAGTCAAGGTTGCACAGCAAAAAGTAAAGGGAAATTACTTTTTTAACTTAAATAAAATGTTAATTGGATTGCTTATAAGACAAAGAATAAATGTTTGAGGGGATGGATATCCCATTTTACATAATGTGATTATTATACATTGCATGCCTACATCAAAACATCTCATGTACTCTATAAATATACACACCTACTAAGTACTCACAAAAATTAAAATTAAAAAAAATTTATGGGGCGGGGCCAAGATGGCCAATTAGAAGCAGCAGTGTTCAGAGGCTCCCATGCCAAAAAAAAAAAAAAAAAAAAAAAAACCTAAAAACATGTAAATCCTTCACTAGCAGCCAAGGTATCCAGATTCTTATCAAAATGACTAGAAGGCTAGTTTTACCAATGGAGAGAAGGAAGAACAGTGTGGTGCAGTGGCCCACCTGCAAGACACATGGGGAAGGAGAACCTCCTGCCCCCAGCCAAGGGAGGCAGTGAATGAGCTTGCTACCCAGCTTTTTCCATGGAACTCTGCTTTTTCCATGGAACTGTGCAACCCACAGATCGGAAAATCCCACTCGTGAATCCATGCCACCGGGGCCTAGCATCCCAATCCTGGGATGCACAGTTTCTTACAGCCTCTCAACTGGAATCTGCTTAAGCCTACTGAAATCCCAGTGGGGAGGGATGACCAGCATCAGCTGAGGCTGCCTATTGTCTAAGCCATTTGAATTCCTTGTGGGAGGGGCAGCAGCCAGCACTAGGACTTGCAACTGTCTAGCATGCTAAGCTCACTGGGCGGGGGAAGGGTGACACCCATTTCTATAGCTCCAGGCTGTACTTTTCCCCTTCTGGCACCAGGAAGGCTGGACGGCTTGGTCCTAAGACTTGTCCCAACAGCCCAACACACTGGCTGTGGCAGCCTGTGGCCAGAATGCCTTTTCAGGCCAAACCCTGACCCATCTTTCCTCATTGAGCAGGGCTTCCCTGCAGGATCTACAATAACTCCAGCAAGAGGCTCAGGGACAGAACTCGGATCTCCCTGGGCCTGAGCTCCTAGCGGGAGGGGTAGTCGCAGACTCTGCAGACTAGCAGACTTAGCCTCTTCTCCTGGCAGTTCCGAGGAATCCTGGCAGCACAAACGAGTGGATTTCCCCCCAGTGAAGCACACCCGCTCCACCAAGGGACAAAGTTCTTCATTAAACGAGTCCTGTGGCCTGTGCCACCCAACTGGGTGAGACCTTCCAACAGAAGCTGTCAGACCCTCTATACAGGAGCGATCCTGCTGGCATCAGGTTGGTGCCCCTTAAGATCAGAGGTCCCAGAAGAAGGAGCAGACACTCATCTTTTCTGTTTTCCAGCCTCTTTGAGTGACATCTCCAGTCACAGGAGTAAATCAGATTAATAAAGCCTGAAGTAAATCCCCGGCAAACTCCAGCAACCCTACAGAAGAGGGACCTGACTACTGAAAGAAAATCAAGCAGAAAGCGACAACAACAGCATCAACAACAACAACAAAAAAGACCTTCACAGAAACCTCATCCAAAGATCGGCAATCTCAAAGACCGAAACAAGAAAAACTAACAAAGATGAGAAGGAATCAACAAAAAAAAATGCTGAAAACCCAAAAGACCAGAGTGCCTCTTCTCCTCCAAATGATTGCAATGTCTCTCCATCAAGCGTGCAGAACTGGATGGAGGATCAGATGGCTGAACTGACAGACGTAAGCTTCAGAAGATGCGTAATAAAACTACGATGAGCTACAGGAGCACGTTCTAACCCAATGCAAAGAAGCTGAGAACCTTGATAAAAGGTTAGAGGAACTGCTAACCAGAATAATCAGTTCAGAGAGGAACATAAATGACCTGATGGAGCTGAAAAACACAGCACAAGAACTTCGTGAAGCATACACAAGTAACCACAGTTGAATCAACCAAGCGGAAGAAAGGATATCAGAGTTTGAAGACCACCTCACTGAAATGCAGAAAAGAATAGAGAAAAAAGAATGAAAAGGAATGAACTAAGCCTCCAAGAAATAGGGGACTTCATAAAAAGACCAAACCTACAATTGATTGGAATACCAGAAGGAGACAGGGACAATGGAAACAAGCTGGAAAACACACTTCAGGATATTATCCAGGAGAACTTCCCCAACCTAGCAAGACAAGCCAACATTCAAATTCAGGAAATACAAAGAACACCCCTAACATATTCCTCGAGAAGAGCAACCACAAGACTCATAATCGTCAGATTCTCCAAGGTTAAAATGAAGGAAAAAATGTTAAGGGCAGCCAGACAAAAAGGTCAGTTACCTATAAAGGGAAGCCCATCAGACTCACAGCGGATTTCTGTGCAGAAACCCTACAAGCCAGAAGAGAGTGGGGGCCAATATTCAAAATTCTTAAAGAATTTTCAACCCAGAATTTTATATACAGCCAAACTAAGCTTCATAAGTGAAGGAGAAATAAAATCCTTTAGAGACATGCAAATGCTGAAAGATTTTGTCTTCACCAGGCCTGCCTTACAAGAGGTCCTGAAGGAAGCACTAAATATGGAAAAGAAAAACCAGTACCACCCACTGCAAAAACATACCAAAATATAAAGACTAATGACATTATGAAGAAACTGCATCAACTAATGTGCAAAATAACCAGCTAGTATAATGATGACAGGATCACATTCACACATAACAATATTAACCTTAAATGTAAATGGGCTAAATGCCCCAGTGAAAAGACGTAGACTGGCAAATTGGATAAAGAGTCAAGACCTGTCAGTGTGCTGTATTCAGGAGACCCATCTCACATGCAAAGACACACATAGGCTCAAAATAAAGGAATGGAGGAATATTTACCAAGCAAATGGAAAGCAAAGAAAAGCAGGGGTTGCAATCCTAGTCTCTGATAAAACAGACTTTAAACCAACAAAGATCAAAAAAGACAAAGAAGGCCATTACATAGGGGTAAAGGGATCAATGCAACAAGAAGAGCTAACTATGCTAAATATATATGCACCCAATACAGGAGCCCCCAGATTCATTGAACAAGTTCTTAGAGACCTACAAAGAGACTTAGACTCCCACACAATAATAGTGGGAGAATTTAATACCCCACTGTCAGTATTAGACAGATCAATGAGGCAGAAGATTTACAAGGATATCCAGGACTTGAACTCAGCTCTGGACCAAGCAGACCTAATAAACATCTACAGAACTCTCCACCCCAAATCAACAGAATATACATTCTTCTCAGTGCCACATGGCAGTTATTCTAAAATTGATCACATAATTGGAAGTAAAACACTCCTCAGAAAATGCAAAAGAACTGAAATCATAACAGTCTCTCAGACAGTGCAATCAAATTAGAACTCAGTATTAAGAAACTCACTCAAAACCACACAATTTCCTGGAAATTGAACAACCTACTCCTGAATGATTCCTGGGTAAATAATTAAATTAAGGCAGAAATCAAGATGTTATTTGAAACCAATGAGAACAAAGAGACAATGCATCAGAATCTCTAGGATACAGCTAAAGCAGTTTATAGCACTAAATGCCCGCATCAGAAAGCTAGAAATATCTCAAATTGACAACCTATCATCACAAATAAAAGAGCTGAAAAGACAAGAGCAAAGTAATCCAAAAGCTAGCAGAAGACAAGAAATAACAAAGATCAGAGAGGAATTAAAGGAGATAGACATCAAAAACCCTCCAAAAATCAACGAATCCAGGAGCTAGTTTTTTGAAAAAATTAACAAAATAGATAGACTGCTAGCTAGCCTAATCAAGAAGAGAGAGAAGAATCAAATAGACACGATAAAAAAAATGATAGGGAGAATATCACCACTGACCCCTCAGAAATGCAAACTACCATCAGAGAATACTATAAACACCTCTATGCAAATAAACTTGAAAATATAGAAGAAATGGATAAATTCCTAGACACATATACCCTCCCAAGACTAAACCAGGAAGAAGTTGAATCCCTGAATAGACCAATAACAAGCTCTGAAATTGAGGAAGTAATTAATGGCCTCCCAACCAAAAAAAAAAAAATGACCAAAAGGATTCACAGCTGAATTCTACCAGAAATACGAAGAGGAGCTGGTACCATTCCCTCTGAAACTATTCCAAACAATTGAAAAGGAGGAACTCCTCCCTAACTCTTTTTATGAAGCCAGCAACATCCAGATACCAAAACTGGGAAGAGATAGAACAAAAAAAGAAAACTTCAGGCCAATATCCCTGATGAACATCGATGCAAAAATCCTCAATAAAAAACTGGCAAACCGAACCCAGCAGCATATCAAAAACTTATCCACCATGATCCAGTCAGCTTCATCCCTGGGAGGCAAGGCTGGTTCAATATACACAAATCAATCAACATAATCCATCATGTAAACAGAACCAAAGACAAAAACCACATGATTATTTCAATAGATGCAGAAATGGCCTTTGGTAAAATTCAACATCCCTTCGTGTAAAATAAACTATGTATTGATGAAACATATCTCAAAATAATAAGAGCTATTTATGACAAACGCACAGCCAATATCATATTGAATGGGCAAAAGCCAGAAGCATTCCCTTTGAAAACAGCACAAGACAAGGATGCCCTCTCTCATCACTTCTACTCAATATAGTATTGGAAGTTCTGGCCAGGGCAGTCAAGCAAGAGGAAGAAATAACAAGTATTCAAATAGGAAGAGAGGATGTCAAGCTGTCTCTGTTTGTAGATGACATGATTTTATATTTAGAAAAACCCAGCAGCTCAACCCAAAACCTTCTTGAACTGATAAGCAACTTCAGCAAAGTTTCAGGATACAAAATCAATGTGCAAAAATCACAAGCATTCCTTTACACTAACAATATATAAGCAGAGAGCCAAATCCTGAATGGACTCCCATTCACAATCGCTACAAAGAGAATAAAATACCTAGGAATACAACTTACAAGGGATATGAAGGACCTCTTCAAGGAGAACTACAAACCACTGCTCAAGAAAATAAGAGAGGACACAAACAAATGAAAAAACATTCCATCCTCATGGATAGGAAGAATCAATATTGTGAAAATGGCCATACTGCCCAAAGTAATTTATAGATTCAATGCTATTCCCATTAAACTATCATTGACATTCTTCCAGAATTCGAACAAACTATTTTAAACTTCGTATGGAATCAAAGAAGACTCTGTATAGCCAAGACAATCATAAGCAAAAAGCACAAAGCCGGAGGCATCATGCTACCTGACTTCAAACTATATTACAAGGCTACAGTAACCAAAACAGCATGGTACTGGTACCAAAACAGAGATATAGACCAATGGAGTAGAACAGAGACCTTAGAAATAACAGCACACATCTACAACCATCTGATCTTCAACAAACCTGACAAAAGAAAGCAATGAGGAAAGGATTCCCTATTCAATAAATGGTGCTGGGGAAACTGACTAACCATATGCAGAAAACTGAAACTGGACCTCTTCCTTATACCATATACAAAAATTAAGATAGATTAAAGATTTAAATGTAAAACCCAAAACCATAAAAACCCTAGAAGAAAACCTAGGCAATACCATTCAGGACATAGGCATGGGCAAAGACTTCATGACAGAAACACCAAAAGCAATTGGAACAAAAGCCAAAATTGACAAGTGGGATCTAATTAAACTAAAGAGCTTCTGCACAGCAAAATAAACTACCATCAGAGTGAACAGGCAACCTAGAGAATGGGAGAAAATTTTTGCAATCCACCCATCTGACAAAGGCCTAATATCCAGAATATACAAGGAACTTAAACAAATTTACAAGAACAAAACAACCCCATCAAAAAGTAGACATAGCAAGTGAACAGACACTTCTCAAAAGAAGACATTTATGCAGCCAACAAACATGAAAAAAAAGCTCAACATCACTGATCATCAGAGAAATGCAAATCAAAACCGCAATGAGATACCATCTCATGCCAGTCAGAATGGCAATTATTAAAAAGTCAGGAAACAATAGATGCTGGCAAGGCTGTGGAGAAATAGGAATGCTTTTACACTGTTGGTGGGAATGTACATTAGTTCAACCATTGTGGAAGACAGTGTGGCGATTCCTCAAGGATCTAGAACCAGAAATACCATTTGACCCAGCAACCCTATTACTGAGTATATACCCAAAAGAATATAAGTTATTCTACTGTAAAGACACATGCACACATGTTTACTGCAGTATTATTTAAAATAGCAAAGACATGGAACCAAGTCAAATGCCCATCAATCATAGACTGGATAAAGAAAATGGAGTACTTATACACCATGGAATACCATGCAACCATAAAAAGGAATGAGATCATGTCCTTTGCAGGGACATAAATGAAGCTGGAAGCCATCATCCTCAGCAAACTAACACAAGAACAGAAAACCAGACACCATGTGTTCTCACTTACAAGTGGGAGGTGAACATTGTGAACACATGGACACAGAGAGGGGAACAACACACACCAGGGCCTATTGGGGATGGGGGTCAGGGGAGAGAACTTAGAGGATGGGTCAATAGGTGCAGCAAAGCAACATGGTACACATATACCTATGTAACAAATCTGCACGTTCTGCATATGTATCCTGTTTTTGTTATTTTTTTTTAGAATAAATTTTTAAAATATTTTTTAGAAAAAAAAATGGGAATGGAAAATCCAGTATCCTTTAACATAACTAGAAGTTAATTGTAAAAATAAATACAATGAAAACCAGAAAAAAATGAGTTAGAAACATTGGATTGTCACCTTGCTGAAATTCTGTGAGAAGTAATTTAGTCACCTTTAAAACTTTATACCGGGTATGCTTATCATGACTGTTAAAACAAGATCTAATTCTAAGTATGTTACTGACTCTTCGTACACCTGTAAATGTCTTATTAGTATTTGGTCTTTCGTATGAAAATATTAACCATAATCCTAAGAAATTGATAGTTTTCCCCACATTTTAGAGACATTAACTTTTGCTTGTATATCTCTCTTTTAATAAGGGGGGAAGATTGACTCCAGCAAAGTGGACATGGTTTTGGGAAACATGGGCATAAACCTCACTGAAAAAGAACTTGAAGATCTAACACAAAACCTACCAGTTGATGGTGAGAATTTTAGATATTGCTGAACCCTACAGAAGAACTAGTCTTATAAACCTATTTATAACAATCATTAGAAATGTTATTTGGACCTGGATTCAGTGGTGCTTACCTGTAGTCCCAGCTATACTGGAGGCTGAGGCAGGAGGATCACTTGAGGCCAGGAGTTCAAGGCTGCAGTGCACTATGCTTGTGCCTGTGAATAGCCACTGCACTTCAGCCTGGGCAACAGAGCAAGACTCTGTCTCTTAAAAAAAAAAAAAAAAGTGTTTATTTGGTATCAAGAAGGCATTCTGAAAACCTTAGAGGAAAAACTCGAGTCCAAAGGGAGAACACATGCTATCTCTTGCTCGTTGCATGTGTATTTGGAGAAAGATTTCATGATCATGATTCTCTCTCTCTCTCTCTCTCTCTCTCTCTCTCTCTGCTTTCCTTTTCTCTCTCTCTCTCTCTCTGTCTGTGTGTGTGTGTCTGTGTGTCTGTGTGTGTGTGTTTTTATATTCAACTTTTCTTTGTATTCCCTGTAAGGTAGGGAGAATTGATAGGTATTGCTCAAATTCCAATCCACACCTTTGGCCACATTTGCTAATAGGTGACATCAGTATTTATGTTTTTAAGGGCACTTAATCTTTTATGTTTTCTTCCCTTTTACTATGGCTAGGTATACCTGCTGTACATGACACCCATCTGAATCAGTGTTTGTCTGTCTCGCACTTTCATATGGGTCCTACGGGGAAAAGTTTATGGTGGACAATTTAAACCAGCTCCTCTCCTTTTCCATTTCCCCTGATGCTGGCATGTATACATTGTATTAACCTTTTTTCAAGTAACAGTGGTAAAATTTGAGACCCAGTTTTAGGTTGGAGAGTAATGAAATAGACTATACCCACAGTCCACATCTGCCTGAATCTTTTAAAGCACTACTGGCTTATGAGAAGATGTACCTCAAGAGATTTGGACTCTAAAAATTGTCAGTAATTTCCTGGGACTGTATTTATCTTGGGGATCTATGGGAAGTAGTAATTTATTATAGGCAGAATTTCAGAATTTCTGAAACCCCTGGCCAAAATAAAATCTCTACCTTATTATTAATACCTAATCCTGCCCTGGGTTTGTAATGTTATTTTATAACCTTAAGTAAGGAAGTTGTTGAACTATTACTAAAAATAAGTGAAAGTGTTAACAGGGCCACCAATAGGCCAGAAAATACACAGAAAGAGGAAAAATAATCTGGCAAAATTGTGGATTTGGTGGACGGTACTAGAAGAATATAATGAAAGAAAGTTAACAGAGAAAAACAAATAAGTGGGAGAGAAGAAAAGAGAAATGCCAGTGGTGGATAATAATTGGAACACCCCCAACAATTATCTGAGAAAAGTAGTGATTGTTATCATTCAGCCATTCCAAATAAAAGTTTAAAATGAAATAGGGAACTTTGTAAAGATAATGAGTTAAATGTACACATGTACTTTTATTTTAGGTGTGGTTGTGCTATTTTAGTATTATATTTTCTTTTTTGAGTTGATGCCTTTGTCATTATAAAATGTCCCTTTTTACTTATTGTAATTTTTCTTGCTTTAAATACTACTTTGTCCATATTACCAGTGTTACTAGCTTTTTTTCAGTTTTCATAGTGTATCTTTTCCCTCCTTTGATTTTCAGTCTATCTGTGCCCACATTGTTAAAGGATATATCTTGTATACAGCATATATTTAGACTCCATTTTTTGAGTCTGACAATCTCTCTTTTTTCTCTTTTGGTTAGTTTTTAGTACAGTTAATGTAATTACTGATATACATCTACAGTGCATGATTGCTGAGTTTTGACATATGAGTATACCTGTGTAACCCAAACATCAAGATATAGAACATTATTGTCACTCCGGAAATTTCCTTCATGCTCCATCCCAGTTAGTTCTCACCCTACCCTAGAAGCAACCAATATGCCAATTTTTTCTACCATAAATTAATTTTACCTACCCCAAAACATATAAATGGCTCATATAGTAACTACTCTTTTGTATAAAGCCTCTACTTTATATATATATTATGCTGCAACATAATTATTCCAAAAGTTGGTGTCATAAAGCAACTACTTGTTATGCTCACAGATTCTGTAGGTCAGGAATTTAGACAGGACATAGTGAGAATGGTTTATCTCTGATTCATGATGTCTGGGACCTCAGCTAGAAAACTCAGAAGTTAGGGTTCAGAATCATCTATGAGCTCATTCGCCCAAGTCTGGCAGTTGATGATAGTTATTGGATTGGGGCTGGAGAGGGTTTCTGCTTCTCTCCAAGTGTGTTCTCCATATGGTCTCACTGCATGAGCTATTTTGGGCCCCTGTATAGCACAGTTGTTGGGTACCAAATTGAAACATTCTGACAGAGAGAGAGAGAGAGAGAATGCCAGATGAAAACTATCCTTTGTGTGATATAGCCTCAAAAGTCACATAGCATCATTTTCACCAAATGTTATTGTCAAAGCCATGGCAAAAGTCTAAGTCTAAAGCTTGACTCAGTCTAAGCTCTTGGTGGGAGATGTATCAGTTAATGTTTTCTTTTTCTGTTTTTCTTTTCTTTTTTTTTTTTTTTAAGACAGTCTCGCTCTGTCACCCAGGCTGGAGTGCAGTGGTGTGATCTTGGCTCCCTGCAGCCTCCTCCTCCCAGGTTCCAGCAATTCTCATGCCTCAGCATCCCAAGTAGCTGGGACTACAGGCACATACCACCACGCCCAGCTAACCTTTTTGTATTTTTAGTAGAGACGGGTTTTCGCCATGCTGGCCAGGCTAGTCTCCAACTCCTGACCTCTAGTGATCCACAGGCCTCAGCCTCCCACAGTGCTGGGATTACAGGCATGAGCCACCACACCCAGCCACATCAGTCACATTTTAAGAAGAGGATGTCGGATGGGATATATATCTCAGCCATTTTTTGAAAATATGGTCTGCCAAAACTTCTTTTACTAAGCATAACTGTTTTTAGATTCATCCATGTTGTTGCTTGTATCAGTAATTCATTTGTTTTCATTGCTGAGCAATAATCTATTGTACAAATGTATTATAACATGTTTATCTCTTCTTCTATTGTTGGATGCAGATTTTTACTAGTATTTTACTATAATGAATAAAGCTGCTATGAACATTCTTACACAAGTTATATGTGGACTTGTGTTTTCTTTCTCTTGGTGTAGGGAAAAGAAAGAGAGATCAGACTGTTAATGTGTCTATGTAGAAAGGAAAAATGTAAGAAGTTTCATTTTGACCTGTACCCTGAACAATTGCTTTGCCCTGAGATGCTGTTAATCTGTAACTTTGCCCCAGCCACTTTGCCCCAACCTCATTGCCCCAACTTTGAGCTCACAAAAACATGTGTTGTATGGAATCAAGGTTTAAGGGATCTAGGGCTGTGCAGGATGTGCCTTGTTAACAAAATGTTTACAAGCAGTATGCTAGGTAAAAGTCATCGCCGCTCTCTAGTCTCGATAAACCAGGGGCACAGTGCACTGCGGAAAGCCGCAGGAACCTCTGCCCTGGAAAGCTGGGTATTGTCCAAGGTTTCTCCCCATAGGATAGTCAAAAATATGGCCTCGTGGGATGAGAAAGACCTGACCGTCCCCTAGCCTGACATCCTTGAAGGGTCTGTGCTGAGGTGGATTAGTAAAAGAGGAAAGCCTCTTGCAGTTGAGATAGAGGAAGGACTCTGTCTCCTGCCTGCCCCTAGTAACTGAATGTCTCAGTATAAAACCCAATTGTACATTTGTTCAATTCTGAGATAGGAGAAAAACCGCCCTATGGCAGGAGGCAAGACATGTTGGCAGCAATGCTGCTTTGTTATTCTTTACTCCACTGAGATGTTTGGGCAGAAAGAAACAAATCTGGCCTACGTGCACATCCAGGCATAGTACCTCCCCTTCAACTAAGGTATGACAGAGATTCTTTTGCTAACATGTTTTCTTGCTGACCTTCTCCCTATTATCACCCTGCTCTCCTACCGCATTCCTCTTGTTGAAGTAGTGAAAATAATAATCAATAAAAACTGAGGGAACTCAGAGACCGGTGCCAATGCAGGTCCTTGGTATGCTGAATGTCAGTCCCCTGGGCCCACTGTTCTTTTCCTATACTTTGTCTCTGTGTCTTATTTCTTTTCTCAGTCTTTCATCCCATCTGATGAGATATACCCACAAGTGTGGAGGGACAGGCCACCCCTTCACTTGGGTAAATACCTAGGTATGGAAATGCTGCATCATAAAGTAGATGCATTTTTAGTTTTAAAAGAAATTGCTAGAGATTTTTCCAAAGTGGATGCACCATTTTATACTACCACCAACAATGTCTAAGAGTTCTATTCGCTTCACTCTTTACCAACATTTGGTGTTATCAATATTTTTTATTTTAGTCCTTTGAGTCAGTGTGGTGGTATTTCAATATTGTGTTAATTTACATTTCCCTGATGACTAATGATATTGGATACTTTTTCAACTGCTTGATAGCAAGTTATATACCTTCCTTTGTAATGTTTCTGTTCAAATTGTTTTGCCCACTTAGGGTTGTTTATTAATAGAGTTCTAGGAATTCTTTATATATCCTGGATACTAGCCGTTTCTCAGATATGTTTTCTCTCAGTCTATGGTTTGCCTGTTCATTTTCTTAATGGTGTTTTTTGGTGAGCAAAAGTTGTTAATTTTGATGAAACCTTACTTAGATTTTCTCTTTCTTTATGATTATTGCTTTCCATATCTTATCTAGGAAATCCAAGTTACAAAGATATTCCCCTATGTTTCATCTAAAAGCTTTAAGTTTTTAACTTTTACAATTAAGTCAGTTGATCTATCTTTAATATTTGTGTATTGTGTGATGTATGAGTTGAAGTTCACTCTTTTCTATATGGATGTCTAGTTATTCCAACATCGTTTGCTGAAAAGAGTTTCCTTTCCCCATCAAAATGTTTTGGTATCTCCATTGAAAATCACATGACTTTGTAAGTTCAATTTTTTTTTTTATCCTCCAGCATTGTTCTTTCTTCTTTCTCTTCTTTTTTCCAGCCATAACACCCTGAATATGCCCAGTCTTGTCTTTTTCCCACAATTGCTTTAGATATTCTAGGTTCTTTTTTTCTATATAATTTTAGAATCAATTTGTCAATTTCTACACACACAAAAAAAGCATACTGGAATTGCCGTCAATGTATAGATTAATTTTGCAAGAACTGACATATTGATGATATTGACTCTTCCAACTGATAAATAATGGACTATATTTATTTAGGTATTTAATTTCTCTTAGCAATGTTTTATAGTTTTCAGTGTAAAAGTCTTTTTACATCCTTGGTTAAATTTATTTCTAATATTTAATGTTTTCCAATGCTGTTGGAAGTGGAGTTCTTGAAATTTTATTTTCAAATTATTTCTTGGTAGTGAGGAAAGCAAAGATCACCTGATAGCCATCAAGTAGACCTCCAGGGGCAAAAGTCCTTATCAGAGGAATTTAGAAGTAGTTAGACTTCCCTATTATCTAAAGCCACCATCTGGTAACAGGTTTTTTTTTCCAAAAATGTATAAGAAACTAGAATTTCTGTGCATCTCCGAAATGCGTGCATGTCAAAACTCATTGTGCAACCCTTGCTGGCATCAAGGCACCAAAATGTCTACAAATGTAATTATTTATCATGAAGTATGTGGCTAAGATGATCCAAATTACCCTTAAGCTCCCGCTTTAAGGTCCATAAATACCCCTAAGGAAAATCCACCGTTACACACTCACTCCTCTCTTGCCAAAGTGCCCCACCGCACTCTTCTGCAGCGCTTGCCTTTTCAAACCTATACTGTGGTCCATAAATTAATCTTACTACCCACAAACCAATCACTTTTCGTTGCCAGGGCTCTGACACCTCCCCCGGCAGGTAGTATATAAAAAATAGCTGATTTTGGTATATTAACTTTATATTCTGTGACTTTGCTAAATTATGAATTCTAATAGTTGTTTTGTAAACTCCTTAGGATTTTTTACATAAACTGTCATGTCATCTGTAAATAGAGAAAGTTTTACTTCTCCCTTCTAAATCTTTTCACTTTTTTTTTTTTATACTTTAAGTTCTGGGTACATATGCAGAATGTGCAATTTTGTTACATAGGTATACATGTGACATGGTGATTTGCTGCACCCATCAACCCATCACCTACATTAGGTATTTCTCCTAATGCTGTCCCTCTTCCAGCCCCCCATCCCCAGACAGTCCCTGATAATGTGATGTTCCCCTCCATGTGTCCATGTGTTCTCATTGTTCAACTCCCACTTATGAGTGAGAGCATGCAGCGTTTGGTTTTCTGTTCTTGTGTTAGTTTGCTGAGAATGATGGTTTCCACCTTCATCCATGTCCCTGCAAAGGACATGAACTCATCCTTTTTATGGCTGCATAGTATTCCATGGTATATATGTGCCACATTAAGTCTTTTCACTTTTAAGCCCAGGAACAAGGCTAATGGCTTCCCTCTGTCCCAGTACCCCAACCAACCCCATCTGGATTTTCATCATCTCTTGGTTCCCCTTTATCCAGGTCATACCTTTGTAAATAAGTTCATTCTTTGATGCTCCATTTAAAGATATATTTTACCTGCCAGAGCCTGAATGATATGGCTCTCTTTCTTTTCCTATTCTTACATATCTTTGATTCCTTTTTCTCTTAATCAGCCCATCAGAACAAAATACATTTGATTAGTTTTTCAGATAACTAGCTTTTGTATTCATTTGTATTTTCACTGTCTTTCACTGCTTTTTTTTATTAATTTTTATTTTTACCTGTATTAATAATACAGGAATTAATTCCAATCTCATAGGTTTTTGTTTCTTCCTCTATGGTTACCATCCCCACCTCGGTGGCATGCTTAGTTCCTTTTTGTCTTTCTGCTTTAACAATAAAGTTTAAACCATAAATTTACTTCTGAATGCAGCTTCACTGAGTCTTCTTTAAATACAATTTCCTATTACACATTTCACAACAGACTATTTTTGAACTTATACAGTGGAAAGAAGCTTCTGTTCTAACATATTTGTACTTTCACCGCTTGAAACATTCACCACCAGAATGAACGTTTCTGCCCACCTGTTTTACTCCTTCTTGGCTTTTAGGAGTCACAGGAACCGGGAATACCTCACGCTGGCCTTTATTGACCTTCATTAGGGTCTTTAGAGTTTTAGTGCCAAGTGTTTCCCAAGTCTACTGCTTCTCAGTTCTATTCCCATGCTCTGACACTTTCCTGGTGCTTTCCTAGTCCATGGGGGAGAGAGTCCCATGCCCATTCTTTCTTCCAGGACACTATCAGAGCCTAAGGCTTGATATAGGCCTAGCAGCCTGTAGAGATCAGTAGCATTGATTCCCAAAGGCAAACAGCTTGGAGGTGCTAGTAAAAGAGACAATGATTCCTATTCAGGTCTCCATATTTGCAGATCCCTTCCAGAACTTTGGTTACGGTTGGTTACGGTAAATACAAAAGAATAACATTACATGCAGTACATCTACACATGAAATTCTATGCAGGCATTTAAAACAAAATGATCACATCCTTTGCAGGGACATGGATAGACAGGAGGCCACTATCTTTGGCAAGTAACACAGGAAAGAAAACTAAATACTGCACCTTCTCATTTATAAGTAGGAGCTAAATGATGAGAGCACATGGGCATATAGAGGGGAACAACAGACACTGGGATCTACCTGAGGGTAGAAGTTGGAAGGAGGGAGAGGAGCAGAAAAATAACTATTGGGTACGAGGCCTTAATACCTGGGTGACGAAATAATCTGTACAACAAACCCCATGACATATGTTTACCTACATAACAACCTGCACCTGTATCGCTGAACTTTAAAAAAAAGTTTAAAAAATTACACATAAATGAAGTTTTCCTTGTCACACAGAACATTTTTATTCCTGCTAATAGATTCCTTATGATTTGAGATACATTTAGAATATTTTAATGAAATAAAACTCCCTGAGGGCCTAGTTCTCAGTGGAAATCCCCCAATTAAATAACCTATAGCAGAGAGCCCTTCTATTAATTTTTTAAAATTTTTCATTAAAAACCAGCTGGGCAATCAAAAGACAAAAGGATTTAGTTGACTCCCCACCATAGCAAACCATACACAAAGCCGAAAAAGCACTAATCCCCTTCAAAGATCTTATCTTTTTCCATGATGGGCTTGATTACCTATAATAGTTCAGTTGAACAAAAACACGTTTTCATGCTGTCCTGACCTGTAGCTGGTGTTGACACAGAAATTATTTGTGTCCAGGAATACTTGAATAGATGTAGATTAAGGATCAAAAAATTCTTCTCACCATAGATTTAGCAGGACTATTAACAATTGATATACTTTTCTGGCCACTCTACTGGTATTTTGTGGTAAAAGTTTATTGAATTCATGAAATAACTACATCTTCTGTGATTCCTGGGTTACAGCTAGATTTTTCTCATTGACATGGAGTATTACTTTGCTGCTAGAAGAAAAAATACTTTTTTTCAGAAACTAGGAATCACTTTTCTCCCCCAAAACATAATACTTCAATGCTGCTGAAATATTAATTGTATTTAGGAAATAATTGTGTTTATTATCATGTGAGTTTTCTTATGAAGGGTGTATCAAAAGTTACATGTTCTAAAGCAAATAAGTACTAAATTTTCCTCTGTGTAACATCATTTTCATAGTCTCATTGTCATGTTTCTGAACAATTTATTCCTTGTCTTACAGTTAATGGTAAGGTTGATCTGAAAAAGGTGATGAATGAAATGAAATATTTTACAGGTAAGACATTACTAAAACATTTTTACTTGAACTCTAACTCTGTTGAATTTTGCATGGTGCTTTCCCAATATTAAATGTATTCGTGCTAATATTTTACATATTTATATAGAACCGTTCTCCCTTTGGTTATTTAGGACTTGGACGTAAAAATGAATGGTATATTTGAGGAATAAATTTTATTTTCTGTGATTTCTAACAATAATATGCTGATCTGAACCGGTATTTTAATCAGAGGTCACAAGTTGGCCACCCATGGTTGAATCCAGACTGCTATCAACTTTCATAAGGTCTGGAAACACTGAATCTGCATTTACTCACAAAATAGCTGATGTTTTTTCTCTTTGGATAAAGCATGTGCTCTTTGTTTCACCTAAGCCAATTTCACTCCTTTCCTTTACCTCCAGACTCTTGTGAGCTTTTGAGTTAATAACTTCTGGTTTAAGTAGTCAAAATCTAGATAGACACAGAAAATAAGAAGATAAATATTTTTAAAGGATTAAGTGGATTGGGTTGCTTTAAATAATAATCACATAATTCAGCATTAAAAACAAAAAAGACTAGATATCCCTAAATTATAGGCTGATTGTACAATCGGATTTTCTTCAGTGCTAGCATGTCTTTACATTAGGCTTAGGAGACCACTGTCTCTTTTCATGAAGAATCAAGGAAGTTCTATCTTACTCATCCTTAAACACTATTAGAATATGTGAGAATGTAGAATACTATGCAACCATAAAAATGAATGAGATCATGTCCTTTGCAGGGACATGGATGAAGCTGGGAGCCATCATCCTCAGCAAACTAACACAGGACCAGAAAACCAAACACCCCATGTTCTCACTCATAAGTGGGAGCTGAACAGTGAGAACACAGGAACACAGGGAGGGGAACATCACACACCGGGGCCAGTCAGGAGGTGGGGGGCAAGCAGAGGGATAACATTAGGGCAAATAGCTAATGTGTGCAGGGCTTAATGGCTAGATGGTGGGTTGATAGGTACAGCAAACCACCATGGCACACATATACCTATGTAACCAACTTACATGTTCTGCACTTCTATCCCAAAACTTAAAGCAAAATTAAAAAACAAAAGGAATATGTGAGAATACATAAGTAAAGATGTCATTATATGGTCCAGCTTTTTCATGATTTTTGGTAATTATAATATCCTAAAATTGCCATGTGTGAACAACTTTTTTTTCTTTCAAAGGAGACAAAGTTGATACAAATAAACTTAAAAGTGTTTTAGGAAACTTGGGGATTGAGCTCATGCCTGATGAACACTTGAACTTGCTGAAAACATTGCCAGTTAATGGTAAGTCTTATGGATGCCATTGTGATTTTTAGGTAGTCTGGTTTTGTGGATATATAAAAACATTCCAAAATAAACTAAAAATGCTTTTAAAATGTTAAAAGCTAATGCTAATAAAAATAAAACTTTCATCACTTAGATTTTAATTGAAAATCATCAAACCTTTCAGCTGTAAGTTGCTGTCAAAGTTCAAATTCATTATTCACATCTTCAGGTTATTGATTAGCTAGATTTGTAGAAACAGATTAAAAGAAAAATAAAAGAGACAAGAAAATAGAGAGAGAGGAGGGGAAAGAAACAGGAGTAGACAGACAATAGAAAGGAACTAAATAAAGTAGCTGCATGTGTTTCTGAAAAATAGAATGTGTCGTTTACCAAGAAGTGGATAATTTTGTACATTGAGAAAAGGCTACATTTCTTAACTTGTTATTAGGTGAAATAAAACCAAAAATTTCAGAAAAATAAAAAATGTTTTTAATTTCATAACCCAAAGATAATCAAAGTTAATATTTTAGAGCATTTTCCTTCAGCACTTTTTAGATAATGAATAGATGATAGATAGATAGATAGATAGATAAAATTTATGTATATATTAATAATTCTCATCTCTTCAGACTATTAATGTGATTCATCATAGAAAACGTTGGTAATACAGATAAGAAAATATCAAAATATTTCTATTCCTACCTCAAAATAATAACTACTATCAAAAATTTGAGATGTGTGGCCTGTAATCCCAGCACTTTGGGAGGCCGAGGCGGGCAGATCACAAGGTCAGGAGATCAAGACCATCCTGGCTTACACGGTGAAACCCTGTCTCTACTAAAAATACAAAAAATTAGCTGGGTGTGGTGGCATGCGCCTGTAGTCCCAGCTACTCAGAAGGCTGAGGCAGGAGAATTGCTTGAACCCAGGAGGAGGAGGTTGCAGTGAGCCAAGATCGTGTCACTGCACTCCAGCCTGGGCGACAGAGTGAGATTCACCTCAAAAGTAAATAAATAAATATAAAAAAATTGAGATGTATATTTCCAGTTTCCTATCTATGAATATATGTCCTTATTTTATTTGGCAGCCTTGTGGAGAAAACTTTGCAAACATCCTAAAATTTGTCAAGATTAGATTTATTTAAGTAAAGTTGCAAAATGGAAGATATTTTATTTTGTCAAATTTTTTTTCCGGAAAAGTTATCGTAATTTGAATTCCCACAAACAGCAGTAGAGAATGTTATTTTCCCTACATTCCCAATACAGAAAAGTGAGCAGGCACATATAATTGTTATCATTTGCATTTTAATCATGTACTACCAAGAGTGAACATTTTGTTACTGTGTATTACCTATTTGCATTTGAAATGTTCCTTAGGCAAAGATTTTAAGTTCTTTCTGAAATTAAGAGATCTGTACTGTCTTCTAACTCTATTTCCAAAATGTTCCGTTTTTTATAGCTGATGGAAAAGTGTATCAGAAAAGGTTGATGAAAGGCATAAAGTCTCTTGAGCGTGAGTAAGCAGTGCAATAAAAAGGCTTAGTCTTAAACTCTTATTTGTACTTTTGAAACATGAATCTTCCTTTCCTATATAACTGAGTCATTATTTATGGCTCCTTCAGTAGATCTGCAAGTTAACGAGTGTTTATTTTACTATGATCTGGCAGGAAGTGTCAAACTTTCATGGATTTTTTCCTCAGCCCTAAAGGAAAAAAAGAAAAATTTAATACGCAGCAAAAGATGAAGAGTTAAGGCTGTCAGATAAGGATTTCAGTCAAAAGCAGGACATATAGTTTGCAAATACAGGCAACAAAAATAACTCCTGTTCTGTGGAATATTGTGGTCATGATTAGCTCTAACTTTTCAGCCTTATTTAAGAATATTTTTGCTTTGTGGGCTTGTTCCCGCAATAAGATTTGGGGAATTCAGTTCTAATTTTTATCCTTCTATTAGCTATAACAGACAAGTTTTTGGTGTTTGTCTTAAAATCTCAACAATAATACTAGCAAATAAATAATATTTTTTCAATGTGATAAAACTCTTGCTCAATAAAGAAGAAAAATAATACAGCAGCATGAATGCATAGTCCAATTTTAGAATCATTCTGCTTTACCATATTCCTTTCCTATTCCTTACTTAGAAGGCAGTGTTGATGTCAATAAGCTGGACACTCTTTTAGAAAACATGGGGATAAAGATCACGGAAGAGGAATTCATGGATCTAACAGAAAGACTACCAGATGACTGTGAGCACTGTAATCACCCCTATACTTTTTAAGGGGTACTTATTCTTTTAAACTTGAAAATGAGAATTTCTCAAACCAGATCATCAAAATATCAAGACTTTTCAAAAGTTTAGCGAAGAACTCAGTCTCAAAGTCAGGGAAAAAATCATTTCTCTTAATCTCTTCATAATTTCAATTAATCTAAATTAATCTAAGAGAAATAATTATCTAAATTAATTCAATTAATCTAAGATAATCTAATGATTCTCTTAATCACTTCAATTAATCTAAAATCCAGTTTTCCCCTATGGATACTAAGCATTGCATAAAATGAAGCCAAGATTTTGTTAAGCCAGAAAATGATCAGGAGGTAGCATTCAAAATGGAAGGGAAGGATTTATTAATAGAAGGAAAGGAGATCACCTCATATTTTCTTCTCTCATAAAGAGAATCCGGTTCCCACATTCACCATTCTATTAAAAAATACTCTTACTTAGCTGACTGCAACATCCTAGCAGACAAATCCAGTGTGCACCACTCACCTTTTTCTAACTTGAGTTCTCTGATGCCTTTAATAATATTAAACTTTTTTCTTTTATTACAACTCTCTACATTCTCAGCTGCTATGAATTCATGCTCTCCATAATTTTCTTCTCTGCCTTTCCTGAGGCTCATTGTTTATGGCCTTCTATTCCTCCCCTCAAATTAGTGGGTTAAGTGAGCATTTTTTAATGAAATAGTATAGAAGAGAAAAGAAAATATCAGAGCATATGTCACACAGTTAGGCTAGATATTATTTCATGAAACTTTATGATGTGTGTGTGTGTGTCTGTGTGTCTGTGTGTGTGTGATATGGTGGGTGTTCAGAGTTCTTAGTGAAGCTTACAGTAAAAATTTTTGAAAAATACTGGTTTAAATGATAGTGATATAACAGTTCTATTCTCAGTCTGTTGTTCTTTCCACAACCACATTTCTAGATGATTTCACTTACCTGTGTATGTTTAAGATTTCAAATCTTTGATCTCAAACCTAGACTTATCCCATGTGATTCAGTCTAGGATAGTAAAATCCTTTTATCTCTATTGACTGAGACAAGCATTTGGTCAGATCATCTTAAAATCTTGTTAAAATAAAGGATCATAAAATGATATATACATACCTTAAACATTTTACTTGAAAGAAAAAAATAGGCCCAAGGCCATTTTTATTTAATGTAGGCATTCTCTTTCGGGATTTTCTTACATAAACATATTTATTTATTGTCTACACTCCTAATTTCAGTTTCTTTTAAGAATAAAGTATTTTTCTTTTAAGTTGACCAGAAGGCAGGGCGCCATGCCTTACGCCTGTAACTCCAGCATTGGGAGGGAGGCCAAGGCGAGTTGATCACTTGAGCCTAGTAGTTCTAGACCAGCCTGGGAAATGTGACAAAACCCCATCTCTACAAAAAAATACAAAAGTTAGCCAAGGGTGGTGGCGTGCACCTGTAGTCCCAGCTACTCAGGAGGCTCAGGAGGGAGAATCGCTTGAGCATGGTAAATCCAGGCTGCAGTGAGCCATGATTGTGCACTGCACCACTCCAGCTCAGGTGACAGAACAAGACCCTGTTGAAAAAAATTTAAATTAAAATTTAAAAAAAAAAGTTGACCAGAAATTTCAGTCTGAATCTATCTAGGTTTTAGTTATTTCTCCAATCTTTTTACAGTTATCTTATTCACACCAAATTCAGCAGAACTTTTTTAGCAATTTGCCTTCACTGGAATATTCTGAATTATTCAAATGTGTTTTCTATGAGAAAAACTCCCTTTTCCATTAATAGTTCATCAGTTTATATAATGATTGAATTATCATCAATTTAATAAAAAGTAGAACTATTTATAAATAAGTCAACAACTTAACCCATAACATAGATGCACTGGATTACTAAAATGGAAGCCTACTAGCTGTGAAAATTTGGCATGCCATCAGCATCAGTCTGAATGTGAGAATTCATAGTAGAAAGGGAAAATCAAGTTTAGACCATCAGGTTGGTTAAATTGAGGTAAATTAAGAAATCTTCTCCTATAATAACAAATCCCTATTCAGACATAGCTTTTTCACTGATAATCCAAACTCAGCAAATAAAGGATAAAACAAAAATCATGAATTACCTCTCTAATTCATAATTTTTAAAAATTCTGTCACCATTTTTTATCCACAGTTACCATGCAATAATCTACAAATTATCTTTGGCATCTCATGCTCTCTCATTTTTTTCCTCTTAAAAATCTCTTGGCTATCTTGACTACTCTAACCTTAATTCAGATCTTCATGATCTCTGGCTTAAACTACTAGAAAAGCCTCCTGACTGGTCTAATAATCATATCATTGCCTTCAATTTCTCTATGTAAACTAGCCAGGATGATTTTGCTAAGGTGAAAATCTGACATTATTATTCTTCACATTAAAACTCTTCAATGATCCTTCATAGCTTATATACATTGAGTCTTACAATATGCTAGGCACAGTGCTAAGCATTTTATCAATTGGCTCATTTAATCAATTTATTTATTCATGATATCTGTTGAACACCCATGTCTCAGCCTATTTTAGTCTTAGGGATACAACCATGAACAAAACAAATTTATGTAAACTTCACAGAGCTAGGATTATCTTTTTTCAGTGCTCTATTCCAAGATCCAGACAGAACCAACTCAGAAACCAACTGTTAACTGTTACTCTGCCTCCATTCAACCTCTTTTGACTCATCTTTTCACTCCTTACGTGGCATTTTTCCCTTGAGCAAGATTTAAAGGCATTAGTTCACCACACACTGTGCTGTTCATTGCTCCTTTTCCTGGGATTCTTTCATTGTCGTCCAATAATAGAAAATAACATAATGTCGTAAACAATGGCCTTCAATATATACCAGCATGTGTTATCATCCATTCCAAGAGAAACAAGGAATTAAAAACAGAATGCATTCAAAAAGCTAGAGAAAACATTTTACCTAAGGTAGACTTTATGGTCCAAGAAATCTTAGTTCTTATTGCTGATAATAGAGCTCTTTATTAAAGCCCAAGAATTATAAATATTAAAATGACAACATGTAATCCTTCATCTAGGTTTTACTTCATAATTTAAATAGTTAATGCTTTATGCTTTTCTTCCAAGATTGGCTTTATCAGTGTCCAAATGTTGCCTTGTCTTACAGCTGAAAAGAAAGTCAAACTAAATAAGTTGATTAAAGAATTGAGTGCTGTTTTAGGTAAGTGAGAAATTAACTTTTTACATGATCTTTCCTACCATCCCTTCATTCTCTTATTAATTTTGCCATTTTAACCTTTCATTAATTGTTTTTATTTATCTGCTTTGGATCACCTACACTTTTACAACCAATAGAGGTACTAGGTCTTGGCACAAGATATAGGATACTTCAGAATTGAGGTAATAGCTGAGACATTTCTGTGAACAAAATTATTTGGATGGATCATCAATATCATAATTTTCAGGGAAATTATATTAACTTCATATTATGTGTAGTAATTTTCTCCTATATTATGATGACATGATTTTTATTATAAATAAGAGAAATAAGTTATATTTCTGAGTCTGGTAATTTACTCTGCATAATACAGCAAGTGTGCTCATGTCTTTGTTGCTCATCTAGCAATAGAAGATGCTGCTACCATCCAGGCACGGTGACTCATGCCTGTAATCCCAGTACTTTGGGAGGCCAAGGTGGGAGGATGGCTTGAGCTCAGGAGTTTGAGACCAACCTGGGCAACATGGCAAAATTCCATCTCTATAAAATATAAAAATTATCTGGGCATAGTGGCATGTGCCTGTGGTCCCAGTTACCAGGGGTGCTGAGATGGGAGGATCACTGGAGCCTGGAAGGTGGAAGTTGCAGTGAGCTGAGATAGCGCCACTGCACTCCAGCCTGGGTGACAGAGCAAGACCCTATCAGAGAGAGAGAGAGAGAGAAAAGAAAGAAGAGGAAGCAGCTGCATCAATAGTATTTGATATTGCTATGTAGCCATGATAGCAGACTTTTCTTAATAGTATGAGAATGTTTTTAGTCCTAAGTCTACCTTTTGGTCCTCCCTCAATGAGAGCCACAGGGGAAACCATCAGGAATTGTCCAGACCTCCACTATTGCTGATTCTGCTTGAGATGAGCTGACATCTCAATGTCAAATCAGGATGATTTCATCCTGTTTTTGTCTTTGAATCATTTGTTAAATTATCTGTTGATACAGTGGCTGCATAGAAGCACTTGAGACTCTGAAAAGCAGAACTCAAACAGTGTGAGGCAAACAAAACTGAAAATATTATAAGAAGGGACTGGAAGGTATTCTGGAATCATGGCCAAACATTTGTCAGGCATGAATGAAAACTAGTCTAACCAATCCTTTAAGTCTACCTTTAAAACTCGAGTTTTCTTTTAGCTTAGATATAAATGTCTAAGTGTGAATCCTGGGCAACATGGCAAAACACCGTCTCTACAAAATATACAAAAATTAACTGGGCATGGTGGCACATGCCTATGGTCCCAGCTACCAGGGCGGGGGTGGGGGGCACTGAGGTGGGAGGATCTCTTGAGCCAGGAAGGCGGAGGTTGCATAAGCTGGGATAGCACCACCGCACTCCAGCCTGGGTGACAGAGCAAGACCCTATCTCAAAAAAAAAAAAAAGAGAAAAAGAAGAAAGGAAGAAGAAGAGGAAGAGGAAGTGTGATTTCAAGTACAATGTAAAGAATTAGCAATGTGGCAATTCTCCCTGTTTATCAAAAGAAAATTCACAAAGAGTCACAAAAGTATATGTATGCTTATATATGGTAACTGAGTTCACCAGCCAAGCAAATGTTACAAAGAGCTGTATATCAGTAACTTGAAAATCATCAATCCTGGAATACAAAATTTTAAAACTGATTTTCTCTCACAAATAAAAAGATAGTGAGTGCTTTCTCAAATTTTATTTAAGTTTGACTAGTTACCTTTGCAAAACTTTATGGCTAGTCCCACAAACCTCCAACCATTAGTCCTTAAGACTAGTTTGGATTGGGCCTGTGGTTTTCATCCTTTGTGAAATATTCACTTATACACTCAACAGAATAAGACAACAAGAACAAAACAAAAATAATTGAGGCATGACTCAATTATTATATTAGGGAAATTATATTAACTTCATATTATGTGTAGTAATTTTCTCCTACATTTTGATGACATGACTTTTATTATAAATAAGAGAAATAAGTTATATTTCTGAGTGTGGTATTTACTCTGCATAATACAGCAAGCATGCTGATGTCTTTGTTGCTCATCTAGCAATAGAAGATGCTGCTACCGTCCAGGCACGGTGACTCACGCCTGTAATCCTAGTACTTTGGGAGGCCAAGGTGGGAGGATGGAAATTATATTAGGAAAATTCCCTAATATAATTGAGGCATGACTTTATTCAAATAGAGAAGCAAAAGTTAAAGCAAAGCAAGTAGTGGAAGAATAGGCAGGTTAACAGCAAAAATATTTACCACATATACTACAAATCAAAAAGTCTAATTATATTACACAAAGAACTAGCACTAAGGACAAAGACAAATCCTGGGATAACAAAATTAATTTGCCCACAAGAACTCAATACAACACAGTAAGAGCTCAAATTGTTGACTTACACGACAGCAAATGTGAAGGACAAATAGAAATTATACATAAGAGTCCTGGTGAGTACCCCAGTTGGTCCAACAAGCCCCATGGAATGCTGCCAGATGGAGATCTTCAAAATAAATAGACCCTTCAGGATTTTTAAAGGCCGACACAACTAACAATTATTTGAAATAAAAAGCAAAGCTGGTCAGACACAGTCACAACTGTGCAGAACAGAATGCTTACATAAGATTTGGGGGAAGTATAGAGTTGAGTGATGGGCAAACTCAGAGGCATGGGTAGGTTGACATCATCTGTAGAAACATGATTTCTCTGGTAAAATTGTTATTGATTGGTTGGTATTCACAAAAGTGTTAATTGAAGTGGGAGTGTTCCCATGTGGCTGACTTTCAGAAGCAAGAAGCTGTGACTGATTGGTTGGCCTGCAGAAGTGTGTTACTTTTAGTAATTTGTCATTGAGTGATTAAACAGATTTAAAACCAGTCTGATGGTTCCTTGTTGCCATTATGTGGAACAATCAGTCTTTTATTTTTGGAATACAAAAATACAAGTACTTTTTAATTTTCAATAGCTATACAGATTCTCATAGTAGACAATGGAGGAGAAATGAACCCACTGTTTCTCCTGATACGTACACAGCTGGATCCAAGTACACAGGATAGAAGTCATCACAATATCCACAACTAAAGTTATATCAAGTTCCTCTGCCATGCCTCCTCCATAGGCTAGGGCACCATTGCCCTCCACTCTATTTACGCTGTCCTATCATCTGGTTCTATGGATATGATGGAGGAAGGTCCCCAATCCAATTCATTAACAAGACAGAAAAAGAAGACCCAGTAGTAACAATTCGGGTCCCTTGCCCATTTTTTGATCAGGTTTTTTTTTCTTACTGTTAAGTTCTTTGAGTACCTTATATATTTTGGATATTAACCTTTTATCAGATGTGTGGTTTGCAAATATTTTCTCCCAATCTGTTGGTTGTCTCTTCACTCTATTAATTGTGTCCTTTGCTGTTTAGAAGCTTTTTAGTTTGCTGCAATCCCATTCATCTGTTTTTAGTTTGGTTACCTATGATTTTGTGATCCTATCCAAGAATATCGTTGTCTAGACCAAAGTCATGGAGCGTTTCCCCTATGTCTTCTTCTAGTAGTTTTACAATTTCTAGTAGTTTTACACCACTGATTTTTCTATGTTGATATTATATCCTGCAACCATACTGAATTGGTTTATTGGTTCTAATAGTGTTTTGTTGGAGTCTTTAGGGTTTTCTTTATGTAAGATCATGTCATCTGCAAACAGACAACTTAACTTTTTCTTTCCAATTTGAATGCCTTCTATTTCTTTCTCTGAAACTGTAACTTTAATGAGTGAGATAAGGGTCTAATGTCATTCTTCTGCATGTGAATATCCAGTCTTCCTAACACCATTTATTGAAGAGACTGTCCTTCCCCCATTGTGTGTTCTTGGTACCTTTGTCTAAAAATCAAAATTGACCATAACAGTGTGGATGTATTTCTGGACCTCTATTCTGTTCCATTGTTTGAAATGTGTCTGTTTTATGCCAGTACTATGCTGTTTTGATTCCTATAGATTTGTAGTAGGTTTCCAAATTCAGTAGTGTGATGCCTTCGGCTTTGTTCTTTTTGCTCAAGATTGCTTTGGCTATTTGGGATCTTTTGTGTTTCCATACTAATTTTAGAATTGTTTTTTCTATTTTTGTGAAAAATGTCATTGGAATTTCAGTAGGGATTGCATTGAATTTATAGATCACTTTTTTGATGGTCAAAATTAATTTATTTTGGATATTGCATGTATTCTCATTTTAAAACTTCTTTTTTTTAAGTTCAGGGTTACAAGTGCAAGTTTATTACATAGGTAAACTTGTGTCATGGGAGCTTGTTGTACAGATCATTTCATCACCCAGGTATTAAGCCTAGTACTCATTAGTTATTTTTCCTGTGAATGTATAGATCACTTTGGGTAGTATGAACATTTTAGCAATATTAATTCTTCTAATCTGTGGACACAAGATATCTTTCCATTTATTTGTTTCATCAATGTTTTATAGTTTTCAGGATACAGATATTTCACCTTCTTTTTTTTTTAAAGTCTGATTTATTGATATATACTTACTTACAGTAAAATTCATCCTTATGTGTACAGTTCTGAGTTTTGACAAAAAATACAATCATGTAATCCTCACCACAATGTAAATTTATTCCTAAGCTTTTTTGTAGCAATTGTAAATGTGATTAGTTCCTTGATTCCTTTTTCAGATAGTTCATTGTTACTGTATTAGAAACACCACCGATTTTTCTATGTTGATGTTGTATCCTACAGCCATACTGAATTGGTTTATTGATTCTAAGTGTTTTGTTGGAGTCGTTAGGGTTTTTGTTACGTAAGATCGTGTTATCTTTAAACAGTCAACTTTTTGTTTTCAATGTGAATGCCTTCTATTTCTTTCTCTTATAAGTGGGATTCCCTGGAAACCATCTCAGCAAACTAACATAGGAACAGAAAGCCAAACACTACATGTTCTCACTCATAAGTGGGAGTTGACCAATGAGAACACGTAGACATAAGGAGGGGAACATTACATACCAGGGCCTGTCAGGGGTTAAGGGACAAGGGGAGGGAGAGCATTAGGACAAATACCTAATGCATGTGGGGCTGAAAACCTAGATGATGGGTTGATAGGTGCAGCAAACCACCATGGCACCTATATACCTATGTAACAAACCTGCACGTTCTGCACATGTGTCCCAGAACTTAAAGTAAAATTTTTTTAAAAAGTGGGCTTCCTGGTCTTGTTCCTGATCCTAGAGGGAAAGTTTCAATTTTTCGCCATTGAGTATGTTGTTAACTGTGAGTTTGTCATATATGGGCTTTATTGTGTTGAAGAACATTTATTCTATATACAATTTGTTGAGTTTTTATCATAAAAGGATGCTGAATATTGTTGAATGCTTTTCTACATCTATTGAGATGATCATATGTTTTTTTCCTTCATTCTGTTAATATGGTATATCACATTTATTGATTTGTATATGTTGAACCATCCTTGCCTCCAGGGATAAATCCCACTTGATCATAGTGAATGGTACTTTTAATTGATGTTGAATTAGGTTTACTAGTATTTTGTTTATGATTTTTACATGTATGTTTATCAGAGATATTGGCCTATAATTTTCTTTTCCTCTAGTGTCCTGGGCTGGCTTTGCTATAAAGGTAATGCTGGTTGAGGCCCCATTTTGCAATATACTCTCTATCAAGCATTTATTATGTGCATTTTATGGACATTGTACTACTTAATAATATAATTTATGTAATCTATGTACTTTTCAATATGAAATGTACATGCCTCACATTTTACTCTCCTAACATAATGATTATTTTAAAAATATCAGGAGAAATGGCGATTCCTCAAGGATCTAGAACTAGATGTACCATATGACCCAGCCATCCCATTACTGGGTATATACCCAAAGAATTATAAATTATGCTGCTATAAAGACACATGCACACGTATGTTTATTGCAGCACTATTCACAATAGCAAAGACTTGGAATCAACCCAAATGTCCATCAGTGACAGATTGGATTAAGAAAATGTGGCACATATACACCATGGAATACTATGCAGCCATCAAAAAGGATGAGTTTGTGTCCTTTGTAGGGACATGGATGCAGCTGGAAACCATCATTCTTAGCAAACTATCACAAGAACAGAAAACCAAACACCGCATGTTCTCACTCATAGGTGGGAACTGAACAATGAGATCACTTGGACTCAGGAAGGGGAACATCACACACAGGGGCCTATCATGGGGAGGGGGGAGGGGGGAGGGATTGCATTGGGAGTTATACCTGATGTAAATGACGAGTTGATGGGTGCAGCACACCAACATGGCACAAGTATACATATGTAACAAACCTGCACGTTATGCACATGTACCCTACAACTTAAAGTATAATAATAATAAATTAATTTAAAAAAATATATCAGGAGAAATAGTTAAACTTCTATACTGTAAGAAAAGAACTAAATTATTATTTGTTTTATTTTTACCTTTGAAATTATTATAATGGTATATGAGTGAAAATATTGTTAGTTAACATTATTTGTGTTCTTCTCAAATTTATTTTTGTCACAATTTCTATCTCTTTTCTAGGAAAACAGGTAGATGTCTGTGACCTAGAAGATGCACTAAAAGACATGGAAATAGAGGTCCCATATGAGGACTACTTGCATTTAGTAAAAACTTTGCCGCTTGATGGTAAGAATTTAAAATGTATGTATCCTTCAAAGGGCTTCAGAGTGCTTTTGAGATTGTGAGCTTTTCTTCTAAAATGATACAAGATTGTTACTAGGGTTTTTTTTTAAGTCAAAGTATGGTAAGAAAGCAGATAAATCTGAGATTTTCTCCTATTTTTCATTAACACAAATTTATTTGTATTCCGTTTAAAATTCCATACATGTATCTTCCCACTATTTATGTTATGATAAGTATATCATCTTATAGTATGTTATGATAAATATTGTTAGATATGTTATGATAAATATGTTAGACATATGATGCCATAGTTCTTTGAAAAATTACCCAGCATCCTATTAAACTCACACTATGTTGATACAAACAAAAGATATAGTCAGAGGTTGAGATTCTACTTCTAGTTTTAAAAGCTTTTAGAATTACTAGATTTTTGCCAAAAAAAAAAAAAATCTGGTTAATTTGATTTTTATTAACATAAACAGTAGCTATTGTACTCCTTCATGCCAATAAGACATGTGTATTGTTGTTATTGATTGCATTAATGAACCTGATAGTATGGGGGAGAATGTAAAATGGAAAAGTAAGAGGGGTATAAGGAAAGAAGTTAGAGATAAAGGTAAATAAAATGGGATATAAGTTTCAAAATGTTTAAGCCAATAATTATTGCTTTTGTGTAAGTGTGGACAGATCTACCTCATTAAAGTGTCTCCAAATAATCTTCGTAACTAATTGAGAGAAAAGTAGGTAAATTTCAGAGAAAAATATTTAAAACTCCATCTTTCTGAAATTATGGGATTAGGGGAAGAATTGTCACATTTTTATTGTTTAGCAAGTCTCCCTTTATTGTTCTCTGACCTGAATTGTGTCTTTTCTTACAGCTGAAGGAAAGGTGTATCAAAAAAGGTTGCTGGATGGTATAAAGACTGTTAAAAGTAAGTGCAAAGTATGGTGAGAAAGCAGATAAATCTGAGATATTCTCCTGTTTTAATTTATACAAATTTATTTGTATGAAATTTAAAATCCCATATATACATCCTACCAATATTTATGCATATGTTAGATATATTATGCCGTAGTTCTTTGGAAAATTACCCAGCATCCTATAAAACTTGCACTATGTTGATATAAACAAAAGATATCGTCAGAGGATGAGATTCTACATCTAGTTTTAGTGGTGACCCTATTTGTACCCTTAACTAGATCTGATTAAACTTTATGTCTTGATGATTAAAGTGACAACTGTAACACATATGAATTAAGAAGGATTTTTTTCATATCTTAGTATTCCTTTTTAATATTTTGTCTCTCCTAAGGAGGAAAAGTTGATATAAATGACCTGGATAAATTTCTGGAAAATATGGGGATTGAGCTCTCAGAAAAGGAACTTGAAGATTTTTCAAAAGACCTACCAGTTGATGGTGAGCATTATAGATAAAAATGTATTATGTTTAAGACAGCTTGGGTTTGAAAGCATACATAGACCAATGAGAGTGGTTAATTGATATCAATAGGGCATTTTTAAAAGCTTAGAGCAGAATTCAGGTCAGATGAAAACATATTTCCTCTCTTTAATTCAAGTCCAGCAAATGTATTCCATTATGGATAATAAAGTTGGTGAGGGTACTAACAGACCTCTCTCAGGTCAAAGAATGAAGAAAATAAGAAAAATAGAATGTGAAAGATTTAAAAGAAACGTTACACAATATGTGAGAGAAAAGGAAAACTCTCTATGATGAGGCATGGTTAAAACTGATTAATGGTGATTTCTAGTACATATGATTCAGCTGTTATGAAATAGAAAGATTAACATATAATAGACCTAGAATAGAAATGACATTAGAAATGTTAAGAGATGTAACTATGAATAGTCAGTCTAATATTACTATTCTAATAGGATACTACATGTAATATGAGGTTAGATTTTAAATATGTTAGTAAAATGAAAATTTTTCAGAGGAAAAAAGTGCCAGTATTGATTCAAGAAGATATGAAAATATGGATACACCAATAATATTTGATAAAATAATTTTACCTGTAAACTCATCTACCACTACCCATCCCTCCAACAAAAGGTGATAGCCTCAAATGGTTTTCAAAGTAAGTTCTTTCAAATTTTCAAAAAATTTTCGTTTTAATGTTATGCAAACTGGTCCAGAGGACTCCAACTTGAGTTGATGAAAAAAGCAAAATCTGGCTAGTTTTCTTCTCCTCTAATACCTAACAAAATGAACAACAGAATTTTTAAAAAAACAAAAATAAGCAAAGGAAATTCAACATGAATCAAATAATAAAAGGGAACCAATTTAATGCCATAAATGTTAAATGGGGACAGAAAAGGAAATAAAGACTCTACACTGGAAACAATAGTACAGCAGAGCTGGGCTCCTCAAAACCTTTCTCACTCTTCAGAAACTAAACTGGTAAGCTGCAAAATCCAGAGAATTCACACTAAAGTGCCCAGACCTAGGGTAAAGCAAATTGAATAAATAACTTTTTTCCTTCTCAACTTACTAGGAAGAAGTAGAAACAACTGTTAGGGATGAATTAGTAAAGAAGGGGAAATGAACAATATAAATCACTCATCTCCTCATCCTTTCCTTTTATTCTAGATCAAAGGGAATACTGAATGTTGAACAGGATAAAATTTTTTTCCACCTACTCCTGAAGATTCCTCTAAAGTTTCACAATATCAGGGGCAAAGAGAAATTTATAAATCATTAACAGGAGTAAAAACAAACTATACACAAAATGATAAAAGAATCTTATATTACCAACATTTGATTCAAAAAGAAATAGAAAAATATTTATTTCAAAGTGCTAGAGAAAAATAACTTTGAACACCAAATATTCAAGGATTCGAGTGAAATAGACATTTTCAGGCAAACAAGAACACAGAAGTTTACTAGCCATGGACTTTCTCTAAACAAATTACTAAAAGATGTATTCTAATAAAAACAAAATGAATACAGGGGAAGTAATGAAGGAAAGAACTTATTCTTAAATCTAAGTGGGTATTGCATATTCAAAAATGTAATTTCATAGTCTAGAACTAAAACTCAAGATGATACCAACATTCTAGTTGGGGGCAGGTGTCATGGGTGGCAAAAACCGAAAGAACCGCCTTATTGTTGCTCTGTGACTGCTCCATGTCTTACAGTTGATGAGAAGGTTGATCTGAAAAACATGATGCTGAGAATAAAAGATTTTACAGGTAAGTTTTTTTTCCAGGAGGTTTATTCTCTCTTCCATTGAGGTCTTAGTATTTTGTGACACTCAGCTGTAGCAGGATACTTTAGCATGGGGTTATCCACCATGTTTGGCATGTACATATCAGCCAAGTAAACCCAGTTACAATACATCCTGTATCTCCAATGGGAGAGAGCAAAATGCACTCCAAGGCACTAAAGAAGGGCAGGTTCTCAGTGGATTGCATTATTATTATTATTATCGTATTTTATGATAATAGACTGTATTTTAGCACACTTTTAGATTTACAGAATTGAGCATATTGTATAGAGAGTTCCATCTACCCATCCTTCCACTCCCCTTTATCCCAAGCACACAATCTCCCTGCTATTAACATCTTGCATTAGTATGGTACATATGTTACAATTAATAAACCAACATTCATACATTACTATTAACTATAATCTATAGTTTACATTAAGTTTCACTCTTTGTGTTGCATAGTTCTATGGGGTTTGACAAATGCATATAGATATGTACCTACCATTACAGTTTCATACAGAATAGTTTCACTGCCCTTAACATCCCCTGTGTTTCACTTATTCATCTTTTCCTCCCTTCCTTCCCCCCATCCCCCTTCCTCTACTTTGTTAAATGGATTATGAAAGGCAGGATAGCATTCTACAACCCTAGAATATTAGCCAGAGTGGCTTTGCCTCTTGACTCCTGTTCCATCAGGAAGGTCGGGGGCTGCTGCAGGTGAGTTTCCATAACACTGAAACCCTAATGTTTCACAGTAAATTATATTTTAGATGCTGTTTCCCCAATAGTCTATTGTTATATTAACTTTGTCATTTTACCCAGTTATTGTAAAATATTTCTGCCTGATAAAATCAATTTGATCTTGGATAAACTTTTAAAAATAAACCACATAACATAGTCTTGATAAAAACTCCAATGTTCTGAGGAAATATTTTTTCACCTGTATATGTTTTTTGCTGAATGTATATAGCCAAATTTCAGGCAAGCACAATAATAAATAGGATAAAGTTTGCAAAGCTCAAGATACATGTAGTTTCATGAATGATCAGCTATATCATTCAGTATGATATCTCTTGCCAGGATTCTGTTGGCAATTGGTAATCCAATTTGTTAACTAGATTTAATTTTGTACATTATCCTCAACATTAAGAGACCCTTCATTATATTGATATTATAGGAACAGGTTTGCCTTGACTTCTGTTGTCACACTGTACTTGCACGTTCCATTTTGCCTTTGCTCTTTAACTCCAAATTGAGAGTGATGCTATATAAAATATAAGTATTTTAAAAATCACTCAAATAGGTTAGTATGAACTTAAAATTATTTTTTAAAGTTACTAATTTGTAAACTTTTCACCTGTTAACACTCCATCTTTTCAAAGGAGAAAAGGTTGATGCCAGAGATCTGAAAAATGTTCTTGGAGACATGGGGATAGAAGTCAATGATAAGGACTGCGTGGAACTGCTAAAATTACTACCAGTTGATGGTGAGCTGTATGTTACTGTGAACTCTAGGCAGTTTAGTTTTATGGTTCTACTCTTGAAATGTATATGTGAAAGCGATGTGTGTTCGTATGTTACCTGCACACATCCTCCAGCTGTTTCCATATGAACAGTCTTTCTGTCACTATGTGCTCACTCAGGTACAGAATTTAACCCCCAAAAGAATCCTTTTCCACAAAACCATTGCTGAGGTGGAAAGATGTTACTGATGATTTTGCAAGGAGGAAAAGGATTTATATCTGCTGTCTCTCAGTAAACATTGCCAAAGTCCTCATGAGAATTCCTGTTCTTTCCCAGAATCACTTTTCTAAGTATTGCCAATGGAGATTCCCTTTTCCTGACCCTTATCTCTCACAGAGCTAAACCCTAAAAATTCTTTCCTCTGTTCTCAATTTCTGAGAGGATACCAAATTTATCTCTCCTCTCTATTAGGAGTGTTGTTTCTTTCTTCCCTTAAACACAAAGGCCCCACATCTTCCCAACATAAGCTTTTGCTTATTTATCCCTGCAAACAATTCTTATACCAACTGCTAAAAAATTAATTTTTTCCATATGTTTTACCAGTTTGGAAGTTATAAAAACCTTCAAGCATGAGCTTTGCCACCAAGGACTAAGCAAATCCCTACTGCTACCCATTAGGCCATTGACATGTCAAACTTTAGGTGTAGAAGGAAGTAAACAGAATGAAAATGTGATAGAAATAAGGGATGAGAGGAGTTTCAGCCCTGTAATACATAAACCAACAGTTACTTTCAGTGTCAAAGAGTAAGTAGATTTATTAATAATAACATCTAGACTTATTAAGTCCTAATGATGAGGTGTTGTACTATCCTCACCACACACAATGATGACACATTATCTCCATCTTACGGTGTTGGAAACAGAGGCGTAGAAAGAGTAAGTAACTTGCTTGAGGCCACAAAGGCAGGCTCTTGACCTCTATACCAGATAACCACTCCATATCATAATGAAAGCTTTGTTTGTTGCTTAACTTCATCATGATTTGAAGGTGAAAGAGGGTCAACTTTAAGGTCAGTTTCACAAAGAAAAGTCTGCCCCTTATAGTCTCTTAGTGAGCCATTCTCTGTCCTGAACTGTGCCTTTTTTTATAGGTGATAAGAAAGTTTTTCGGAATAGATTGCTAACGGGTTTGAAGTCTTTCAAAGGTGGGTAATAAATGTGATGAGAAAGCATATAAGATTGAGATTCTCAATCTTTGTCTTTATTCCTAGTTATGAGGGCATGATTCTTCTGCCACCTCTTCTATTTATCAATTATATATTGATCTTGTAGTCTTTTATGTGTGTATGCTGTGTAAGCTTGATCCCTGGATCAGACTCAAAGGAAACAGTCCTAAGTGTCTCCACTTTTGTCTTTCTGTTTAATTTTAGATAGGTCTAATTAAAGTTATGGCCTTCACAGTGCTGAAAATAACCATCATAATGTTCAGTTGTGAATTGATAGTGTTCTTTTATTTTATTCAATGTAAAAAGTGTCACATGTCCAATAAATAATCTTATTTATTTATTTATTTTGATACAAAGTTTCACTCTTGTTGCCCAAGCTGTAGTTCAGTGGCACAGTCTCAGCTCAGCACAACCTCCACCTCCCAGGTTCAAGCGATTCTCCTGCCTCAGCCTCTGCGTAGCTAAGATTACAGGCACCCACCACCACGCCTGGCTAATATTTGTAATTTTAGTAGAGACAGGATATCACCATGTTGGCCACGCTGGTCTCAAACTCCTGACCTCAGGTGATTCGCCCTCCTCTGCCTCCCAAAGTGCTGGGATTACAGATGTGAGCCACTGTGCCTGGCCATATCTAATTTTTTAAAATAACACTCATAGTCCTGCTATCTAATCATAACCACTCTTAATATGTTGAAGCCTATGTAGTTAAAAAATCCCATATACTCAAAATTACTCTGAAATCCTATTGGAAGATCACATAAAAGTTATCAATATACTAGTCTTGATAAGTTCCAACATAGTCACTTTTTCATCCAATGATGGAATAGATTTCTATAGTTGAGCAATTAGATGAAGCAGTTGGTCAAGAGCCATGATATACAAAAATTTGTATAATACTGGAATCACACTGAGTTAAGATGCTCACAGTATGACAGGCACAGGAGAAATTAGTCCATCTGATGGAGTAATAAATTGATATTGTCTATCTGAGGTTTACTCTACTAATGTGCTTCCTGTCTGTGGAATGGCAGGAAGAATCACAGGCATTATTTACATTGTTTCATGTTTATTTTTACTGGGCATAAGGTCTTTAGTAAATATGTTAAACAATCATATAACTCCACCTTATTTTCAAAAAAGTATTTCTTTTCCTGTGGCAAACATCTTTCTTAATGGCTATAGCTAAATAATTTTCTGTGGGTTGAAAATACATTGGTTTACTTAACAATACCCTGTTGTTAGATATTTAAATTCTGGGTGTTTGAATTTGTTTTACTTTTGTAACAAAGACTGTAATGAACACTTGTCCCCTCTTTTGGCACAAGCTTTACTGTATTCCCAAAAGTGGAATTATTGGGCTAAGATTTATGAACTTTTTAAATAATGGAGGTGGGGCCTCACTATGTTGCCCAGGCTGGTCTCAAACTCCTGGGATCAAGCAATCCCCCCACCTCAGCCTCCAAAAGTGCTGGGATTATATGCAGGAGCTGCCACACCTGGCCATATTTTGAACATTTTAATGGATCATGATAGTTATTGCCAAACTATTTTCCAATTAGATCATTGCAATTAACTCTCAGCAACAGTCAGGCCTATTGAATGTTAATTTAACTAACAGCATGAAAAGTATTTTTCACATTGTCTTTGTTAGGTTTTTTTAAATCACATTTCTCTCTTTCCTAAGGAGGAAAGGTTGATATCGGTAACCTGAAGACGATTCTTGGGAACATGGGGATCAAGCTCAAAAATAAGGAACTTCAAAGTGTGATACAAAATCAACCTGTTGATGGTGAGCATTGTAAATAACTATTTTGCCTTTTAGGGGAGAGCTTAGAATCTTGGGATCATGTATATTAATTTCTAAAACTAGATTGATTTGAGGCACTTAAGATATTTCTAAGAATCATGGAGAAGAACTTGGTGTGAAAATAAGAAGAAATCCTGTCTTTTGTCATTTTTATTCATCTGGATTATCATCCTGCTCAACTATAAGCAATGTTGAGAGGATATTCACAACTGTTATTAGGCCAGAGAATGGTAGGGAGAAACAGATATGAGAGCAAGGGGGAAAATGAATAAATAAACAACAAAGAGAGCCAGAAACAATTGATAGAAAAATATCTACAATAGAAAGTAGCAGAACATCATTAATATTTCATCAAGTATCTAACAACCACATGTCACCACCATTTTGAGATATATACAGAAGTTGAAAACATTAGAGGAAAGCATATTGACAATAGATAAAGCATATTGACAATAGATAGAAGCTCAGTGTCTGTGTTATATGTCAGGTTCACATACATGCAAAAATCTTTTATGAATGGTATCTTTTACCATGCTTATTAGAAAGTATCTGAAAACCCAAGAATCAAGGACATAGTACGTTTGCCATATCAAACCCTGTGTTTAAGGAACATGGGCTGACTACCTTGGTCATTCTTACTAATAAAGAATTAAGCACTCAAACCAGGAAATATAAATTTAAGATGAATACAATTTATTAAAATACATAGTCTTTCATTGGGCTGTAGCTTATAATTTTTCTAAGTTCTGTGTCATTGTCCAAATTTTTTGTGCTTTGTATTACAGCTAATGGAAATGTTCCTCTGAAAAAGGTGATGGATGATGTGAAAGCAATTATAGGCAAGTTAAAACGTATTGTAAATATTTAAATTCTAGTTCTTTAATTATTTTTCTCATCTTTTCAGTTAACACATATATTTATAAGCATCATGCTAATATCCCTGAATCTAATAATCAACAAAATAACTAGAATATTTCCAATATCATTGCATCAACCCATGGTTACTCCCCTCCCCATTTCCCTGCACTTTGGGAGGCTGAGTCAGAAGGATCACTTGAGTCCAGGAGTTTGAGGTTGCAGTAAGTTATGACTGTGCTACTGCACTCTGGTTCTGGGCAACAATGCGAAACTCTGTCTCAAAAAAAAAAATCTTATTAGCTTCATTTCTAAGTATCTTAATGTTCTGCTAATAAAAATGCTGTTTTTTAAAATTATGTTTTCTTTTTTTGGTTAAAGTATGGAAATGCAACTGAGTTTTCTATACTGATCTTAAACCTAACTCTTTGCAAAACTCTCATTAATTCCAACAATCTGCCCATAGGTGCTAATGGATTCTTTTAGATACATAAATTATTATGTATCATATGTAGATACATACATTTTATGTGTTATATGTAGATACATAAATTTTTATATCACATGGATACATAAATTATATAGATTATATAGATAATGTTATATAGATTCTTTATGCAAATGATTACTATAAATGGGGACTGTTTCTGTTTCTTCTTTTTCAACTGTTCTAACATCTGTTTTTCCTTGCCTTACTGTAATAGCCAGGACTTCCAATATATACTACTAAATACAGTGTTCATAGGCATTCTTGTCACATTTCTGATTTTAAAGGAAATGTATTAACATTTCATCTTTGAGAATGTTTGTTGAAGTTTCTGGATGACACCCTTTATTAGGTTAAGAAATTCTCCTGTTCTCTTTTGGCTGGAAGATGAAGGCAAGGTATTTGCCTGTTTTTTTCTTTTTTTCTTTTTTTTTTTCAGTACTGTAACCCCCAGTATTTGGAGCAATGTGTACTTGATGGATAATATTTGTTGAAATAATCTGTTTATTGAGATGATTGTGTGGTTTTTCCTTTAATTTTTGATGTGGAAAGTGGCATGCATACATTTTTTTTCACTTAAACCAGTCTTATATTACCAAGATATATTGAATTTAGGCATCAGTTTTGGATTAGGCTTACTAATGTTTTGTTTCAGATTTTTAAATCTATTTTCATGACTAAAGTTCTATAATTTTCTTTCATGTACTATCACGTTCTATAATTTTCATGTACTTTGGTATCAAGGTTATATTGGCCATATATAATCCATCTTGGGGAAATATTTCCTCTTTATTAGTTTCTGAAAGAGTTTGTATAAGATTAGAATTGGCCAGGTATGGTGGCTCACACCTGCAACTCTAGTGCTTTGGGAGGCCAATGCAGGAGGATTGCTCAAGGAGTCCATGACGAGCATGGACAACATAGTGAGACCCCATCTCTCCAAAAATATACATATTTTAAAAATTAGCAGGAGGTGGTGGTCCACACCTATAGTCCCTGCTACTCAGGAGGTTGAAGCAGGAGGATCATTTAAGCTCAGGAGTTTGAGTGAGCCACGATGAGCACCACTGCACTCCAATCTGGGCAACAGTGTGAGACCCTGTCTCAAAAAAAAAAAAATAGATTGGAATAATCTGTTTCTTGAAGGTTTGGGCCAGGTACCAGTGACTCATGCCTGTAATCCCAGCACTTTGGGAGACCAAAGAGGAAGGATCACTTGAGCCCAGGAGTTCAAGACTAGCCTAGGCAACATAGCAAGACCTCGACTCTGCTACAAATTTAAAAGTTATCCAGGCATAGGCCAGACCTATAATCCCCAGCTACTTGGGAGGCCAAGGCGGGAGGATCACATGAGCCCAGCAGTTCAAGGTTGTAGTGAGCCAAGATCAACCACTGCACTCCAGCTTGAGTGATAGAGCAAAACCCTATCTCAAAAAAGAAAAAGTTTGATAGAACTTACCTGAAAAACCATCTGAGTCTTATGCTTTTAGGTAGAAAGATTTTAACTATTAATTTATTTTTCTTAAATGATAATAGGATCCTCTGGGAGATTTTTTGTTTGTTTTTCTTGAGCTACTTTGGTAAGTTATATCTTCTATATCTTTGTTATTTTGGTATAAGTTTTCAAATTTATTCATAAATTATAGTATTTTCTCAATTTCTGCTAGATATGATTTAAGTCCCCTTTTTCCATTTATAAAAATATTTATTTCTATCTTCTCTCTTCTATTTCCTTACTTAACCTGGACAAATATTTATCTGTTTTATTATTCCTTACTAAAAACCTACTTTTGACTTTCTTAATCCTATCACTATTGTATCTTCATTTTCATATTTATTACTTTCTGTCTTTGTATTCATTTTCTACAACTTTTGGATTTATTCTATTGCCCTTTTCCTAATTTCTTAAGTCGGTTTTTTCTCTTATTTGACAAATAATAATTACATAGTTATAGGGTACAATGTGACATTTTAATATATGCATACATTGTAGAATTATTTTATCAAGCTAATTAACATTGTCATTACCTCACCTACTTATCATTTTTTATGGTGAGACTATTCAAAATCTACCCTTAGTAATTTTTTTAACTTGTAAGTTCAGGGGTACATGTGCAGGATGTACAGGTTTGTTACATAGGTAAATGTGTGTCATGGGGGTTTGTTGTACCAATTTTTCACCACTCACATATTAAGCCTAGTATCCATTAGTTATTTTTCCTGATCCTCTCCCTCCATTGTTAGGCCCCAGTATGTGTTGTTCCATGTGTTCTCATCATTTAGCTCCCACTTATAAGTGAGAACATGCCATATTCGGTTTCTGTTCCTGCATTACTTTGCTAAGAATAATGGCCTCCAGCTCCATCCATGTCCCTGCAAAGGACATGATCTCATTCTTTTTTATGGCTGCATAGTATTCCATGGTGTCTATGTACCACATTTTCTTTTTTTAGTCTATCATTGATGGGCATTGGGGTTGATTTTATGTCTTTGCTATTGTGAATAGTGCTGCAGTGAACCTACATGTGCATGTATCTTTATAGTAGAATGATTTATGTTCCTTTGGGTATATGCCCAGTAATGGGGTTGCTGGGTCAAATGGTATTTCTGGTTCTAGATCCTTTAGGAACTGCCACACTGTCTTCCACAATGGTTGAACTAATTTACATTCCCACCAATAGTATATAAGCATTCTTTTTTCTCCACAACTTCACCAGCATGTGTTATTTTTTGACTTTTTAATAATAGCCATTCTGACTGGTGTGAGATGGTATCTCATTGTGGTTTTGATTTGCATTTCTCTAATGATCAGACGTTGAGCTGTTTTCATATGCTTGTTGGCCACATGTATGTCTTCTTTTGAGACATATCTGTTCATGTCCTTTGCCCATTTTTTAATGGGGTTATTTGGTTTTTTTCTTGTAAATGTGTTTAAATTCTTGATAGATGCTGGATATTAGACCTTTGTCAGATGCACAGTTTGCAAAAATTTTCTCCCATTTTGTAGGTTGCCTGCTTACTCTGTTGATAGTTTCTTTTACCCCTAGCAATTTTGAAATATACATTTTTGTTAACTATGCTCACTGTACAGTATAATAGTTCACTAAAATGTATTCCTCTTGTCTAAATGAAACTTGGACCTTTTGACCAACATACCCCTGACTCCAGCCTCTGGTAACTGCTTCTATGAGTTCAACTTTTTTAGATTCCACATATAAGTGAGACAATGTAGCACTTGTTTTTCTGTGCCTGGCGTACTTCACTTAACATTATGTCCTCCAGGTTCATCCATGTTATTGCAAATGGCAGGATTTCCTTCTTTTTAAAGGTGATCCAGTATTCCATTGTGCATATATACCACATTGTCTTTATCCTTTCATCCATTGATGCACACTTTAGTTAATTCCATGTCTTGGTTATTATGCATAATGCTGCAATAAATATAGGAGTGTGGATATCTCTTCAACATTTTTATTTCATTTCCTTTGTATATGTACTCAGAAGTGGGATTGCTGGATCATATGGAATTCAGTTTTTACCTTTTCGAGGAACCTCTATGCTGTTTTCTTTTTTAAATCTATGTTCCCACCAACAGTGTGCAAATATTCCCCATTCTTCACATTCTCAACATCTTTTGTCTTTTTGATAATAGCCATTCTAAGAGGTTTAAGGAGATATCTCACTGGGGTTTTAATTTGCATTTTCCTGATTATTAGAGATGTTGAGTGTTTTTTCATATATCTGCTGGCCATTCATATGTCTTCTTTTGAATATCTTTTCAGGTCCTTTTATCATTTTTTAATTGGGTTATTTGTTTTCTTGCTATTGAGTTGCGTTCCATATATATTTTAGATATTAGCTCCTTATCAGGTGTATGGTTTGATGCCTCATTGTGCTTTTCACTTGATTTCTCAAAAATAAAACATTTAGAGGTAAGGTATGTATAATTGCCAAGATTCAGTAAATGAATGATAGGTTACTTACAGGAGATAAAATTAAGCCCACACTTAGCAGAGGGAGGAAAGAAATAACAAAGGTAAGAGCAGAAATAAATGAAATAGAGACTAGAGAAACAAACCAAACTAAAAGTTGTTCTTTTGAAAAGGTAAACAAAATTGACAAACCTTTAGCTAGACTAAGAAAAAAAGAGAGATGGCTCGAATAAACAAAATCGGGAATAAAAGAGGAGACAGTTCAACTGATACCCAGAAATACAAAGGATAATAGGATGATGCTACTGTGAACAATTATATGCTAACGATTTGGACAACCTAGAATAATGGATAAATTTCTAGAAACATATACCTTACTAAGACTGAATCATGAAGAAATAGTAAGACTGAATCATGAAATCATGAAGAAATCTGAGAGACCAATAAAGAGTAAGGAGATTGAATATGTAATAAAAAAAATCTCCCATGAAAGAAAGTGTTTGCTGTGCAGAAGCTTTTTAATTTGATGTAATCCCATTTGTCTGTTTTTGCTTTTGTTGCCTATACTTTTGGGATCATATCTAAAAAATCATTGCTCAGACCAAAGTCATGGAGCTTTCCCCTGTGTTTTCTTCTAGTAGTTATACAGTTTCAGGTCTTGTGTTTAAGTCTTTAGTCCATTTTGAGTTGATTTTTATATGTAGGTGAGATAAGGATCTAATTTATTTCTTCTGCACGGAGATATCCAGTTTCCCCAGCACCATTTATTGAAGAGACTGTATGGTACCTTGGTTGAAAATCAATTGACTGTAAATACATGGGTTTATTTCTGGACTTTCTATCCTGTTTCACTGTCCAGTGTGTCTTTTTATGCCAGTACCATGCTATATTCATTGCTATAGCTTTGTAATGTATTTTGAAATCAGGAAGTGTGATGCTTCCAGCCTTGTTCTCTTGTGTTCAAGATTGCTTTGGCTATGTGGGGTTTTTTGTGGTTCCATGTAGAATTTAGGATTGTTTTTTCTATTTCTCTGAAAAATGACTTTGGAAGTTTGATAAGGATTGCATTGACTATACAGATCACTTTGAATTGGATGAACATTTTAACAATATTGATTCTTCCAATTCATGAACATAGGATATCTTTGCATGTATTTGTGTCTTCTTCAGTTTCTCTCATCAGTGTTTTATAGCTTCCAGTGTACAGATCTTTCAAATCCTTGGTTAAATTTATTCCCATTTTTAAAATGTTTGATGTTATTGTTATTGTAAATGGGATTATTTTCTTCATTTCTTTTTTAAATAGTCCAAAGCTGGAGTATAGAAACACTACTAATTTTTTCTTTTTTGAGAGAGGGTCTCACTCTGTCACCCAGGATGGAAAATAGTGGTGCATTCATAGCTCACTGCATCCTACCTCCCAGGCTCAAGTGAGCCTCCCACCTCCGTCTCCCAAGTAGCTGGGACTACAGGTGCACACCACCATGCCCAGCTAGTTTTTTTGTTTGTTTTTAATTTTGTGTAGAGATGGGGTCTCCCTGTGTTGCCCAGGCTGACCTCAAACTCCTGGGCTCAGGGGATCCTCCTGCCTCAGCCTTCCAAAGTGCTAGGATTACAGGTATGAGCCACCACACCCAACCACCTAATAATTTTTATATGTTGATTTTGTATCCTGCAACTTTACTGAATTTATTTATGAGTTTTTTTGTTTGTTTTGTTTTGTTTGTTTTTTGAGATGGAGTTTCACTCTTGTTGCCCAGGCTGGAGTGCAATGGCATGATCTCAGCCCACCGCAACCTCCACCTTCCAGATTCAAGTGATTCTCCTGCCTCAGCCTCCTGAGTAGCTGGGATTACAGGCATGTGCTACCACGCCCAGCTAATTTTGTATTTTTGGTAGAGACAGCGTGTCTCCATGTTGGTCAAGCTGGTCTCAAACTCCTGATCTCAGGTGATCCACCCACCTCAGCCTCCCAAAGTGCTGGGATTACAGGCATGAGCCAACGCACCTGGTCCATTTATGAGTTTTAAGTTACTCCACTCAGTAGGTCTTGGTATGCCTTTGTTTTTTATCAGCTTTTAGGGATGGTAATGTATAAACAAAGACAATTTTCTTTCATATTGTTGAATACTTAGATAATTCTTAATATTGTCAACTATACTTGTCGTTTCTATTTTTTGAAGGAGAAAAACTTAACGTGGAAAATCTAAAAAATATTCTCGAAGGCCTTGGAATAGAATTCACACCTAAAGAATACTTGGAACTGGTACAAAATCTGCAAATTGATGGTGAGCACTTCAAATACTACTGGACCTTTTGAAGAAGTTTAGCCCTATGTACTTAAGACAACCTAACAAAAAAAAAAGAAAAAAGATACCTATTAGATATTCTAGTTTAAAAAATAAAAATGGCGGCAGGGCGCGGTGGCTCACGCCAGTAATCCCAGCACTTTGGGAGGCCGAGGCGGGCAGATCACGAGGTCAGGAGATCGGGACCAACCTGGCTAACACGGTGAAACACCGTCTGTACTAAAAATACAAAAAACTAGCCGGGCATGGTAGCACACGCCTGTAGTCCTAGCTACTCGGAAGGCTGAGGCAGGAGAATGGCGTGAACCTGGGAGGCGGAGCTTGCAGTGAACGGAGATGCGCCACTGCACTCCAGTCTGGGCGACAGAGCGAGACTCTGTCTCAAAAAAATAATAATAATAAAATAAATAAATAAAAATGACAGTGTAAGAAATTTTAGCATGACCTTGTTCTTCCTTTGAGAAGTTCTTTCTTTGAGAGTCAGCAACTCTGTTTTCTTGAAATCTTGCCATTGGATATAAAAATTTTTGTTATTATTTTTGGTTCCACCCTGACCACTAAAAGTTGAGCTGAGAAATGTAAGAAAAAATGTGAAAATGGAAGGAATAGGAAAGTAGAAGAAGGAAAAGTCATAGAAGAAAAGTAAAAGACATGTTCATATTCCTTTAAAGCTGTTTGCCACTATTAAATGATTAAATAATTACTTTAAGTCACAGCACTCTGAGAGTTTTCTCCATTCTGTGGTTTCAAACTCATGGGACAGCAAAAATCAAAATTATTCCTAAAGCAAATCATTTAGAAATATTTTTATGAAATTATATATTTTTACAAGTTTTCTAAGTCTCTGTATCACTTTATCTGTGCTGTGAATTTTGCCTTTTCCTGCAGATGATGGAACTATATCTGAAAATAGATTGCTAGATGGTGTGAAATCATTCAAAGGTAAGAAGCATGAAGAGAATCCTCCTGCCTCAAATTTGTATTACTGCCTGGTTATTCTCTTACAGGTCTTACCATCTCTCATAATAATTAATTCTATATTTATTCTGCTGTTTTTAAATATAGCTGCATTTTCCAAATAGTCTTTCATTTTGCTGTCAAGCTTGGCTTTTGCCCAGTTTAGTTGAAAAGCAGATTTAAATCTGGTTCTACATAGAAAATGTGAAGCTAAGTATTGCAGTTGTTCAGGGCATTTCAGGAACTAAAAGAACTAAACTGAGCTTTTAGGCCCTTCCTACCAGAAAGATGTTTTCACTTTGTCTCCACAATAGTAATTCATCAGAGAATCAATCTGTAATTTGCAGGGTTTTCAAGATCAGGCAAGAGGTTACAATTCTAATCCCATCTTGCCTACCTTTATGCACTTGAACATTTGGGTCATTGATATTTTTGCTGATAGCCATAGTGCATGGGGATTAATTGAAATTGTATTGTTCAGAAGGTCATTAAATTTTCCTCATATTCTTGATTCTTTCCTTAGGTGGAAGAGTTGATGTTAGTAACCTGGAAAATGTTTTGGAAAATGTGAAAATCATGCTTCCAGATAAGGAACTTAAAGATTTGTCACAAAACCTACCAGTTGATGGTGAGCAATATAGACAGTATTAGACCTTTTGAGGAAATTTTATTTATAGGCTTATGCATGAGAATTCCTGAGGCTAGATCTGTTTGGGTGCTAATATGACTTTTTATAACTCAGGGAAGAACTCAGTCCTAACGTAAGAACACATTTTAATTTAGTGTATTTTCACTAATTTCAGGGTACATGGTATATGTCTTAGAGTGAGTTAAAATAAGTCTGTCGTTGAAAGAAGCTAAACAGCTTATTAACCACTGAGAAGGATCATTAATTTCAGATTAATTACATAATTTTAGTAACTTTTTTATTTTTTATTTTTGTGTGTACATAGTGTAATAACATAGGAAGGTCTTTTCATCCAGCTATACATTTCTCTATAACTTTGTGATGTACCAACTTCCCGATCCCTCTTCCTGTGTTTTGGCACTGGCTCACATTATTCCTTCCTTGGTCTCATCTCCTGTACTTTAGAAATCATAACCAGCAATATTTTACCTTCTTTTTTAACCTTCCCGTTCTCTTGTTCCCAAGAAATGTACCTCATCTTCATCAAAAATACTAGTTCCTGGATTTCTCCATCTCCTTTCAATATACAAACTGTTTCCTAACTTCTTTCATTGTCAAACTAATCTCTCTGTCATTCCTGCTGTATAAAACCTCCAAATTTTGATCAACCCAGTCGTTCAGATCTCCACTTCTATTGCTGACCTTGATAAAGAAAATAATATAAATTTGCAGGTTACTGCATCCCCAAATTCATTTTCTCCTAGATAATAGAAGGACCTAAGAACATTTTAACTCTATGTTTCCCCTTCCCCATATTAGTGTTCTTTATGTCATTCATACTATCTTGTTTTGTTTTAATTCAGCAAACCTGTATCAGTAGTAACGTTTTATAAAGTCACCATTTATTCAGATTTACCCAAATGTTTACCTATTTTTTGCTCTTCATTTTTTCTTTTACTTCAGGCCTTCCCTTTGGGATCACTTTTCTTCTGCCTAAAATAATTTCCTTTATTTAGGATTTGCTAGTGACAAATACTTCTTTTTTCTTTCTGGTCTAAAAATATATTTGTTTTGCTCTTGTTTTGACAGATATTTTCTCTGGACCTAGCAGTCTAGGTAGACAGTTATTTTCTTTTAGCACATTTTAGATATCATTCCACTGTCTTCTGCTTTCTAATGTTTATTTTTCCTGAGAGAGTAATCTTTTTGTTGTTGTTGTTGCTGCTGCTGCTGCTGCTGCTGCTGCTTTAAGACATTTGTCTTAGGTTTTGAAGTTTCACTATGGAAGACGGAAATGTATTTGTTTTTATTTATCCTCTTTGGGATTCACTGGGCTTTTTGAGTCTGACAATTGGAATCTTTCATCAGATCTGAAAAATTATTAGCCATCATCTCTTCCATTATTGTCTTTATTCCGTGGGTTTGTTTCTTCTGTAACTCTGATTAAATGTAAGGTAAACCTTATTGCTGTGTCCTCCATGGCCCTTAAGATCTCTTCACTATTTTCCATATTGTTTTCTTTCTGTGCTCCATAGGAGTTTTATGTAATACATTGTTCTATATATAGCGCCCCCAAAGTACAAATCTGCTAACTAAATGAATGGAAAATGTGTTTTGGAAACTACCCCAAAAGAAGAATGGGATTGCATAATAATAAATAACATAACCTTTTGACCAGATGCAGTGGCTCATGCCTGTAATCCTACCACTTTGGGAGGTTGAGGCAGGCGGATCACCTGAGGCCAGGAGATTGAGACCAGCCTGGCCAACATGGCAAAACCCCATTTCTGCTAAAAATATAAAAATTAGCCAGGTGTTGTGGTGCATGCCTGTAATCCCAGTTACTTGGGTGGTTAAGGCACAAGAATTGCTTGAGCCAGGGAGGCGAAGGTTGCAGTGAGCCAAGATTACACCACTGCTCTCCAGCCTGGGTAACAGAGTGAGACTCTGTCTGGAAAAAAATAAAAAATAAAAATAACCCTTTATGGCAAGAAAATACCAAAATACCAATAATGTGCATAGTTTCTAGTTTTCTTCTTACCCCAAAATATATTGCATCTGCAACTTTGAAAAAATACGATGATTTGAGAGCTACTTGTACCATTGTAATATGTTCCAATCCACCATTTAATGTAAAGTATTTAATACTGCTATGTATAAAGTCTTATGCTAGTTGCTGGGTTAGGATGCCTGGATGGGATACAGAATAAGTAGATACATTCTTTTTATTTAAAAACACGTTTATTTATTTTTATTTTGAGTATGTAATGAACATATCTTTGAGTATATAATGAACATATTTACTAGAAAATAAGTACAACAGGGGGATGTTGGCATGGGGCAGTGTTCAATGGGGAAATAGCTTAAGGTTCCAAACGGAAATGTTTTCATCTTGTTCCTAGGAATTGGTAGTACGTAGTGTAAGGAGACCATGCCCAAGGGAGTAGATGTTCCACAGTGTATAAAGTTTGAGATCTTAAAAGAGAGAAGGAGAGAATAATTGATGAAATTAATAGTTAACATTTTTGTAATTTTCTCTATTTTATGCTTATCTATGTATGTTATTAGGCTATAATTTAAAACAAATCATAAAGAAAATGATTCCTTTGCTCTGACAGTCTTTTTGAATCAGCACGCAATTATGTTTGTCTGCATTTTTGGATTGTTTTTTAGCTTCTGGGATGACTGATCTGCATAAACTACTAAAAGAAGTAAATAAATTCACAGGTGAGCAAGACATTTTGTGAAAAGATATAAAACCAAAATGCAAATACTTCACTTTCACATACATATTTAAAATTGTGTTTTCTTATTCTATCATTGACTAATTAACTTCTACTTTTTAATGATTAAAATTTGGGTTTAATAGTGAAGATTTCACTGAATTATTTATGTTTTCGCTACAACTTCGTGGTGCTGCACCTCTATAACAAGTCTTACACTCTGAAACCTTGATTTTGTGATGCATTTCACTGTGATTAAATAGGCTACACATGTGTTCATTCATTCATTCAAAATGCTTGCTAAGCACCTACTGTAACCCAGTAAATGTTAAGGTAAAACTTTGACAGGTATACAAATAATGTAGTCAGTGAGACTAATCTATCTCATAATTCAGGCAAAGCAAAAGTAACACAGATTTCACCTGATGGTAATATGATTCAGATTACATAACAGTTTATGCATATATTTTTTTTAGGGTTTTTTGATTTGTTTGCTTTTTTTTTTTTAAATTATACTCTAAGTTCTAAGGTACATGTGCACAATGTGCAGGTTTGTTACATATGTATACTTGTGCCATGTTGGTGTGTTGCACCCATCAACTCATCAGCACCCATCAACCCGTCATTTACATCAGGTATAACTCCCAATGCAATCCCTCCCCCCTCCCCCCTCCCCATAATAGGCCCCGGTGTGTGATGTTCATACATATTTAGATCACTGAGCATCTTGTACATCCCCTTACTATGAGCTGGGTTAAGTTCTCTAAGTCATTAAGAGCATTATAAAAAAGGATCTTATTTAGATTTTAAGAAATAATTTCCATTTCCTGTGCTCTTCATCTGAAAGCTGTAGATAATACTATACAAGCATAAACACTTTTCATCACTTTGAGTCAGTAGGCAATTCTTACGTGTCTCTCCATTCCCATCTTTTACAAGGAGGAAAAATTCAAGCCAAGGACATACAAAAAGTACTGGGAGACATGGGAGTAGAGCTCACAAATAGGGAACTCTGGAACCTGATGAAAATGTTGCCAATTACTGGTAGGTATTTTATGCACTACTATGATATATATTTCTGTGCTAGTGTGGACTTAAATGTGAGAATATCATAAAAATGGGCCCCTCTGATTTCCTATAAAAAGACAGAAAGAGTCCGGGCATGGTGGTAATCCCAGCACTCTGGGAGGCCAAGGCGGGCAGATTACCTGATGCCAGGAGTTTGAGACCAACCTGGCCAACATGGTGAAACCCTGTCCCTACTAAAAATTATAAAAATTAGCCAGGCGTGGTGGTGCGTGCCTGTAATCCCAGTTACTCAGGAGGCTGAGGCAGGAGAGTCACTTGAACCACAGAGGCAGAGGTTGCAGTGAGCCAAGATCGTGCCACTGCACTCCAGCCTGCAAAATGCAGTGAGACGTCATCAAAAAAAAAAAAAAAAAGATTAACCTCTGGTTGTAAGTATATTATGCATTTGACATTTAAATTTTTAGTTTTGAGAGGCTGTCATATCTTCAAACCTGAGTCCTGCCATTAAGAGTATCATTACCCCGAGATTAAATAAAGCTTAAGGAGGCCAAAGAGAAAAGAAAGCTGAATTAGTTAGTAGCAGAGAGAAGGAAAAGGGAAAAAGCAGAGTGGGGAAAAGGCACATCTGTTTCAGTGTATAAGAATGAATGGACTGTCCACATTAAGAATTTTATTCTCATCTTATTTTTGGACTTAGTTATGAAGAGGTGTGGCTGTAGGAAATGTAGGAATGCAAATTAAGAAAGTACTTTTTTAAAATCTGCATTTAAAAATTGCGGCTGGGCATGGTGGCTCACACCTGTAATCCCAGCACTTTGGGAGGCCAAGGTGGGCGATCACCTGAGGTCAGGAGTTCGAGACTAGCCTGGCCAACATGGCAAAACCCCATCTCTACTAAAAATACAAAAATTAGCTGGGCATGGTAGCACATGCCTATAATCCCAGCTACTTAGGAGGCTAAGGTGGAAGAATCGCTTGAACCTGAGAGGCAGAGTGAGCTGAGATTGCGCCACTGCACTCTAGCCTGGGCAACAGAGTGAGATTCCATCTCTTTCTTTCTCTCTCTCTCTCTCTCTCTCTCTCTCTATATATATATATATATATGTATGTGTGTGTATATATATATGTATGTGTATATATATATATGTTCTTTCTACTCTTTTTTTGACTGTCTCTGTAATTTTTTCTTTGATCTTAACTGTGCCTTATTTTACAGATGACGGAAAGGTATATAAAAATATATTGCTTGATAATATAAAATCATTTCCTGGTAAGTAAAAAACCCAATAAGGCAAGTAAAACTATGACTTGTAAGCTTTACCTTAACTATTAAAAGACCTTATCATTAGATAACAATTAGATTATCTATTTTATTGTCACATTAGCCTATAGGTCTTAGATACAACTATATTTAATGTGATAATTTATACTTTGCAAAAGTTTTAAATTCTATTTGCTGTCCAGAGCTCTAATTCTTATCTAACATAATTCATCAAGTTCATTTAAAAAAAAACATATGTAATTTATAATGTAAAAAAGTAGTACATATAATTAGTATATAATAAAATTATATATTATGTAATATATAGTTTTCTTCTAAATACACCGTTTTTCCAAAGTATTGAAAGCTTCCCCTGAAACAAGAGTGGCAAAACATATTATATTCCTGGCTTCCACAGTAAGGGTTTATTTATGTAGCCCTGAACAGTTTTTTAAAAAAATTATTACTGGCAATGGATTTGTTCTATTTGATTTTTATTGGTGACTGAATATAACCAGTATTTTTCTTAGCTATCAGTTCCTATATTTTATCACTTCCTTCTTTCCTAAGGTGGGAAGTGCAATGTCTCTAAAATTGGTACTATCCTGGAAAACATGGGTTATGAGCTGGAAGATGAGGAAATTGAATACCTGCAGAACCACCTGCCAACTACTGGTGAGCATGTCATTGTATCTTCAAGGAAACTCTGAGATCCTGTAATAAAATTTCAAAATGTATTCATCTAAAAAAAATCTATTATCTCAGACTTTTTGCTTGGTAGATCTTCCTGCATCCCTTTATTTTGAGCCTATGTGTGTCTCTGCACGTGAGATGGGTCTCCTGAATACAGCACACTGATGGGTCTTGACTCTTTATCCAATTTGCCAGTCTGTGTCTTTTAATTGGGGTATTTAGCCCGTGTGAATTTGATCCTGTCATTATGATGTTAGCTGGTTATTTTGCCCATTAATTGATGCAGTTTCTTCATAGCATCGATGGTCTTTACAATTTGGCACGTTTTTACAGTGGCTGGTACCGGTTGTTCCTTTCCAGCATGTTGTTTTGATCATATAAAAAGTCTAGCTTTTAAAATCCTATGAAAAAGAAATAGAAAATGCATCCTTCTCTCTGGTAAGCAACACAGTGGCTTTCCTTAGTATTATAGTGTATTGTGTGGGTCTGAGATTGTGAATGATATGTTGAATTAAAAGCCAATTATCTAAGATCCTTACTGTACTATAAAAATGTATTACCACTATCTCTCTTCTTTCTGATCCAAAGCACACAGATTCAGAATTTTATGTATAGTCTTGCTTTATTTAATATGTCTTTTTACTAGAAATATTTGCTAATATAAATCAGGTCAGTCTTACCCACTTGAACAGATATTTTGCAAGACTATTTGCACAAAATAATATTAATTTAATTAATAAGAACACAGAATTGCATACTAATTAAGTAACTAATACAGGAAACTGGCCAATCCTCTTTCTCTTATTCTCATGCTGTCATATTCCTGGTAATATAAACTAATCACCTCTATTGAAATAGCCACAGACAATAATTATCAAGTATTAACTGCCTACTATATACCAAAAACAATAATCAGTACTTGACGTATGTTAATAGTCCTCAAAATAACTGCAAAGTAAATTATCATCCTAATTTATCTGATGTGGAAATGGAAAATCAGTCACAAAGGTTAATTGATTTGCCTGAGGCCATGTGGCCACTAAATGGAAAAGTAAAGATGGCAATTCAGATCTATATAACTTGAAAGGTTTGCCCTTTCTACCAAATCATACTGTCTCACATAAGAGAGGTAAGCAGAGCCACACAGACTATGATAGGAATGATTCTTTAAGGAGGTTGTGTGATGTGGCCCTTGAGATGAGAATTATCAACTAGTAAGTACACAAATTAAATGAGAGTCAGCAAAGATTGGAAATCTTTGTGGCCAGGGAGTCAGAAGCATGGAGAAAGGGCTGAGTAACAGTTGCATGTAGAAGTAGCCATGATCCTTTAGGTAGATAAATACACCAATATTATAGAATATATTTCTTCTAAATCTTGTAATAATAAAGTGGTCAAACATAGGGTTATTCCTGGATTCTAAAGTGGGACAGGCCAAGTGGAAAGGAAGTCAAAGCAATGCTTTCAAAATTTCCTAGAACCATTGTGTATAGAATTTTATATACTTTAATTTCTTCTTCTGTGCTATATAGTTATCATATTTGGAACTTCATTCTTCACTACCATGATCATCTGGGCATGAAAATGAATACATTTATAGAACAAATCAGGGCAAACTTCTGAATGTTAATGTTGTATTCTACAATGTAAGGTGTTAATAGCATATTTTCTGGGTCTGAGTCATTATGGCTGGTCTCATTTGTACCTTATCTTACAGATGAAAAGAAGGTTAAACTGAATAAGGTCATGGAAAATGTAGAGTCATTTACAGGTGAGTGAAAAATTATAGGTAGGCCTGGCACAGTGGCTCACGCCTATAATTCCAGCACTTTGGGAGGCTGAGGCAGATGGATCACTGGAGCTCAGGAGTTCGAGACCAGCCTGGCCAATGTGGTGAAACCCCGTCTCTACTAAAAATATAAAAAATTAGCTGGGACTGGTGGTGCGTGCCTGTAATCCCAGCTACTTAGGAGAGTGAGGTGGGAGAATCGCTGGAACCCGGGGGTCAGAGGTTACAGTGAGCCAAGATCTCACCACTGCACTCCAGCCTGGATGACAGAGCTAGACTCCATCTCAAAAAAAAAAAAAAAAAGTTAAGGGAAAATTGTTGTAAATAGCTATATTCTTTTTTTTTTTTTTTAATTATACTTTAAGTTCTAGGGTACATGTGGATAACATGCAGGTTTGTTACATATGTATACTTGTGCCATGTTGGCGTGCTGCACCCATCAACTCGTCAGCACCCATCAACTCATCATTTACATCAGGTATAACTCCCAATGCAATCCCTCCCCCCTCCCCCCTCCCCATAATAGGCTCCGGTGTATGATGTTCCCCTTCCCGAGTCCAAGTGATCTCATTGTTCAGTTCCCACCTATGAGTGAGAACATGCAGTGTTTGTTTTTCTGTTCTTGCGATAGTTTGCTGAGAATGATGGTTTCCAGCTGCATCCATGTCCCTACAAAGGACACAAACTCATCCTTTTTTATGGCTGCATAGTATTCCATGGTGTATATGTGCCACATTTTCTTAATCCAGTCAGTCACTGATGGACATTTGGGTTGATTCCAAGTCTTTGCTATTGTGAATAGTGCTGCAATAAACATACGTGTGCATGTGTCTTTATAGCAGCATGATTTATAATCCTTTGGGCATATACCCAGTAATGGGATGGCTGGGTCATATGGTACTTCTAGTTCTAGATCCTTGAGGAATCGCCATACTGTTTTCCATAATGGTTGAACTAGTTTACAATCCCACCAACAGTGTAAAAGTGTTCCTATTTCTCTACATCCTCTCCAGCACCTGTTGTTTCCTGACTTTTTAATGATTGCCATTCTAACTGGTGTGAGATGGTATCTCATTGTGGTTTTGATTTGCATTTCTCTGATGGCCAGTGATGATGAGCATTTTTTCATGTGTCTGTTGGCTGCATAAATGTCTTCTTTTGAGAAGTGTCTGTTCATATCCTTTGCCCACTTTTCGATGGGGTTGTTTTTTTCTTGTAAATTTGTTTGAGTTCTTTGTAGGTTCTGGATATTAGCCCTTTGTCAGATGAGTAGATTGCAAAAATTTTCTCCCAATCTGTAGGTTGCCTGTTCACTCTGATGGTAGTTTCTTTTGCTGTGCAGAAGCTCTTTAGTTTAATTATATCTCATTTCTCAATTTTGGCTTTTGTTGCCGTTGCTTTTGGTGTTTTAGACATGAAGTCCTTGCCCATGCCTATGTTCTGAATGGTATTACCTAGATTTTCTTCTAGGGTTTTTATGGTATTAGGTCTAACATTTAAGTCTCTGATCCATCTTGAATTAATTTTCGTATAAGGAGTAAGGAAAGGATCCAGTTTCAGCTTTCTACTTATGGCTAGCCAATTTTCCCAGCACCATTTATTAAATAGGGAATCCTTTCCCCATTTCTTGTTTTTCTCAGGTTTGTCAAAGATCAGATGGCTGTAGATGTGTGGTATTATTTCTGAGGCCTCTGTTCTGTTCCATTGGTCTATATCTCTGTTTTGGTACCAGTACCATGCTGTTTTGGTTACTGTAGCCTTGTAGTATAGTTTGAAGTCAGGTAGTGTGATGCCTCCAGCTTTGTTCTTTTGATTTAGGATTGTCTTGGCAATGCAGGCTCTTTTTATGAACTTTAAAGCAGTTTTTTCCAATTCTGTGAAGAAAGTCATTGGTAGCTTGATGGGGATGGCATTGAATCTATAAATTACCTTGGGCAGTATGGCCATTTTCACGATATTGATTCTTCCTATCCATGAGCATGGTATGTTCTTCCATTTGTTTGTGTCCTCTTTTATTTCACTGAGCAGTGGTTTGTAGTTCTCCTTGAAGAGGTCCTTTACATCCCTTGTAAGTTGGATTCCTAGGTATTTCATTCTCTTTGAAGCAATTATGAATGGAACTTCATTCATGATTTGGCTCTCTGTTTTTCTGTTACTGGTGTATAAGAATGTTTGTGATTTTTGCACATTAATTTTGTATCCTGAGACTTTGCTGAAGTTTCTTCTCAGCTTAAGGAGATTTTGGGCTGAGATGATGGGGTTTTCTAAATATACAATCATGTCATCTGCAAACAGGGACAATTTAACTTCTTATTTTCCTAACTGAATACCCTTGATTTCTTTCTCTTGCCTGATTGCCCTAGCCAGAACTTCCAACACTATGTTGAATAGGAGTGGTGAGAGAGGGCATCCCTGTCTTATGCCAGTTTTCAAAGGGAATTTTTCCAGTTTTTGCCCATTCAGTATGATATTGGCTGTGGGTTTGTCATAAATAGCACTTATTATTTTGAGATACATTCCATCAATACCGAATTTATTCAGCGTTTTTAGCATGAAGGGCTGTTGAATTTTGTCAAAGGCCTTTTCTGCATCTATTTAGATAATCATGTGGTTTTTGTCTTTGGTTCTGTTTATATGCTGGATTACGTTTATTGATTTGCATATGTTGAACCAGCCTTGCATCCCAGGGATGAAGCCCACTTGATCATGGTGGATAAGCTTTTTGATGTGCTGCTGGATTCAGTTTGCCAGTATTTTATTGAGGATTTTTGCATCGATGTTCATCAGGGATATTGGTCTAAAATTCTCTTTTTTTGTTGTGTCTCTGCCAGGCTTTGGTATCAAGATGATGTTGGCCTCATAAAATGAGTTAGGGAGGATTCCCTTTTTTTCTATTGATTGGAATAGTTTCAGAAGGAATGGTACCAGCTCCTCCTTGTACCTCTGGTAGAATTCAGCTGTGAATCCATCTGGTCCTGGACTTTTTTTCTTTGGTAGGCTATTAATTATTGCCTCAATTTCAGAGCCTGCTATTGGTCTATTCAGGAATTGCGCTTCTTCCTGGTTAAGTCTTGGGAGAGTGTAAGTGTCCAGGAAATTATCCATTTCTTCTAGATTTTCTAGTTTATTTGCGTAGAGGTGTTTATAGTATTCTCTGATGGTAGTTTGTATTTCTGTGGGGTCGGTGGTGATATCCCCTTTATCATTTTTTATTGCATCTATTTGATTCTTCTCTCTTTTCTTCTTTATTACTCTTGCTAGTGGTCTATCAATTTTGTTGATCTTTTCAAAAAACCAACTCCTGGATTCATTGATTTTTTTAAGAGTTTTTTGTGTCTCTATCTCCTTCAGTTCTGCTCTGATCTTAGTTATTTCTTGCCTTCTGCTAGGTTTTGAATGTGTTTGTTCTTGCTTCTCTAGTTCTTTCAATTGTGATGTTAGAGTGTCAATTTTAGATCTTTCCAGCTTTCTCTTGTGGGCATTTAGTGCTATAAATTTCCCTCTACACACTGCTTTAAATGTGTCCCAGAGATTCTGGTATGTTGTATCTTTGTTCTCATTGGTTTCAAAGAACATCTTTATTTCTGCCTTCATTTGGTTATGTACCCAGTAGGCATTCAGGAGCAGGTTATTCAGTTTCCATGTAGTTGAGCGGTTTTGATTGAGTTTCTTAGTCCTGAGTTCTAGTTTGATTGCACTGTGGTCTGAGAGACAGTTTGTTATAATTTCTGTTCTTGTACATTTGCTGAGGAGTGCTTTACTTCCTATTCTGTGGTCAATTTTGGAATAAGTGTGATGTGGTGCTGAGTAGAATGTATATTCTGTTGATTTGGGGTGGAGAGTTCTGTAGATGTCTATTAGGTCTGCTTGCTACAGAGATGAGTTCAATTCCTGGAAATCCTTGTTAATTTTCTGTCTCGTTGATCTGTCTAATGTTGACAGTGGGGTGTTGAAGTCTCCCATTATTATTGTATGGGAGTCTAAGTCTCTTTGTAAGTCTTTAAGGACTTGCTTTATGCATCTGGGTGCTCCTGTATTGGGTGCATATATATTTAGGATAGTTAGCTCTTCCTGTTGAATTGGTCCCTTTACCATTATGTAATGGCCTTCTTTGTCTCTTTTGATCTTTGATGGTTTAAAGTCTATTTTATTAGAGACTAGTATTGCAACCCCTGCTTTTTTTTGTTCTCCATTTGCTTGGTAGATCTTCCTCCATCCCTTTATTTTGAGTCTATGTGTGTCTCTGCATGTGAGATGGGTCTCCTGAATACAGCAAACTGATGGGTCTTGACTCTTTATCCAGTTTGCCAGTCTGTGTCTTTTAATTGGAGCGTTTAGTCCATTTACATTTAAGGTTAATATTATTATGTGTGAACTTGATCCTGCCATTATGATATTAACTGGTTATTTTGCTCGTTAGTTGATGCTGTTTCTTCCTAGCCTCGATGGTCTTTACATTTTGGCATGTTTTTGCAATGGCTGGTATCGGTTGTTCCTTTCCATGTTTAGTGCTTCCTTCAGGGTCTCTTGTAAGGCAGGCCTGGTGGTGACAAAATCTCTAAGCATTTGCTTATCTGTAAAGGATTTTATTTCTCCTTCACTTACGAAACTTAGTTTGGCTGGATATGAAATTCTGGGTTTAAAATTCTTTTCTTTAAGAATGTTGAATATTGTCCCCCACTGTCTTCTGGCTTGTAGAGTTTCTGCCGAGAGATCTGCTGTTAGTCTGATGGGCTTCCCTTTGTGGGTAACCCGACCTTTCTCTCTGGCTGCCCTTAAGATTTTTTCCTTCATTTCAACTTTGGTGAATCTGACAATTATGTGTCTTGGAGTTGCTCTTCTTGAGGAGTATCTTTGTGGCGTTCTCTGTATTTCCTGAATTTGAATGTTGGCCTGCCCTACTAGGTTGGGGAAGTTCTCCTGGATGATATCCTGAAGAGTGTTTTCCAATTTGGTTCCATTTTCCCCCTCACTTTCAGGCACCCCAATCAGACGTAGATTTGGTCTTTTTACATAATCTCATACTTCTTGCAGGCTTTGTTCATTTCTTTTTCTTCTTTTTTCTTTAGGTTTCTCTTCTCAGTTGATTTCACTCATTTGATCCTTAATCGCTGATACTCTTTCTTCCAGTTGATCAAGTCGGTTACTGAAGCTTGTGCATTTGTCACGTATTTCTCGTGTCATGGTTTTCATCTCTGTGCATTCATTTATGGCCTTCTCTGCATTAATTATTCTAGTTATCAATTCTTCCACTCTTTTTTCAAGATTTTTAGTTTCTTTGCACTGGGTATGTAATTCCTCCTTTAGCTCTGAGAAGTTTGATGGACTGAAGCCTTCTTCTCTCATCTCGTCAAAGTCATTCTCCGTCCATCTTTGATCCGTTGCTGGCAATGAGCTGCGTTCCTTTGCAGGGGGCGATGTGCTCTTATTTTTTGAATTTCTAGCTTTTCTGCCCTGCTTTTTCCCCGTCTTTGTGGTTTTATCTGCCTCTGGTCTTTGATGATGGTGATGTACTGATGGGGTTTTGGTGTGGGTGTCCTTCCTGTTTGTTAGTTTTCCTTCTAACAGTCAGGACCCTCAGCTGTAGGTCTGGTGGAGATTGCTTGAGGTCCACTCCAGACCCTGTTTGCCTGGGTATCAGCAGCAGAGGCTGCAGAAGATAGAATATTGCTGAACAGCAAGTGTACCTGTCTGATTCTTGCTTTGGAAGCTTCCTCTCAGGGGTGTACTCCACCATGTGAGGTGTGGGGTGTTGGTCTGCCCCTAGTGGGGGATGTCTCCCAGTTAGGCTACTCAGGGGTCAGGGACCCACTTGAGCAGGCAGTCTGTCCCTTCTCAGATCTCAACCTCCGTGTTGGGAGATCCACTGCTCTCTTCAAAGCTGTCAGACAGAGTCGTTTGTGTCTGCAGAGGTTTCAGCTGCTTTTTGTTGTTGTTGTTGTTGTTGTTGTTGTTGTTGTTGTTTAGCTGTGCCCTGTCCCCAGAGATGGAGTCTACAGAGACAGGCAGGACTCCTTGAGCTGCTGTGAGCTCCACCCAGTTCGAGCTTCCTAGCCGCTTTGTTTATCTACTTAAGCCTCAGCAATGGCGGGCACCCCTCCCCCAGCCTCGCTGCTGCCTTGCTGCGAGATCACAGACTGCTGTGCCAGCAATGAGGGAGGCTCGGTGGGCGTGGGACCCTCCCGGCCAGGTGTGGGATATAGTCTCCTGGTGTGCCCGTTTGCTAAGATCCTTGGTAGAGCGCAGTATTGGGGTGGGAGTTACCCGATTTTCCAGGTGTTGTGGGTCTCAGTTCCCCTGGCTAGGAAAAGGGATTCCCTTCCCCCTTGTGCTTCCCAGGTGAGGCGATGCCTCGCCCTGCTTCAGCTCTCACTGGTCGGGCTGCAGCAGCTGAGCAGCACTGATTGTCAGGCACTCCCTAGTGAGATAAACCCAGTACCTCAGTTGAAAATGCAGAAATCATCTGTCTTCTGTGTCGCTGGCGCTGGGAGTTGGAGACTGGAGCTGTTCCTATTCGGCCATCTTGCTCCGCCCAATAGCTATATTCTAATACTTTTTCTGTTATACCTTTAAATACTCTATTTCCATCATACTGACATTGACTTGTTAGTCCTTTTAGTATATTATGGTATCTTTTATCCAATAACCCAGGATAGTTTTTGATTATATACTTTTTGAGCAAAACCACCAAATTATAAAGTCTTGGTAAAATACCTTATATCTTCTGCATTTTTTTCAATAATGAACATCATTTTTCCATTGTTTAAACAGATAGAAATCTAGATTACCATATAATTGGTGAAACAAAACATTGTCATAATTCTTTTTAGGAATAATTCATCTTATCACATAGGCAAATATGGATGCTACCTATCTTCAAAGAATTATTTACATAGTCATTTATACAGTAGTCATAGATATATACCTTTATACAAGCCCCATTTCAGAGTGTTGATTTATCCTGTTATTATTAGAACGTTCAAAAGGTATTTTCTTCTCTAGAATTTTGAGATTGAGTTATATTTCTGACATCCCCTTAGAATTTTGACTCAGCATTTTGACTATTTAAGCCTGCAATTAAACTTAGATGGCATTCATAGTTTAAAATCATTTGTCACTCACTCAGATTTTTCATCATCTTTTCCATCTTTTCAAAGGAACCAAGATTAATACTAATGAAGTAGATGATATTTTGAAAAACATAGGGATAGAACTCACACCTAAGGAACGCTGGAAGCTGCTAAAAACTCTGCCAGTTACTTGTGAGCATTTCTGATACAGTTTGACCTTTGGGGGAACTTAGTTTAGGTGATGGTATTGGGGGAGGTGAGAATCATTAAACATTTATTCCACCTATATTTATATTCAACATATTTACTAAGTACTTCTTAGATAATGAGATTAAAGACAAAAGTCCTTGCTCTCATGAAGACTATTATGGTGATAGAGCTTACTTATTGGGACTGAGCTTGAAAACTTTGTAAATGAATAAGGAGTTTTTAATTTATTAAACATTTTTAATTTAGTTTATTACCTTGGGAATGTCTGGAAGTCCTAAAGCATAAAGAAAAGGGAGAAAAAAGAGAAGTCATATAATAATAGCAGGATAAAAAGAGTCAAGGCAGAGAGATAGTTTCAGCATAGTAAGATGGATAAGTTTAGAACTTTACTCCTTCACTTTATGCTTAAAGCCAAGGAAGAGAAGGATGTGTGGATGCGAAACTGGTTAAATCTATAAGGCAAATCATGTAAGATTGTTGTCTTTATGAAATAATAGTCTATATATTCTTGTTATGAATTGCTGTATCACTTTCTCTATGACATCAATTATACCTTGTCTTATAGCTGATGGAAAAGTGTGTCGCAATCTGTTACTAGATCGTTTAAAGACTTTCCAAGGTGAGTAATATGTGTAATAAGAAGTTAAGTAAAATTGAAATCTTAAGCTTTATATTTCCTTTTCTAAAGTCCCTTTACAAAGGATAAAAACAGATACTTCTCAAAAGAAGACATACATGTAGCTGGCAAACATATGAAAAAATGCTCAACATCACTAATCATTAAAGAAATGTAAGTCAAAACCACAATAAGATACCATCTCACACCAGTCAGAATGGCTTTTCTTAAAAAGACAAAAAATAACAGATGTTGATGAGGCTGTGGAGAAAAGGGAACAAATGTAATTAGTTCAGCCACTGTGGAGAGCAGTTTGGAGATTTCTCAGAGAATTGGGGGTTAAACTACCATTTGACCCAGAAATCCCACTACTGGGTATATACCCAAAGGAAAATAAGTCATTCTACCAAAAAGACACATACACTTGTAAGTTCATCACAGCATATTTGCAATACCAAAGACATGGAATCAACCTAGATACCTATCAGTAGTAGACTAGATAAAGAAAATGTGGTATATATACACCATGAAATACTATGTATCCATAAAAAAGAACAAAATCCTGCCCTTTGCAGCAACATGGGTGTAGCTGGAAGCTATTATTCTAAGCAAATTAACACAGGGACAGAAAACAAAATACTGCATATTATCGCTTATAAGTGGGAGCTGACCATTGACTATACCTGGACATAAAGATGAGAACAATAGACACTGGGCACTGGGGACTATTAGGAAGGGTAGAGGAGGTAGGCCAGGAGGTGTCAAGGGTTGAAAAGCTCTCTGTTGGGTACTATGCACACTACCTAGATGATGGGATCATTTATACAACAAACCTCAGCAACACACAATTTACCAATGTAAGAAAGCAGCAAATGTACCCCTGAACCTAAAATAAAAGTTGAAAAAAAATTTTTTTAATTGAAAATCCTTCTAATTACTTAATGATAGCAATAGCTAATTTCTAATGAGTGGTGTACCAGGCACTATTCCAAATACTTTACATATATTTATTTAATTCTCACAGAAATACTATGAGGTAGGTACTTTTATTATCACCATTTCACAGATGAGAGGTGTTGATTCACTGTGCTATATTTAACAGTTAGTTTACTAAAGTTTTTCTTTCCTTTTATGACTTATAGCTTAAGCTCAGATAAATACTAAATTTGTACAGACAATTTACTGTTATAATGGTAGGTTTCAAATTCAGTGGCTGCTATTACGGCTGTTGTTTCTAACATATTTCTCCACAATGAGTAATAGCTGAGGAATGAATAATAAACCTTATTCATTCTCTTTGTTTCAAATGTCTACTTAAAATGTTAGCAGGGTATCATGCAACAAGTATAAGGAGCTGTTCTTTTTCCTCATATCCATACCGAATCCCCTGCCACCTTGGTTTTGTGTTCTTTCTGAACATCTGCATTGTTTTTGCTTTTCTCCCTCTCACTGGAGTTTAGGGCATATACCTAAGTAGAATTTTTAAGGTTAAGGTATTATTTCACATTTTTCTTATTTCACATATTTTTTCTTAAGGAGGGAAGGTCTTTGAAAATAAACTAGAAACCATTCTGGAAAACATGAACTACAAACTTGAAAATGAAGAAATGAAAGATCTACGGAACCATTTGAAAATTGATGGTATTTCATTTACCATTTATCACTTTCTTTCTGAAGAATCTTTAAAATCCTCTCGTAAAACCTCTGAGAGTTTGCTTATTCAATTTCACTTAGAAAGTAAGGAGGCCAGAGCTGGGCACGGTGGATCACGCCTGTGATCCCAGCACTTTGGGAGGCCGAGGCAGGCAGATCACCTGAGGTCAGAAGTTCAAGACCAACTGAGCCAACATGGTGAAACCCCGTCTCTACTAAAAATACAAAAATTAGCCGGATATAGTGGACCAGGCCTATAATCCCAGCTACTTGGGAGACTGAGGCAGGAGAATCACTTGAACCCAGAAGGCAGAGGTCACAGTGAGCCCAGATTGTGCCACTGCAGTCCAGCATGGGCGATAGAGTGAGACTCCGTCTCAAAAATAAAGAAAGTAAGAAGGCCAGGCACAGTAGCTCACACCTATAATCCCAACACCTTGGGAAGCCAAGGCAGGAGGATTGCTTGAGCCCAGAAGTTTGAGGTTGCAGTGAGCTACGACTGTACCATTGCACTCCAGACTGGGTAACAGAGCAAGAGTCTGTCTCTTAAAAAAAGAAAAAGAAAATAAATAGTAAGAAGTACTTGTAGAGTTACAGTCCTCAAGGATAAAAATATGACTTCTGGTTATTAATCTCAATGTTGTCAGAGAACCAATAAGGACACTGGTAGATTTAGATTTAACTAGAAAAACAAACACTTCAGAAGAAAACAATGGAAGATATTGAAATAAATGTTACAAAAGGTCGGAGACTGACAAAACTAAGTGAGAAGGTAAAAAAGGTTTGGAATTGTTCAGGAAAAAAAAAATATTGTACAAATAGAGGTGATCATGTTTTTATTTAACAAATATGAGATGAATGTCAGAGTGGAGTTGAAATAGAGGGTAAGCAATTTCTGACTTGAGACCATTCATCTGGCATTGGACAGATATCTTTTAGGTCAAAATGACAGTTTAGGAGAAGAATTTAAGATCCAATTTAGCATTTAAAACATGGTCTTTTGAATTCTATGAGGTAGTTGAGTACAAGAAAAACACTCAAAAATTAACAAATGCTCTCTCTGAAAGCAATGTTAACTTAGAAAATTTTAAGAAAAAAAGTGATCTCATTCCTAATAGCAATAAAAAAATTATTTTACCTGATTTATGCTTTGTATTTCAGACAATGGAAAGATTTTATTAAATTCTGTGATCCGTGCAGCCAATTTATTTTCTGGTGAGTGAGAAATGCTAACAAAAAGATATAAAATCAAGATCCCTTATTATACATAAAACTATTTTAATATATTTATTTATGGAATGCCTCAGTATTATATAAATGATACACAAGCCTTATTTCACCAAAGTATTGATGACATGCTTCTTTTTAAGAATACTGGTGAGTTTTTTTATTGCCTACTTTTTTAGGAGTAGCTTTTCTTTTTAAAAGAAGTCTATTTTATTATAAGTATCCGGCTTGTTTCCATTGTTTTCAGAGCATGAATAAAAGCATTCTTTTGACCAGGCTTAAAGGAAATATTCTATTTTTAGCTCCTTCTTATGATGCTCTGCAGTCAGATAATCCACATTGTGTTCTTGTTCTTCTGCAATTACATCTCTTGCAAGTTGAGATATTACTGTTTTATTATAATTGTCTAAATTTAGAATCATTGTATGTGAAAATATTCACTTATGTTTCCCATCTTTTTCCAAGGTGATAAGATAAATGCCAGTGACATACAACTTTATCTAGGAAATGTAGGTATTGAATTTACAAATAAAGAAAACCAGGATCTACTGGACATAGTGCCATTGGATGGTGAGCATTTCAGACCTTGCATTCAATTTCAGAGAATCTTGAATTTATGAGTTGTACACATAAAATTCTAGAAGTATGACTGTTTAAAGTCCTATTAAAAATTAAGAGAAAATCAAGCATAGGAAGAGCCAATTCTAATATAAAATTTACTGTCTTTACCATTTATATCTTAATTTGGGAGGTAATGTCTTCTTTGGGGTATTGCTATTATGGGATAAACAATTTTAAATGTGAGACTCAGCATTTATAACAAGACTAAAGCTAAAGATAGGAAAAGATAATAAAAGAATTGTGAAAAGGAAGAAAGATGCACCTCTAAAAAAAAGAAAAGAAAAAATCTATTTCAACATGTTAGAGTTCCACTAATAGTACACCAAATACCAGAATATAGTTAACCTTGAGAAACTTATTAATTTCTTTACTTCCTTCTTTGGATTATTATTAAGATAAATTTATTAAAATTTACTAATAAGCATTAATGTCTTTCTGAATTTCCACTTCCTTGTGAATTAAATTGAGACTTATTTTACAGATAATAAAAGGGTATATAAAGATAGGCTGATGGATGGAGTGAAGACTTACAGAGGTGAGTAAAAATCATGCTAGAAAAGATAAAACTGAGTTCTTCAAGCTTTTGTGTTTACTTTCTTAAAACCTATCTTATTTCCCACTGATTAGATTACTAATTATGTTAATATATTCTTCAAATTATGAACTGGCATTGTTACTCGTACACAATCACATTTGGAGTAATAGCCTTCACTATTTTGTCACTGTAGCAAATTTCAAATCTTACTGGTAAGAAATCTTTGGATTGTTGTCTCTTTGCTGTAATTCATCAGTCTTGCTTGCTCTTTTTCCTCCTACAAATTGCTGTAGCAGTGTTTTCTCGAACACTGATGGGGAAAACTTTTCTGTTCCTGCTCCACAACTGATTCTTTTGTTCACTTCAAAGGTTTTATGATGCTTCCTGTCTGTGTTGATTGACTAAAATAAGCAAGCATTTTTCTGTCTTTAGCATAAATACAAATTTTTCTTATTCTTATCCCCTTCTTTTTTAAGGAGGAAAGGTTAATGTCAATAAAATAGATGATGCTCTTGAAAACATGAGAATCCCACTTGAGGAAGAAGAAATTGAGAAACTGTGTGAAGACTTACCTCTTGATGGTGAGCATTTCACAAATAGAGGGACTTGTAAGAAAAAGTTTGTTTTTCTGTGAGAACATCTCAAGTATACTTATTAATTTCATGCAAAAAGTCAGAAACATATAGAGCATATAGAGACCCAATCCTAAAGAGTGGAGAAATACTGTCCATTATTATTAACATGAGATAAAATATGAATAATTGGGCCTGGTACAGTGCCTCACACCTGTTATCCCAGCACTTTGGGAGGCGGAGGTGGGCAGATTTCTTGAGCCCAGGAGCTCAAGACCAGCCTGGGCAACATGGCAAAATGCCATCTCTACCAAAAAATATACTACAAAAATAATAATAATAATAATAGCCGGGTGTGGTGGTGGATGCATTTGTCTCAGCTACTAGTGGAGCTGAGGTGGGAGGATCACCTGAGCCTGAGGAGGTCAAGGCTGCAGTGACCCATGATGGTGCCACTGCGCTCCAGCCTGGATGACTCTTTGAAACTGAGTGAGACCCTCTCTCAAATATAAATGTAAATATTTATATATGTACACATAATTGTGTGTGTGTGTGTGTGTGTGTGTGTGTATATATATATATATATATTTCCTTATATTGCTGCTACGAGAGTTTCTTTTTTTGTTTTTGTTTTTGTTTTTTGTTTTTTGTTTTTATTTCACAGGTTCTGGTGCCTGGTCATCTGTTTTTTTTTTTTTTTTTTTTTTTTTTTTTTAATTTTACTTTAAGTTCTAGGGTACATGTGCACAACGTGCAGGTTTGTTACATATGTATATATGTACCATGTTGGTGTGCTGCACCCATTAACTCGTCATTTACATTAGGTATATCTCCTAATGCTATCCCTACTCCCTCACTCCACCCCATGACAGGCCCCAGTGTGTGATGTTCCCCTCCCTGTGTCCAAGTGATCTCATTGTTCAGTTCCCACCTATGAGTGAGAACACACGGTGTTTGGTTTTCTGTTCTTGCAATAGTTTGCTGAGGATGATGGTTTCCAGCTGCATCCATGTCCCTACAAAGGAAATGAACTCATCCTTTTGTATAGCTGCATAGTATTCCATGGTGTATATGTGCCACATTTTCTTAATCCAGTCTATCATTGATGGACATTTGGGTTGATTCCAAGTCTTTGCTATGTGAATAGTGCTGCAATAAACATACGTGTGCATGTGTCTTTATAGCAGCATGATTTATAATCCTTTGGGTATATCCCCAGTAATGGGATGGCTGGGTCAAATGGTATTTCTAGTTCTAGATCCTTGAGGAATCGCCACACTGTCTTCCACAATGGTGGAACTAGTGTACATCCCACGAACAGTGTAAAAATATTCCTGTTTCTCCACATCCTCTCCAGAACCTGTTGTTTCCTGATTTTTTAATGATCACCATTCTAACTGGTGTGAGACAGTATCTCATTGTGGTTTTGATTCACATTTCTCTGATGGCCAGTGATGTTGAGCATTTTTTCATGTGTCTGTTGGCTGCATAAATGTCTTCTTTTGAGAAGTGTCTGTTCATATCCTTTGTCCACTTTTTGATGGGATTCTTTGCTTCTTTCTTGTAAATTTGTTTGAGTTCTTTGTAGGTTCTGGATATTAGCCCTTTGTCAGATGAGTAGATTGCAAAAATTTTCTCCCAATCTGTAGGTTGCCTGTTCACTCTGATGGTAGTTTCTTTTGCTGTGCAGAAGCGCTTTAGTTTAATTAGATTCCATTTCTCAATTTTGGCTTTTGTTGCCATTGCTTTTGGTGTTTTAGACATGAAGTACTTGCCTATGCCTATGTCCTGAATGGTATTGGCTAGGTTTTCTTCTAGGGTTTTTATGGTTTTAGGTCTATCATTTAAGTCTCTAATCCATCTAGAATTAATTTTTGTATAAGGTGTAAGGAAGGGATCCAGTTTCAGCTTTCTACATATGGCTAGCCATTTTCCCAGCACCATTTACTAAATATGGAATCCTTTCCCCATTTCTTGTTTTTCTCAGGTTTGTCAAAGATCAGATGGTTGTAGATGTGTGGTATTATTTCTGAGGGCTCTGTTTTGTTCCATTGGTCTATATCTCTGTTTTGGTACCAGTACCATGCTGTTTTGGTTACTGTGGCCTTGTAGTATAGTTTGAAGTCAGGTAGTGTGATGCCTCCAGCTTTGTTCTTTTGGCTTAGGATTGTCTTGGCAATGTGGGATCTTTTTTGGTTCCATGTGAACTTTAAAGTTGTTTTTTCCAATTCTGTGAAGAAAGTCATTGGTAGCTTAATAGGGATGGGATTGAATCTATAAATTACCTTGGGCAGTATGGCCATTTTCACGATATTGATTCTTCCTATCCATGAGCATGGAATGTTCTTCCATTTGGTTGTGTCCTCTTTTATTTCGAGGAGCAGTGGTTTGTAGTTCTCCTTGAAGAGGTCCTTCACATCCCTTGTAAGTTGGATGCCTAGGTATTTTATTCTCTTTGAAGCAATTGTGAATGGGAGTTCACTCATGATTTGGCTCTCTGTTTGTCTCTTATTGGTGTATAGGAATGCTTGTGATTTTTGCATATTGATTTTGTATCCCGAGACTTTGCTGAAGTTGTTTATCAGCTTAAGGAGATTTGGGGCTGAGATGATGGGGTTTTCTAAATATACAATCATATGATCTGCAAACAGGGACAATTTGATTTCCTCTTTTCCTAACTGAATACCCTTTATTTCTTTCTCTTGCCTGATTGCCCTGGCCAGAACTTCCAACACTATGTTGAATAGGAGTGGTGAGAGAGGGCATCGCTGTCTTGTGCCAGTTTTCAAAGGGAATGCTCCCAGTTTTTGCCCATTCAGTGTGATATTGGCTGTGGGTTTGTCATAAATAGCACTTATTATTTTGAGTTACGTCCCACCAATACTGAATTTATTGAGAATTTTTAACATGAAGGACTGTTGAATTTTGTCAAGGGCCTTTTCTGCATCTATTTAGATAATCATGTGGTTTTTGTCTTTGGTTCTGTTTATGTGATGAATTACGTTTATTGATTTGCATACGTTGAACCAGCCTTGCATCCCAGGGATGAAGCCCACTTGATCATGGTGGATAAGCTTTTTGATGTGCTGCTGGATTCGGTTTGCCAGTATTTTATTGAGGATTTTTGCATCGATGTTCATCAGGGATATTGGTCTAAAATTCTCTTTTTTTTGTTGTGTCTCTGCCAGGCTTTGGTATTAAGATGATGTTGGCCTCATAAAATGAGTTAGGGATGATTCCCTCTTTTTCTATTGATTGGAATAGTTTCAGAGGGAACGGTACCAGCTCCTCCTTGTACCACTGGTAGAATTCGACTGTGAATCCATCTGGTCCTGGACTTTTTTTGTTGGTAGACTATTAATTATTGCCTCAATTTCAGAGCCTGTTATTGGTCTATTCAGGGATTCTACTTCTTCCTGGTTTAGTCTCAGGAGAGTGTATGTGTCCAGGAATTTCTCCATTTCTTCTAGGTTTTCTAGTTTATTTGCATAGAGGTGTTTATAGTATTCTCTGATGGTAATTGTATTTCTGTGGTGTTGGTGGTGATATCCCCTTTATTATTTTTTATTGCATCTATTTGATTCTTCTCTCTTTTCTTCTTTATTAGTCTTGCTAGCGGCCTATCAGTTTTGTTGATCTTTTCAAAAAACCAACTCCTGGATTCATTGATTTTTTTAAGGGTTTTTTGTGTCTCTATCTCCTTCAGTTCTGCTCTGATCTTAGTTATTTCTTGCCTTCTGCTAGGTTTTGAATGTGTTTGCTCTTGCTTCTCTAGTTTTTTTTTAATTGTGATGTTAGGTTGTCAATTTTAGATCTTTCCTGCTTTCTCTTGTGGGCATTTAGTGCTATAAATTTCCCTCTACATACTGCTTTAAATGTGTCCCAGAGATTTTGGTATGTTGTATCTTTGTTCTCATTGGTTTCAAAGAACATTTTTATTTCTGCCTTCTTTTCATTATGTACCCAGTAGTCATTCAGGAGCAGGTTGTTCAGTTTCCATATAGTTGAGCGGTTTTGAGTGAGTTTCTTAATCCTGAGTTCTAGTTTGATTGCACTGTGATCTGAGAGACAGTTTGTTATAATTTCTGGTCTTTTACATTTGCTGAGGAGTGCTTTACTTCCAACTATATGGTCAATTTTGGAATAAGTGTGACGTGGTGCTGAGAAGAATGTATATTCTGTTGGTTTGGAGTGGAGAGTTCTGTAGATGTCTATTAGGTCTGCTTGGTGCAGAGCTGAGTTCAATTCCTGGGTATCCTTGTTAATTTTCTGTCTCATTGATCTGTGTAGTGTTGACAGTGGGGTGTTAAAGTCTCCCATTATTATTGTATGGGAGTCTAAGTCTCTTTGTAAGTCTCTAAGGACTTGCTTTAATGAATCTGGGTGCTCCTGTGTTGGGTGCATATATATTTAGGATAGTTAGCTCTTCCTGTTGAATTGATCCCTTTACCATTATGTAATGGCGTTCTTTCTCTCTTTTTATCTTTGTTGGTTTAAAGTCTGTTTTATCAGAGACTAGGATTGCAACCCCTGCCTTTTTTTTTGTTTGTTTTCCATTAGCTTGGTAGATCTTCCTCCATCCCTTTATTTTGAGCCTATGTGTGTCTCTGCATGTGAGATGGGTCTCCTGAATACAGCACACTGATGGGTCTTGATTCTTTATCCAATTTGCCAGTCTGTGTCTTTTAATTGGAGCATTTAGCCCATTTACATTTAAGGTTAATATTGTTATGTGTGAAGTTGATCCTGTCATTATGATGTTAGCTGGTTATTTTGCTCGTTAGTTGATGCAGTTTCTTCCTAGCATCAATGGTCTCCACATTTTGGCATGTTTTTGCAGTGGCTGGTACTGGTTGTTCCTTTCCATGTTTAGTGCTTCCTTCAGGAGCTCTTGTAGGGCAGGCCTGGTGGTGACAATATCTCTAAGCATTTGCTTGTCTGGAAAGGATTTTATTTCTCCTTCACTTATGAAACTTAATTAGGCTGAATATGAAATCCTGGGTAGAAAA